ACGTAAAGCCTTCGTGTTCTTGCTAATAAAGAATAGATCTAACTTTTCCACTGTTTCATTAACAGCAGAGGATTCCCATTCAGTCCGGGAACGACTCCAAATTATTTATGTTTGTAAATGCTTGGTTTAATATCCAACCAAAAATGTGAACCAAATGGATGCTACTCAAAAATTATGCATATTGTTTACAGAAGACAAACAGAGAGCTTTTTAACACAAAGCTGAGGGGTGTGGGGGGAACCCTTGAAAAAAGAAGTAACATTTGGTTTGAGTTACAAACCACAGACAGCTTCCATCAGGAGGGCTGGAGGTACCGGAATGGCCAGAGAATATGACAAGCAGCAAGCGCACCAGGGGAAAGATAAATGGTTTTGGGAGCTGGCTTTGAAATAATTGGCCTTTCCCACAAAAAACTGAATTAAATTTGGTGGAAGATGGCGATGATTCATAAGGATCTTCTGGCACTTGCATTGCTGCTTTCTGGACATTTGTATTAGAGAGCTTATAGAGTGTGTGTTTTGGTGCTTCCTACCGTTGTTGTATTACTTATGCAGCAGCTCTACAGAGAACATTGCATTGGTAAAAGCTGGGAGTAGGGGCATGATCTAGTGCTTAGAGCAAGGGACTGGAAGTCATCAGGACTCCAGGGTTTTATCCTCAGCTCAGCCGCTAACTTGCTGTGTGATATTGGGTAAGTCTTGTAGGGTTCAATTTGGTCTCGAGACGCAAAGGAGCACTGGGGATGGAGGGGCTTGCAGTTGTACTGTCCGTGCAGTGAAGAAGGGAAATGTTATCTCTGCATAAGGCATAACTCCTTAAGAAGTGATGGGGGAGTGGGGCTTATGCAACATGTCCTGCCCCTTTCAGTAGGTGTACTATACACTTCTCCCCAGTTTCAGCTTCGTAGAGAGAGGCCCCTTTCAGGGCATTTAGTATGGCATGTGCTCAGGGGCATGGCTGCTTGCTGTATGGGTGTGCTGGAGCAGAGAAGGGGCTTCTGCTGTCCACTCCATCTTCACTCATGGTGGACCCTACTCTGGTGCACCACAGTTTGGCCATTAATCTTGCTCAGTTTACGCAGTTGTAGAAAGGCTCGGTTTAATTAACTACTTCCTGGGGGGAGGGGAAGTTTAGTAAATATTTGTAAAACACTGAAACCCTGTAACAAGAGATGTTGTCTGCCTCTGAACTGTCCCCTAGTGCAGAGCTGTTCAGATCTCAGTTTTTAGTTCAGACCTATCCCTAATGTTATTATTGTTGATATACCGTAGGAGTTCCTGGAAGCACTGATTCCACATTATAAGGGCAACCAATCTCATCTGAAAGGCCTTGAACATCTGGAGGTAAGTTGTGATGCATATTCCGTGGTCTCATTCTAAAAATGCAGCAGGTTCAGTGGTGCAAGTAGAAATAATTTTTTGGTGGTACTGCACTCATGGGAGGGACACAAGGGGGGGTCACGTGACCTCCCTCCATGACCCTCCATGTGACTCCTCTCTGCCCTGCCCCCAGCCCAGGACACCCACGCACTCCCCGTCCCCTCTGACACTCCCCTTACTTGTCTAAAATTTTACAACTGCATCTGTTAAACAGATGCAGTTGTAAAATGATGCTTTGGACCCCTGGTGCCACCTGTACTCTCAGGTGTCATTGAGGATCCAGCAGCACCCTCAAATTGAAAACTTCTTAAATAGAAGAAGGATAGGAAGGACCATCACCCCACTTTCCCTTAACACACTATCAGTGCCTCCTTTATGTCCAAACTAAGGGCATGGCTACACTTGCAGATGTAGGGCTTGGCTACACTTGCAAGTTAGAGCACATTAAAGCAGCCCTGGGTGCCCTAACTCCAGACCCATCCACACTGGCAAGACACTTAGAGCCCCTGGACTCTGCAGCTGGAGCACTCCTGGTAATCCATCTCCACCAGAAGCATAACGCTTGGTCCGTCTCGGCTGAAACTCCCCAGCGTCAGTGTGAACAAGGTGTTGCATTACTGCGCTCTGATTGGCCTCCAGAAACGTCCCATTATCCCCTTAAGTCAAGTGGCCACTCTTGTCATTGCTTGGAATTGGCTGTAGGAATGCGGAGATGCCGTTTCAAAGCTCCATTTCTGACAGCTGGCTGCTTATCTGCTCTGGGACAAAGCAACCATTACTGTGGAATGTTGCTTGAGAGGCGGGGAAAGGGGATCTGCTGCTGTCTGAACTTACAAGACAGCATGCTGATATGCTCTCAGGCTCCCAAAAACCCACTCTTTCTCCCCCCACATATACACAACACACTCCCTGTCACACTCTGCCCACCCCACCCACCCCCCATTTGAAAAGCATATTGCAGCCACTTGAATGCTGGGATAGCTACCACAATGCCCTGCTCTCTGTGGCCATTGCAAGAGTTACTAATGAGGCCACGCCAGTGCGCTTGTAGCTGTCAGTGTGCACAGATTGCAGTGCTTTCCGTACTGCACTCTACAAAGGTGGGTTTAACTCAAAGTGCCCTACATCTACAAGTGTAGCCATGCCCGTAGAGTGCTCTGAGTTAAACCAGCCCTCGGAAAGGCCAGTATGGAAAGCGCTGTAGTGCGTCCACACTGTCACTCGGGGTGGGGGGGGTTCACACCCCTCAGCGAGAAAGTTTCAGCGCTCTAAATTGGCAGTGTAGACAAGGCCTAAGTATTGCTCTCCACCAGACACTAGGAAAGCAAAGATGCTGCGCCATCTGGGTTTGATGGAAAAGAGGAATAGAACGGTGTGTGTGCCATGTGCATCTTCATAGAACTGCAGCCCAAATTGTTTGATTATTTTCCTCAGCATGACCTACAGGAAGGGCAATCAAAACCAGCCTGGCAGAACATGTATGAGAACTGTCTCTGGACAGATAAGCAATTGATCAAAATCACATTCTCTGATCTCTTGGGGCCAAATCCTGATCCCATTGAAATCAAAAGAAGTTTTTCTTTTGAGTTCAATGGGAACAGGCTTTGACATTTGGAGAGGAAAGAACAAAACCAATCAAGCAAGGGCTATGTTGCTTATACCACAGGTATCAAAGGCTGCTGACTCATGTGAGAAAGCCAGCAGACATCTGAACTTTGTCCATTGCAAGGAAGAAATCAGCAATCAATGAGGCTAGAACAGTCTTTGTACCATATCCAACTCATAAGTCCATCTGCAAAGGATCAAGGAAATATGAAGGCTCCAGATTATTTTAAAGTCCTCAATCCCTTGGTTAGAATGCTCCTATCAGTATATGTTCATAATCCAGAGGCTGGATCAGGAATCAAAAACACTGTTTGAACACCTTCTGTCCTCCCCTCCCCTCCCCTCTTGAGGACTCCTGACCAACTTAACAGCACAGTATATATGCTAACAAACTTAAACAAAGCCTTTGTTTAAGTTAGTTGGCATATGTATTGTGCTGTTAGATCCAAATAAAGAATAAATGCCTTTCCTAGCTGTGTTCTGCTCCTTTAATGAGCAGAGTGCAATTCCACCCCCCCTCCAGAGTGGGGTTCTATCCTCCCCAATTCTTTCCGGTACCCCGTACCCACTAAAAATCTCATGCCGGTACTGTGTACTAGAGCGTACCATCCTACTTGCACTCCTGAGCAGGTTAGACACACTGCTTCCTATGCCGATGTTATGGGGATGCACTTGGACTAACTGCATCTTTACTTGAGCAGTATTTGAGATACCTGTAGCCCTATCAATCATACTGTTCATCCAAGCCCACTTTCTGTCTTTCATCTGTTATAAAAGGTCTGTCCCTCCTTCCATCTAAACACCCTCAAGCATACAGGAAATGTAACCTCTATCATGAGCTTTTCAAGATTAATTTCTTAACATACTGAGGTCCTAATGGGGATTTGTTATGTCAAAAAGTAGCAACTGGACTGATTTCTACACCGGGGCAGCAATGAAAGAGTCTTATTTAACCAAAAACCAACAAAACTAAAACAACCCCCAAAAGACGTTACACAATAATATGGGTGGGTGTCATTTACCGTTAACTAATGCAAATTATTCCATGTAAAAAGTGTAATACAAACTGCAGATGTGATACTTAATTAGATCAATGTGCATATTTTCTTGTTATTTGGATATGATTAGGCTGTTAAAGTTATGACTAACAATAGTACATTGCACTTTAAATCCGTGTATCTCAAAGTGCTTTACAAATAGAGGATTCTGGTGAGTATCATTGGCCTCATTTTACTGATTGGGAAACAGAGGCACAGAGAGGTGAAGTGACTTGCCCAATGTCATCCAGCAAGTCAGCATCAGAGCTGAGAACAGAACACAGGTTACTGATCCATTCAACCATCATGCCTCCCCATGTCTATCTAGCTATGCCTAAATACCCTCTTTTATTCTGACGTAGGTGGATTAACTGAGTTCCACGTTTTACTGTTTGTCCGGATTTTTAGGCAGGAAAGCATCCCGTTAAAAAACAAAACAAAACAATTACATATGTACTTAACTTTAAGCATGTGTTTGGGACTTGTGTACATGCTTACATGCTTTCCTAAATCAAGGCCTTTTTTCCTTTGTCATGTGTTATAAGAGTCAGAGCTTGTCCTGGGGCTTTTTTGCTTTAAAAAAACAACAACCAGATCTATGAATTTTTTCACAGCAAAAAAATCCATATTGGAAGAACAGAAATGGATTTTTTTCAAAGATTTCCAGGCCCAGCTCCCCATGCTCCTTGGTATCTCAGAGCTTGGGGAAGCCTTCTCTATGAATAACCCCAGTACCTCCCTCTGCCTGGCTTCTAGTTTTCCCAAGAAGCTGCTAACTGAAATGATCATGATTCTTGCCAGTTTCATTAGTGTCCACCTCAGAATAGCAGCCCTGAAACTGACCAGACCCTTATTAACTTCACTCAGCTGATCCTTTTGGACAAAACTATGAGCAATAAGAGGAGACAGGTACTTGGATTATTCATAGAGAAGGATTCCATTCAACAATAAATGGAAACTAGGGGAGGTAAAGCATTGCATGATTACAGAGCTGGGAGGTACAGCTCTACATTAGGATTAGATGTTGAAAGATTCCTTCAAAACTGAAACCGGAGAGTTTGGAAGCCCAGGGAGCCCAGTCTCTGTGCCAGCACACCAGGAGAGCTGCCAAAGAGCTGGGAGGTGGGCAGAAGAGTTGGCAGATTTCCATAAAAATTTTCATTGAAATTGACACGTTCCAACACAACATTTTGATTTCAATGAATCGGCATTTTCTGACGGAAGAACCTTCCTTTGGAAAATCTCACATAGTGCTAGTATGTAATTTGTGAAGTATTCTGGGATCCTGTTGGATGAAAGACACTGTGAAGCAGAAGGATATTATTATTACTATGATAGAAAATAAATTATCCTAAACTCTTATAAAAGAGTATCACCTATCAAAATGCCTGAATCTCTTCAAGGCACCATATGTATTAGCATACTTCTCAATGATGGATAAAGGGACCTCTTTGCTTCTCATGAAAAGGCTATGTGCAGTGTTTGTTTTTCTTTTACAAAATTAAACAAACTTTGATGCAGACTGGATCTTGTACTCCGCTAGAAGCTACATATTTCCCAGCATATAGCTCTTTTGCTCAGGTTCTCTATTACACATTATTCATTTTTCCTTCTTTTCCTCAGTGTTTGGTTTGGTTTCTATGGGTATTTGTCTGAGGGGTAGAGGAGAGGAATGTGATCTGAGGCTGTCTTGTAGGGTTCTATTATACAGTGGAGCTGGCTTGGTGTAAAATCTACAAGCCTACATTTTCAGGTGGCTGGTCTCCCTTTTGCAGCTGCAATTTGCCTGTGCAAAATTTGCACCCACATTTTTGCATCACCAGCAGAGCCGTGGGTAGAAATCTCAGTTGTAACATGCAACTTATGACTTACACCCATAATTCATTTGCTGACACAAAAAACATAGGTGCAAATTTTGCACCTTTTTTCAAGTGCAATTTGTGCTTGTAAACAGTGAAGCTGAGCCCACTGAGAAGCATTCCTACAGTATCATCTCCCTGTGCATACATTTTCTGTGCTTTATTGCACTGTCCGTGATCTTTGTGCTATTAAACATTCATAATAAGAACATTTCATTATTTTTAAAAATGTCCAACAAAATCCTCAACTCATTACATCGTAATTAGCATTACCTGGCACCTTTGCTAGCACTCGCAGAGATACTAAGGACTGAACGGAACATGGAGATTGAACCACCCTCTCAGAGCTTTCCTTCCTGGCCAGGGTGGACCTGTTCGGAGCCAAATAGATGTTCCAGCCAGTTTTACAACTTTAACCAGCACTAGAGTCACTAAAAGAGAGAGAAAGAAATAAATCCCAGTCTAAAACATATTGTGCAAATTCCATGGATCAAAGCTACAGACTTTAAAAGATTTATTTTAAATATGCTTTTCAATTTAATGTAAACTACATTCCATAACCTTCCTGGACCTGTGCATTTTAATAAACAGATCAAAAGGAAGATAAAAACAGGAGAAATCAACCCTGTATAATTGCGTAAGTTTATTACTAGAGCTGGCCAGAAAACAGAATTTCTGTTCTGTAGGAAATTCCAACATTTCAAAATTTGTTTACATTCAGAATTGGAATGAAAAGTCAAAATTTTCTGTGAAATGGGAAATTCCAAAAGATTAACGATCAGCAACATTTTATTTCACTAATGTAAAATCATTTAGTTTCAGTAAGGTCAAAACATTTCATTTAGATAACGTCAAACATAATGATATATAACAATAAACATATAATTTTAAATATACGATTCAAATTAATACTTTGATATACTATAAAAGTATAAATGAAATTACTTGAGATGATAAAGTTAAAACAAAATGTTTCAATATTATCAAAATGAAATGAGAAAGTCAGAATGATTCATTTAAACTTTCACCCATCAAAAATCAATATGCTCCTGAAAACCATAATAATTTCAACTAACTTGCATTTTATGATGGAAAAAGGTTATGCTGAAAATTTATTGACCAGTTTTTCTTAATTTTTCTAATATGCTTATTCCTTTACTTAATATTCATTTTATAAAGTACCAATTTTTATGTCACATTGCTACTCCGTGGCATTTCTGCTCTATTTTATTTTGATTTGGTATGCAGAAACATACAGTGGAAAAATAATTCCTTTAATGGGTTATTTTTGCATTAATATGCTGGAGTTGTATTCTTTTCTGAGGTTCAATCCTTAATCAGGTATTCACATCTAAATGGCTTCAATGGATCTCTTTTTTGCAATTACACACAGATTCTTTTAAGTGGGCTTAGCTGTCCAAAGGTACGTGTTTCACTCCAGCCTGGCATTCCTTCCTTATTCATGGCCAAGATCTACTTTAGCTAAACCACTTACAAATCAGATGTGCCAGGCAGAGAATTTAACCTCAACAATTTGATTAATCCTATTTGAATTACAACGCTGTCATAAATCAGGCTCCAAGCAGAGCCTCTCCTTCTATGTGAGTTTGAAGGATAGAATAGTGCTTTTGTGTATCTTCTTTTCAATTTGGGATTTCATCCTGCAAATTCAGCAGAAACCAGGAAGAAGCAACACAACAGAAGCCTCAAAAACATTTGTTTAAAGCACTCCTCTGTGCTTGGAGAGCATAGGAAGAGAATGAAATGGTGAAGGAGAATTTAATACAGCACTGCACAGAAATAAATGTTGCAAGTCATAAGACATCACATGGTTGTTAGTGGACTGAAAGGCTCTGTTGACTCAATTTGTTCATCACAACTTTTCAGTAGTGTAGGTTACTGGGAGGGGAAATAGGACGAGGCCAATTATAACTCACTTTTTATATTTCTCTTCTGGGAGGATATTTAGCTGCTGAGGACTAGAGAAAGTTTTTGGCACTGTCATGCCACACAAATGGGAACATGAGAGGAAAAAGGGCAGCATCACCAGCTCACTGAAGGTGGATCGACAGAGCAGAGTTGGGAGCAGGAAATCAAAAAAGTTTCGCTCCATTTCAAGATCACTTATACTCTGTAATACCAAAGATACTGATGATGGGTCGAGTCCAGATGAGAAATGCCCTGATCCCATTGAGATTTCTACCAGTTGGGATCAAGAGAAAATTGACAGTTGCCCTAGACTACAAGTGCTATGCACTTCAGAACCGGATGACAGCACTCCTTATCCTCTTGTGATCACCAGCGTGATCCAGTCCAAAGATGATGGAAGTGAAAGCTGCAAGAATATGAGAAGGAAGTTCTTCATCCAGGTAGGCAATTCACTGACTATTGTTTATTTCATGTTTCAATGGTTTCATGAATCTCAGGGCACAGAAGACACCCCATGATTCTCAGAGATCATGAGCCAGCAGCGGTCCAACTCGGCATAAATAGCACAGAAAGTGTATTACACTCCATCTTGGGCTGCAGGGTCTCTCCACTGCACTCTGCTGACTGACATGCCATTGAAGTCAGTGGAATGTTAAGCCATGCTCAGTGCATTCAGGAGCTGCACTCTAACTGGAATGCAGCAGACCAGCGGCCATAATAGAAAGCGGGGTCATTACAGCACAGACCCTTTTTAAACAGTGCTCTTGTCAGAGCTTATAAGCTAAGTGAGGTGCAGCTGGGTTAGTACTAGGGGAAACTCAGGTGATCCAGTAGGCAAATGATCTGTCTGAATTTGAAGGATGTAGACTCTATGTTGCTAGAGATGTCACCTTCTTAACAGATATAAAAGTGAGACCCTAAGTGCCTCTGGTTGTTAAAAAACTGACATTGCTTTTATCAAGAGGAAATGTAGTAATCCCACCATTCTGGCCATTTTTCAAATTGACTGATTACATTCTGGATACCTATAATAAATTCCCTCTACAATTTCAGTTGGATGCTGCATATTTTGTCACTTTCTGTCCTAAGGTGTTGTATATTGTTGCTGTGTGCTGTTAAGCAGCTACATTGTTTCATCCCAGAGGTGGCTGCATTACAGGCATAAGTGAAGTGTCTGATAATACACAGTACATAGTCTGTCCACTCAGCTAGTAAAGACTAAAGCACTTTGAGAACCTTCTTGGTGACAGGAACTAAATATACATTATATACCTAGGTAGTTTATAGCTGGTCACCTCCATGGTATCCTAATGCCTATTACATCATATGCATTTTAGCGATACAAATATTGACCTGTATGAGGGAACTGATTCCTTTGTATTAAATATTCCTTCCATTCATTTTTGCATATCTTCTTTAGCAATGGGCTCAAATCAGAACTTCATATCCAAACACCAAGTAATGCTTATGGTGTTCAAACTCTGAATCCAAATCTCCATTGTGCCACTTGAGCTTCTCTCTAATGATCACAGCACATAGCCCAAACTTGACAAAAAGGGAATCAGGAGAATATAGTGCACATTTCAGTCTCAAAACAGAGCCCCCCTGCCCCCCCATCCCCCCCCGGGGAATATTCTACTGCATTCCAACGGAAAGAAAAAAATGACTTAAATTGAGCCAGCCCCAAAAGACGCCCAATCACAATGGAGCTCTGCAAAACCACACCCTTCCTCCAGCATGGAAACATTCCACATTTTGGCTGGTGAGCTCACTCTGCAAATGAAAGGAGGCTGCTGGCCTCTGCCAGCCAAAGGATTCCACTCTACCTTCCTTGCACAGTGCATTCTCATGTGCTTGTCAGCTGTTGCACCTTGTCCATCCACAAACCCAAAGCACCCTGAGTTCCAATAACTGCCACCAGGTTTCCCAGCATCTGACTTCTCACCATTTTACCAAAGATAGTCAAGTCAGAGAATCCAGGTGCCTTGAATTTATGGTAGTCAAGTTAGCTGCTGCCGCTGGAGAACAGTTATACATTAATTCATCTTTAGCAATGTAAGTGTTCCCTGGTGGCACTTGTTAACCTTCTGTATACTGTGTGGACTCATGGTGATGCCATCAAGTCTTCATTTTTCCTCCTACGGGAGCAGAGATGCTGGCATCATCTACCTTGTTCTCCCGTCTGTGTCATCTTGCTGAGGCTCTGCAATATGCAGTGAGGTGATTGATACATCCCCTCTATGTTGCACTGGTCTGTCATAACCGGCTCCTTAGTGCAGTATGCATTAGAGAGCACTTGGCCCTCTCTTAAAACCCCTATCCTCAAATATCCAGAAGAAGAGAGTCAGTGATTTTCTTCAGGTCCCAAGGCGTCAGGCTCTCTGTTGCTCTCTATAATCAGCTGCAGAAATTCACTGGTCAATGCATGGCCCATTCTCATTTCAAGGAATCAGAATCCATTTTTCTGTTACATTACTGGGGCACACAGCTGTGCCAGACTATTGTGTTAGTCCATCAGTTTTCTGCCTTACACTACCTGCAGCCGTGTGCCTGGTGCCCATGACCCTGAAGGTGTGAACACCCTCCACAAAAATCCAGAGCACTGAACTCTCAAACAGCAGTTCCTTCCAGGCCCCGCAGTGGAAGAATTTATGTTCCTGTCTGAGCCTTACACTGTTGTTCGTGTATGATTCACTAGTGTTCTCACTTTGATTAAATTACACAGTGTTTCCAGCATCACTTTATTTCAGGCAACCAGTTTCAGGTACATACTCTTGTCGCAAATACTTGGCAAGTTCTATGTATCGACACAGTACAGTAAGTATAATAGGAAGTGCCATGATCTGATTACAGCTATCATTTATATTACATAAAAATAATTTTGATAACCAGTGACCATAACAAGAATAATAAAAGTACTACAAGGGTCTTTGTCATTTGTCAAAACAGAGCAGTTGTGAGTAGGCGGAAGTGTGGAAACTAAGGCAACACTTGTTATCCCTGGAAGACATGTTTTATTTTGTTTATTGTGGTCTCGAGGGCCACACTGACAGCTTACTAAGACCCTGACAATTGTATGTAACTTGCATCATAATCATAGAATCATAGGACTGAAAGGGACCTTGAGAGGTTATCTAGTCCAGTCCCCTGTGCTCATGGCAGGACTAAGGGCTTGTCTTCATGACTGGGGTAAGTTGATCTAAGTTACACTACTCCAGCTGCATGAATAAAGTAACTGGAGTCGACGTAGCTTAGGTCAACTTACCCCGGTGTCTTCACTGCACTGCATCGACGGGAGACGCTCTCCGGTCAACTTCCCTTAGTCTTCTCGAAGAGCTGGAGTATCAGGGTTGACCGGAGAGTGGTCTGCAGTCGATTTAGAGGGTGTTCACTTGACCCAATCAATCCCTGCTGTATCGATTGCAGCAGCACCCATCTCTCTGTAGTGAAGACCAGTCCTAAGTATTATCTAAACCATCCTTACAGGTGTTTGTCTAACTTGGTCTTAAAAATCTCTAGTGATGGAGATTCTACAACCTCCCTAGGCAATTTATTCCAGTGCTTAACCACCCAGACAGTTAGGAAGTTTTGCCTAATGTCCAACCTAAAGTGCACTTATTGCGATTTAAGCCCATTGCGTCTTGTCCTATCCTCAGAGCTTACAGAGAATACTACTACTACTTTGCTCTTCTAAAATGGTTTTCATTTGAGAATCTTACTTAACAAACAGAAATTGAGCACAATGCAAATCAGGACCTTCTGGTGCAGACAGCAGGCGCTAGTGTAACAAGTGACTTGTGCCATTGCAGATTATCCCAGCTCCATCTTAGTGATTTGTACCATTAAAGCAACAATAGTGCAGAAAACACAGCATTTAGGTGTGTGGTTACATACAGTTTTCACCACGCTGATATGTGTATTATTATAAAGTAGCAGACAGTGTTGTGTATTAGGTTTGCTTCATAACTGATTTCTAGGCAAAGTCACAACATTTTCAGTCTACTGTGCCAATTCTGATAACTGATACCGGGTGGCTGAGTTTCAAATGAATCCCGGGAACTGTAATTTGTGTAACGGTCTCACTATGGGGCACTTATTCCGCTTATGAAAATAAACAAACACTTTGATGTAAATTCAAATGGAAAACATCATGGAAAGGTTCTTCTGACGTTCTGATTACATTATGGTTCTAAACCATTTGCCTTTGCTTTCAAGGAGGAATATTCAAAGCACGGTTAGTCCCCAGTATGCATTTTGGGGATTATTTTAACCCAGCAACTAAAGCGTTAATAATTTCAGAATGTATACTCAGCGATTAAACTGGGGTGTATGCAATTCTATGTTCCCAATGGGTAGATGGGCCTGGGGTGAAACAAAGGTCCCTCATTGATTACTCTGTAGTTGGCATGAAGCTATGTTCTAAGTGAGTTTGATATTGTCTGAGACAAACTTCCCTATATCTCTATAAAAATATACATCCATACAAAAGGTTGTCTGGAAACTGAAAATTGGTCCATTTGGAAATGCCATGGAATGAAAATGTTTTCCAAATCTTCTAGATGCCTACATAATCTTTTTATTTTTGATCAACTCTCATGGCAAGAATAGTATTCAGAGTTTTCTTAATAGTATTCACCAAGCGAGGAAGGCACCTCGATCTTCATCCGGATGGGTCCTATGAGAAATCCTATGGCCTGTGTTATGCAGGAAGTCAGACTAGACAATCGCAAGGGGCCCTTCTGGCCTTAAAGTCTAGCATTGGTGAATCTCTGATGTCAGACAAGGGAATCCTAAGATCATTAAATATTGTGCTGGTCGGTAGCTGTCTGAAAATGCAGCTTTGGGAGGCTAGTGATATGGGCTATTTTGACCTCTCTCACTCATTGGAATTCTCTTTCTATGTGTTACAAATGTTAAGGATTTTGTTAAGTAAGTTCTACTGGGTGTGCTGTGATCTTTCAACACATCCAGTACTTAAAAGTGCAGACAACTCAAACTACTATGACCTTGGCTAAAAAAGCAACAAAGAAAATGGAATGGCAAGCCAAAGGCTGGTAGTCTATAACATCGCTGAGTGGGATGGTCACTGGGAAAGAATGCTCCTTTCTGAATGTGTTCGCCTGTCGTGTGCTGCTCAAAGTAACTTCCTGGCTTTCCGTGTGTGCACCAAATGGTAAGGATACTGGTGTGTAAATACGAAGATCTGCTTTACAGCCTCTCTGCTCTTGATGACACTTGGTGCCCTGACACTCAGGCAAAAGCTGTGGAAGGAGGGTATATCTGATAGGGCTACTGAGAAATCAGAGACAAAGTCAGTCATGGTGAGGAATGGGTGGGACGAGGGACATTCACCCGAGCTGGAATGGTCCTTTGAGCACCCAAGCAATTTCAAGCAGTAATCTCTTTCTAGTTTATTACTGCTTCTGGCAGCACTACATTATGATATGTGGCTTCTTCTGCACATGCCACCATCACCCATGTTGGGCAGTGGCATGTAACACCCAATCACTGTAATAGTAGCCATGGCAATAGGGCTACTGAGGGAGAGGGGGTATCCAGGACAGCGGGCAATGTTGAGGGGAAGGTTTTCTGCGTGAATGCCCAACAGCCAAAAGACTGGAGTCAGGATTTCAGTGGATCGTAGGGCTCCGTGTGGTTCCAGAACCAGACCCCGGCCTTTTCCATGTGGCCCTCAATCTCTCATGCCTGAGAGAAAAAAACAACTCACTATTTTTGCATCATCATCCAGGCATATTTTTTGTTAATTTCCCACTTTCCAGGAGAGGATGATTTGACCCATTCTTTGTGATGGGATGATTTCCATGGCAGAAGACTGTGATGTCTCAGAAACAGGGTTATGGCATGACAGCTGGACAAGCTTGGTTGGGAGGGAGGCTGTATTTGTTCCTTCACTTTCTTCATTTGTGCTCTCTCTCTCTTTCCGTCCTCTCCCTTCTGCCCTTCCCAGAAATGGGACTGTGAGATCAGACACAGGTTATCTCTTAAACTTGTTGAGTGAGGTGACATGTAGTAAGTGGGTGACGCAACAGGTAGGGCAGGTTCCCAGAAAAAACATGGCTAAGGATAGCTGATGAATAGACAGATCTATTTATACTGCGTGATCTGTTTACCCATCTCTCTATCCATCAACTAGCCATAGCCAGGGTTTTGTGGGAACCTGAATCCCAAGCCCCACCTGTTGCATCAGCCGATTAATTCATGTACCACTGATCTCATAATCTCACTACTGAGAAGGAGGGCAACTGGTGAAAAGAAGGTAAAACAGAGAGGGCAGGAGGGGGTGGCTACCTCCAATGGCACAGTTCCACTATCCCATGGATTTTTCACAGGTACCAGCTGGTACCTTTATTAATTTCAAAGGGAATTCCCAGACAGATGCTAGGAAAATAAATGGAATTTTGTCTAAAAGTTTTTAAAGGACCAGTTCCTCAGCTGAACATATCAAAATCAATGGAGCTCTGCTGATTTACACCAGTGAGGCCTCTGGCCCTATTTTTCAAAACTGACATAATACAATTTCTCTGGAAGAAAATTCAAAAAGGCTCTATTCTCTTAATCGGTCATTGACTCAGAAATCACAGCTCTTTAGTATTCAGCGGGCTATAGAAGCTTAAGCACTCACTGCTATATTGTTATTACTGTTTTTTAAACAGAGTCAATCAGGTTATCATCATATGCCTGGTTAAGTGATTACCAGATCTTCCTTGAACCACCCATGTGCAGCCATGTATTTCATTTCAGACAATCTAACTATTGTGAGTTACATTCAGAGTGCACGAAAGTGTTTCAGTTTTCCAGCGAAGGCCTGGTTACGCTTATTTCAAAACAGCATCTGGAAGGAGATGTTTCAAGACAGGACTCTCAGCTAGAAACGTCTAATGAGAAAGTGATGGAAAAGGAAATCTCTGAAATGGCAGAGATAAAAATATCCTGAGATTTGGCCTTTGGTATGATAAGAATGAAGAAAATTGGTTGCAAAATGAAAAGCATGAAAGATCAGCTGAATCTATACACAAAAGTTTCCAAAAAAATCCTGCGATATTCCTTTGATTTAGATTTTTCTTTCAGCCTGAGATTTTTTGCTTAAATGTAATCTTACTAACAGTGCACTATTGAAAGGCCTTCATTTTATTTGCATGCTTGGGGTCAATAAAATTTGAACAGATGTGAAATACATGTTTCACCAGCTTCATTAAGCTCTGTATGGCAAAGCTGCCTATAAGTGAAAGATTTTTTTATTCATTGGCAACCGACATGCATTAAACATACATTCCAGTAATGACTAGGTCTGGTGCCCTAGGAGGAACCCACCTGCCCACCCACCAAACCTGCCAACTTTATTTTAACATGTTCTCTACGTTTGCAAGGCCTGGAGCTATGAGTCACCGGACAAAACCAACAGGACACATTAAAAAAAGGGGCAAAACTAATATCTGCTCTGCTCCTGGAAGTACCAGCAGAGCATTTTTACATATAAAATAATAAATGAGACAGGAAATAAAAGACATTAAAGAGCAAAGCCCAAACAAATTGGCTGCTGTAACATTGGCCAGTCTAATATTTATTTTTTAAAGCTTTTATGTCATGTTGCTAGAACTTGGATTTTAATATAATGATCTATATCCGGGACTCCAAACTGCAAATGCGGACAACACATACGAATTGCTACACCTCCCTCCAACAAAAATTAATTTCTAATGTATTTGACAGATAGAGCTAAACTGAAAATTAACCAAACCTGATGGTAAAAAAGGGATTTAAAACAAAAATTATAGCTGTTCTCTAGTTTTTGTGAGACACACAACAGAACTTGCTTCCAGTTTTGCATTCTCACTAATTTAATGCATACAAATGATTGGGCCCAGGAAAATATCCAAATCACCTCTTATTATTATTATTATTTGACATTTAAATAACCGTAGCACCTGCCTCGAAATCCAAGTCAGGATAGTGTCCCCATTGCGTATATGGACAACATATATTGAGATAGTCCCTGCCCCCAAAGAATTTACAATCTAAGCCTCTGATCTTGCAAAGAAAACCATGCGGCCACCTGCATGGAGCTCCACTAACTCAACTCGAAATCAAGTAGTTCTCTTTGCAGGATGGGAATCTAAGTCCTGTACACAAGCTGGGGAACGGAGCATGACCGCATGTGGGTTTCAATGGGGGGAGGTGTCTCTGAATAGAGTGGAGCTTGAGACTGGCTGAAAATTTGCCCTGAGGAGTCAAAAAATAAAATCCTCCAAATGTAAGCGCTCAGTGCTGCAAGCCCTGACACGTATGAAGAATCACTCACTGCTCATGTGAGCACTTCCATTCATTTCAAAGGGGCTAGTCATGGGACTAAGTATTTTTGTGATAAAAGGTTTGCAAGATCCAAGCCTGAATTCGGAATATAAAATGAAACACACATTGTTCGGGCACCTCCTCGGACCATACGGCCACTACTGCTTTTATCCTTAGCTGTCCCAGCCCATGGCACTGCCAACTGCACAGGCTTTACCAGGTTGTAGGTATTTGGCCATGAACCTAGTGCAAGAATCTCACCAGACCCTATGATCCCACATTAGTTTTTGGAAGCATGAGTGACTCCTAGTGAATTTCATGTATGCTTCTATAAGCAAAATTTGCCCTTGTATTCACATGAGTTTCTCAGCAGTGCATAAAGCCAAATTAACAAAATAAAAATGGCAGTTTAATGCCACTAGGGGCTGATTATTCTTAACGTATTACTGGAATTCAGTCTCTCACTCTTTCTCTTTTTGTTCCCCTGGGGTGGGCTGATACTTCTTTCAGGACCATTAATCACTTGTAGTGTAGTAAGGAGAAAACACTTAACTGTATCAATAAAACAGAGGGAAAAATACTCCATGGACTTCAAGTATAAATGTGTCCCAGCATACTTAACTTAGTATTTTTGTCTCTCCCTTTCCTTCCAGTTGGCATGGTCAAAAAATCTCACACATCCCTATTGTCAAAATCTGTCAGCTGCTCTCTTGCCTCTTCATGGCAAAACACATCATACTATAATCTTTTCCTATGGTAATCAGAAGTCATTGCAGTCCCATGGAGAAGAATTGTTTGAGATGTTTGTCTTACACAACAGCATCTACCCAGAAGTGAGCTGCATTCAGCTTCTACTTTTCTTGTGTTTAGAAATAATCTGGATCTAGGAACAAGAAAATTGATGCTTTAAAAAATCAAACTGTAAATAACTTAAATATTCTCTGCATATTTACTTTGATGCAATAAAGAGTTTTTGTCTTCATCTTCCTGAACCAGGATGGCTGCATCTGGAGGCTTTGTATAGCCACGGGAAATGATGGCCTGGGGATCCAAGTCTCGAGAACCCCCAACTGCACTTCTCTTGGGAAAGGGTTCACAGTCAGCCAAGTGATCAATGGGGGCGCTGCCCACAGGTACTTCATTTATAATTTTTATTATGGACTAACTTGATGGTTTTTGAAGGACCCATCGTCTGACACCAGCTGCACTTTAAGATCTTAAATCCAAAGGAACGCAGTGATGCACAGGAAACATCTTACATTGCACTGAGCTGAAGAAATGGATAAACATATTAGAAATAAAACATGCAGCCATGCTCAGCTCTAACTCTTCTCAATGTTAATTGCAAATAAGGATTATAGAATCATAGAGGTGCAGGACCTCGAGAGATCATCTAGTCCAATACCCTGCACTCAAGGCAGGACTACATAATAGCTCGACCATCCCTGACAGGTGTTTGTCTACCATTTCTTAAAATTTCTGATGACAGAGATTCCACAACCTCCCTAGGTAATTTGTTCCAGTGCTTAACCACCCTGACTGTTAGAAAGTTTTTCCTAATGTCCAACCTAAACTGACCTTTCTGCAATTTAAATCCATTGCTTCTTGTCCTATCCTCAGAGGTTAACAAGAACAATGTCTCCTAGTAACAACCTTTTATGTCCTTAAAAACTGTTCTCGTCCGCCCAACCCCCACCTCCTCTTCTCCAGACTAAACAAACCCAATTTTTTCAATCTTTCCTTGTAGGTCATGTTTTCTATACCTTTAATCATCCTTGTTACTATCCTTTGGATTTTTTCCAGTTTGCCACATTTTTCCTGAAATGTGGCACCTAGAAACCGGACACAGTACTCCAGCTGAGGCCTTATCAGTGCTGAGTAGAGTGGAGAAATTACTTCTTGTATCTTGCTTAAAACATTACAGCATAGTATTCACTTGTTTTGTAACAGCGTTACACTCTTCACTCATATTTAGCTTGCAATCCACTATGACCCCCAGATCCCTTTCTGCAGTACTCCTTGCTAGGCAGTCATTTTCCATTTTGTATGTATGCAATTGATTATTCCTTCCTAAATGGAGTACTTTGCATTTGTCCTTATTGAATTTCATCTTATTTACTTCAGACCATTTCTCCAGTTTGTCCAGATCATTTTGAATTTTAATCCTACCCTCCAAAGCCCTTGCAATCCCTCCCAGCTTGGTATCGTCCACAAACTTTATAAGTGTACTCTCTATGCATTATCTAATCATTGATTAGAAAGAGGCTAACTTGTGCATTGTAAAAGATTTATGGTGTCCCCTCTTTAATAGCCCTTGGTAAAGGCCACCATGCTACCAGATGTACTGGAAGGCATTATGGCCCTGGGTTCTCTTTAGAGAGCACAGTATACAGTCCTCTCCACAGCTTAGAATGGTGGGGGAAGAGGGAGCTCTTTGGGATGTTTTGTGCACTAAGGAGTGCTTGCAGGGAGCCATCTGTGATTGTAGCCAGCCCCTGCATGAGAGTGTTCAAGTCGGCAGGGGAAAGGAGAGATTTCATGTGCCTTTGTGGGCGAGACACCAAGAACAATCTCAATTATGCTGTATTGTTCTTGGATCTGTAATACTGTGTGTGTGTGTTTTAAAGGGATGGTCGTCTAAGCCCAGGGGATGAACTGTTAACACTAAATGGACAATCACTTAATGAGCTCACCAACAAAGAGGCTGAATCTCTCATTCAATCAGCAACAGGACTGGTGAATTTGGTGATTGCTAACAAGGTAAGTAGGAGGGCTGTGGTCCACTCCACATCTCCTTGGCATTTCAAAAGTGTTTACCTGAAAGGCAAGAGGAATCAGTGCACTGAATATCTGGAACATTTGTTTTTTCTCCCCCAAACCTCACGTGGTCTAAGTCTGCTAACCTTCAGTGTAGCTCTTCCAGGACAAACAGAGACTATGGGGAGCCATCAGCCCTTAGAAATTCTAGCTGGGATTATACAGTCACTCCTTTCATAAGCACATACCCCACCACTGTGTGTTTTCTATGTACAGACTGACCAAAGCTGGGGTGGATGAATGGAAGATCCATGAATCCAGGACCTGGGCTGGGAAAGGGCCAAGGACCCACCAAGTTTGGATCCAAGGCTCTATAGCTGTGGGACCCACTGCTACAGAGTGCTAGGGTTTGCCATCGGGATCAGAGAGCACGAGGTAGCATTAACAGGACAGTGAGGCAGGAGTATTACAAACAAGCCCTTTTCCAGTGGAAGCCCTTTGATCTTTTGTGGGTAGACCATTTGGATGCAGATCTCACAGTTTACACCTACCCTCAAGCACACATCTGAGTGGTGCTGGTTGTATTTCCCTAATTTAGTTATTGCTGCTCTCCCAATAATCTGTCATATAGTAAAGGCATTAAAAAAGGCATTATACCACGCTAGTACAGACTGAAGCACTGTGTAGACAAGCCCTAAGGCACCACTCCTGCAGTGAGTTCCAGGGGGGTGCTTCCCTGCCTTACATCTGCATGGAGCCCCTTTGACGTCAATGGTGTTTGTGCAGGTGTTCATTGCAGGATTGGGACCTAAACGTTAACGAAAAAAACATTCAGTTATCTAGAGCCCAGGAAACTCACGTAGCTAGTACAGGCTTAGTTAGAGAAATGAGAACTGAAGTCTGCAGTCCTGCCTAGAGTGTGCCTCTTTTTAGCATCTTCATACTGTACATTGTCTATCACCGTGAGGTCTGTTAGACTCTAACCAGGGGTTTATTTCTTTTTCCTTTCAAAATCAAAGAGGACTTATGTTTTATAAGGCAGGCTATATTTAACATTTATATTGTGGTAGCAGCCAACAGCTTCAGCCTGGTTAGGTCCCACTGTGCACTTTAAAACATACATTATGTTGGCTGAAAAATAAAACTAAAAGTGAACAGAAAACATTTTGGAAATGAGATTCTGGAACCGGCTGCTTAGCCAAAACCTATAAAAATCAGTTTCACAACGCACCCTTCAGACTCTTCTTTGTGCTTCTTATTCTAAAGAATTCACTAGGGGAAGCAGGCCGGAAAGAGGATGTATTTTTTTATGATTTGGCAATGGTGCCACTTGCTGCTGAAGAGGAGCGTTACCATTCAGTGGCTCACTGTGACAGGATACTTCCAAACAGCTCTACTAAAACTAGACTTCAAGAAGTAAGTTACATCTTGTTGTTGGCCCTCAACATCTTATGACATATAGACCCTGCTCCTATACCATTTTGTGGCCTCCTCAGCCCCTGCAAGATTCCCTTGAGTAAAACTGGCTTGGCTTTTTATGCAAAGTGATAGTTTGTCACATACATGGGATTTTGTCATAGCTATTTCCCCAATGATTTAACTGAGAGAGGTTTTTCCATGCAATTAGTGCCCTTTTATCATTCTTTTAGAACTGATAAGGCTCAATAATCCTATTAATTGCAATAAATTGCATTCCCTAGATCCATAGATGGACGAAACTTCTTATTTTTAAAGTATGCTTAGAGTCGAGGTTCCTAGTTGGGTGTAATCATTTACTTTTCCCATTGAACTCCCAAGCTATTTTGGACAAATTTGTTTAATTGAAAGCTTATAAATGCTGAACACAGTGGCCACTGTTTTCAAAGTAATCTTGGGTGCCTATCTTGGAACTCCTTGAAAGGGACCGATTCTCAGAAAGTGCTAATCATCTACCCTCCAAAAATCAGGCCCCTTTAAAATCAAACCACTAGTCACATCTGATATTTAGAGCAGCATATCTGGAGTTACCAAGAAATGAAAATATTCTTGTAGGTTTGTTGCGGGTGGGGGAAGAAGAGGGAGATAGACTCATTTTTACCTAGCATCCTGAATGTAACTTCTAAACTGCATGTATTTCCATACTAGTCCTCAGGTAAGTTACAGTTACTTCTGATATTTTGAAAGAAATACGATCAAACAAATAATTTAGAATCACCATCCCTTATCATTCCATTTATGTCAGATAAACTGCTTTCCTGCCCAAGTTCTGGGGTATAAGTTAAAATCCAGGCTGAAGTCTGTGCAAACTGAATTGTGAGAATTTTTTTTAAAAATTGAGATTAACTTCCATGTTTTTGTTGTTGCACTTGGTGAAGTGATTAGCACTCTCAGTAAAAACATAGCAGGTCAGATTTGTATTTAAAATATTCTGGGTCTCTTTTCAGGAATCCTCAACAGGTGTCTGTAATGAAAGGCCTGTTAAAATGGAAATACAAACTAATTGTTTTCTGCACTCTAAAGCCAGCTGCCAAAGGACTCGCAGTAATTCAACCAGTAAGTTTCTAAGAGGAAATATATTCTCTTGGGAAATTTAAATGCATGAAACTTTCTCAGGTTACGATATCATGATGTTGAAAGAAACAGCTTTTTTTTGCCAAGCTTTACTCTGGAGGGTTTTAGCTAGTTTCTTCTGTAAGACTCATGCTGCATGACAAGCTAGTATTAAAGAATGGATTCAGATATCCATGCATACTTATCAGTCATGATCCCTGTACATAAAAATTATGTATCAACTTACATATGCACACCATTTTGCATATTTTAAAGGTACCCTGAACTGGTTCAGACTATTTTTTTGTGGGGGAAAGCTTTGGTTGATTTTTACTAAAATTAACATTAACAAAAACACTTCTGTAATTTTAAAAAAACATTTTTAATTTAAACATTCCTCTTAAGTGTTATCATTCCCAAAGGCAACATATACCAATACTTGAGAAGCAGGTATTGCAATTGACTATAAACAAGTTTTTAATACGGGTAACATTTACAAGTGTGCCTCCCGGATTTGTAGTCACAAATATGGGCACACCTATTTCATTGTGTAGCTATTTGCACACACACATACGCACAGTGTATCTGACGTTTTGATGTATGCTGGTACACAAGTGAAATCCTGGCTCCACTGAAGATAATGCCAAAACTCCCATTAACTTCTGTAGGACTGGGATTTCACCCACTGTGTTTGTGTGCAAAGATGTACATGAGCTTGATTTGTAGGTTCAATTTTGAAGGTCCCTTTGAGAGAATGAGTGAAAATGCAAAAAGGAAACAAGCAGCATAAATGCTGAGAAATATATTAGATCTTTAAAATTATTTATATTTCCATACTCTCGAGTGTTGTTAGTAATAGGGGCAGTGACATTTTAAAATGTATCAGTTTTATGTTGGAAATGTCACTTTAACTCAGTGTTAACTTCTGTGCTGTAGTTTTAGTGTTAGGCTGTGTTAAATGTTTGCATTAAATGAGACATCTGGACATAAAGTTTATGAACTACATTATGATGTTCTCTCCCTTTCTGGTTGTAATTCCTGGAAACAAAAGTAATAGTGTTCCGGGATACTCAGATGGGCTGAGGACAGTATCTATTCTCTAATCAAATGTACAGACTAGTGATACATGTTCCCCAAATAATGAACCCTTTCAGTTTACTTTGTGCTTTGTTGGTAAAATATTTGTCAGATGGAGATGATTATTCACAATGCTATTGTCTGTTTTCCATTGAATGTAATCAACATGGCCTTTCGAGTGAAATAGTTAAAACTAACAACTTAGCTGAGTCTCTAGGAGACGTTTCACTTTTGCCCAGATACCATGGCAATGAGCACACTGGAAATGCAAAGATAGATATAAACAGACAGAAAAGAAACTTTATGGGGATGTGCAGTAGCTGAAATAGCTTGTAATAAAATAAAATCCAGATGTGCCTGTACACAGCATAGGTGAAAGCATAGAAACAATACAGCAAGGGTAGCAGTAGTGAAACAGGGCACAGCCAGAAAACCCAATCCTATACTCTGTATGTCAGCATGTTAAAATTTTAAACAGGTGAATTACCTGCCCAGTCCCCCTGCACTGCATATTCCTTCTACTAGACATGGCATAGGCCAGAGGGTGGTCATTGATGCAGCAGTTTATTATAGCCAGAAAGGCTGGATCAGGTTCTGGCCTCCTATGATTGTTTGGCATAGGTGACATGAACAGAAGTACACTCCAGTGATTCAAACTGTGAAAGCCTGTAACAGATAGAAATGCCACCGTTATCCAGGTACAAGCTGCCTGATCTCCTCCTCATGGCTTATGCCAGCAGAACCCCTTTGTGGACACATAGTCTAGCATTAGGTGGTTGGGCCTGATTACCCCCTTCTAAGACAGCTGGGGTTGCTGTGTCCTAGAGGGTCTCACCCCTGGGGAAGTGTAGGTAGTGTCTGCACCGCTGTCCTTCTCAGCTGCTTCTCCCAAGGATGGAGCTTGAATTTGCAGTCAGGGCTTCATAGGATCCCACACTGGCAGAGGCTGCCCTGGGGAGATGCGGAGTCAGCACATCCCCTCCTTTCTCTCCCTCCCCCCACAACTTGGCCAGCACCACTGTGGTAGCACAGGCTGGGTGCAAGTCCCTCTGTGGAGCAGAGCCGTGTAGACACAGTGCACCAGTGGGCAGATTTTCCACAATCTTGCGCCCAGGGTTTTGCTGTGGAAAAAAATACACATCCAGCCTACTGTCTTTTGAAAACCTGTATCTACTAAAAAAAGTCTGCCGAACAGTGAAGTCTGTTAGGTTGTGGAATAGTCTTTCAAGGAAAGTGGGGAAATGCATATAATAGTCTCACCCTGCATTGGCAGAAGGAGGAATTGGCTCAGCTAACAGGTCTTTTCATCTGTATCATCTTTGATTCTGTGATAACTGTATCTGTCTTCTTTACTTCGGGGTAATGTGATTTTGCTCTCAGTGCATCATGTGATGCAATTAAGATGCTCCCTTGTAACGAGCCCCTGATATGGAGAGAGAGGGTTATGGATGCAGAAGCTTGTGCATAAAAGTGAATGGAATGTATGTGCAGCAGGCAGTCTTTGAACAAGGCCCTGTGTGTCTGCCATGCAGAACTCTCTCTATTAGCTGAGTGTGCCCAGCAGTTGATCGTGTGAAGTCACTGGGTGCAACTGAAGCTTGTGAGGTTTGGTTCTTAATGGTGGCTCAGGGAATCCCATCACTGCCTGGTACAGTTATATTTACAACTTGAAAAATCTTTCTAAACGGAATTTATTGAGTCAAGTGTTTGATGCAGAAGTGTTTGAAGCTAATGCTCATGAAAAATACGGTGTCATGCCTTCTGTCTCCTGTAGGTGTAAATCCTTACTGGATGGGGGAAATTGACTATCCAGTGACAAAGAAATCAACAGCATATAGAGACAGACAGCCCCATTCTCTTTACAGTAACCGGAAGTCACTCTCTCAGCAGCTAGACTGTTTGGTAGGAAGAGGTCCGGTAAGTGCAACAGGAAATCACACACCACTAGAAAGTTACATTCATCAGGCTCAACAAGAACACTCCAGCTAAGTTGCACTTAGTTTCCTTGCCAAAACTTTCCCGCCTTAGGGGCCCTGCCATTGGGGACTGCACTAGGGATACAGTGAATCAGTGCATCCCTCAGTCGCTCCAGCCATGCTCCCTGCCAGCGGGCCATCCCAAGTGAAAGGGATGCCCTCCCCATGGTGAAATTTCTGCCTACTCCCCCTCCCCCCCCACACACACTGAATTGACTGTGTGAGGTGCAGGTCCAGAGATGGAGGAAAGGCTCTATGACAGCACAGCCCCTCCGTTGTCCTTTCTCCAGCAGCTGCTGCTCCTGATCATCCCCTATGCATGTTTTCCAGCTACAATGGATCCACAGGAGAGTAGATGCTGTTGTCCCTTCCCTTGGTCACCCCCATAGCCCTCTCACCTATTTGGAGCTAGGAGAGAGCACTGCCACCGTGACAGCAGAAGAGGCCCCCTGAATGGCTGATCCACCCTGCTGGCCACATATAGAAATTGCAATGCTTCTGCACCTTGAAGAGCTTTACACAGGCCCTTCCTCAGGGGCATGAATTTCAACAAACTGTGTATAAACTTGCACATATCTCAGGTCCCTAGTGGAAGATGGGCTACCGCCCAGGGTTTTGACGGAGATGTAGCTTTCACTGAGTATATTTTTGGCATTACACAGCCATCTCCCAGATATTCACATTCATAACTCTCTCTATGGTACTGTACGAATAAGCTTCTTCTCATGTACTCGTCAAGCCTCATTTCCTGACATATGCAGAAGCTGAATGCTTGATGGGTGTTCCATACATTAGATCCTCATGCAGCTGTTAGTTTCACATCGCTGCATAAACAAATTTGTAGAAAATCAGAACTCTCACAGCTTCTCTGCACATGCTTCTGGCCCGGCTGAACTTCATGCATACTTAGCATTAGATAATAACTTGATTCAGTGCTTAAATAAGCTTCGTGTTAATGTTCATATAGGACGTCTTCATTATGTATGTAACCTTTCTGCCAGCTGGAGTTGGCAGCAACAAGGTTCAATATCTAGGGGTTCCTCTGAACAATACAAAACAGAAGTGGCTTAAGTCCGCACTCAGTAACCAGAGAAAACTAAACACCATCCCTGGGCACCGCTAAGAGGCAATACCTCCCCAGTTGCAAGCACTGAGTCTGTGTATAACAAAAGAAAAACTTGTATTAAAAAGGAAAGGGAACCAAGCATTCATATGAGAAAACACCACAACCACCGCTCAAAAGCATGTAGCCATAAACAAACACCCACCCCCAGTACTTTGGGCGGTGTCCTTTGCCTCAGTTTCCCATCACGTGGTGTGAAACTCCCAACGAATGATCGTCCCTTCAACACGCCCTTCCCCTCTCCCTCCACTGCTCCCCACTCACAGTTGGTTGACCTTAGTCAGCAAAGACCCGGAGTTCAGAGGTGCGTTCACATGGGTCTATCCACCACCCATGGTGGGAATGGGGGGGGCAGGGCATCAAGCCATGCCCTAGCTGCTGCTGCTGCCTCTCCAGCTGGCTCACTACCGCTGCTATCTCTGCCACAGCTTGCCGCCGCTGTTATCTCTGCCATCGCTGGCCGCTTGCTGCCACCTCTACCACCCTCATCTCTGCCACTGTTATCACTGCCACTGCGGCTTGCCGTGGTCTGGGGTCCCCCAACGTAGTCCTGCGCTCAGTGATTTCACTGGGTACCTGGGAACCTCGGTGCTGCTCCCTCTTCATTGTCTTTCACTGCAGCACTGTCCCCACCCCACGTCCAAAGCTTAGCTCCTAGACCTGCTCATCAGTAGTTTCAGCTCTAGTAATCACTGAACAGAAACAAGGCCTCTCAGTCAAGTCCAATCTGCTCTGTCTTTAAACACTGGAGAGGGGAGGGTCAAATGGAGCCTAGGACTCTTTAGGCAGAGCGCACACCGCCGGGTAGGAACACCAGTCCCCATCCGCTCTCATCGTTACTGGGATTTGGCATCCCTACTCCCTGCTTAGCAAGGGAGGTTCAGTCAAGGCATACAGTACTAAGTTCTGCTGCCCTTTACTCATGCAATAAGGATACCCCTGCATTCAGAGTGGGTTGTAACCCCAAACCTGCCAAAATTGATCACTTTGGCAAAGCAGCTCTGTCTAGGGCAAGTATGGTCTGCCCCTGACGTCTTGCTCCCCAGTTCATCGCTGGGTGTCAGGGTAGAGCTCATTCAGACCCTGCTTACATGTATATCACTACAGATACAGACTCATATTAAAACTGGTCATGCCTGATGGGCTGGAAACAAATTAAGAAATCCACCATCTATTAAACTGAGGGAAGCAGACTACTTGCAGATTGGTTATCAGCTTCTCACTGAATAGATCCAAGCAAAACGGAACTACTTCTTTCACTGGAAGAATTCTGTACTGGTACTTAATCTCAGGATGTGGCTGTTTACATCTTTGAAGCACTTATAAAGGCATTAATTAATAGTGTACAACAACAAGATGCTATGGGTAAAAGTTTATATTATTTTCACCCTTCGATGGCAAAGGAAATGGGCAGAAAAATGGTGACAAGGATACAGAGCTAGTCAATGGCAAAGTCAGGATTGCACAGCTTTGACTAGACTAGAGCTTTGAGTAATAGCTGTAAATAATAAGAATAGAAATCTGGAGATGATCTGGATTCACAGTGCTGTACTCAGGCCCTTACATAACAGTGCTTGTTGTGACCCAAATGTGCAACCACATAATTTTGGCATGGGCATATCAAATGCCAACACAAATAATATGACTCAAGTATGAGAGAGTACTTCTAGGGTCTAGATTCTAAATCTGGTTGGATCACAGTAGCTAGACAAGCATAGAAATGATTTAAGCAATTTCAAAATGAAGCCCATAGTCTATAAGGAGCTCAGGGTTTTAGCTGAATATCCTATGCATCTGAAAAAAGACTAAAGTACCAGGACATGTTCCAGATAATTCTGTAGCCCATTGGGTCCTGGAGAAACGAGCTGTCTGAATCATGCAAACAAACATTTTAAAACCCAGCATGTTCTGCCTGTGGAATCTTTGTTGTTCCATGAAGACTGTACTCTCACAGAGCAATTGCACACATTCATCTGGTATGTAAATGCCTGGCACTGCATTAAAACTATTTTTCTCTTTGCAGGCTGTTTCAAGACCCTCTAGATCACTGAGCACTGCTCAGTTAACGCATACGTCTTGTGGCTCACAGGCTTCCGTAATATCAAACATTGTTTTGATGAAAGGCCAAGGGAAGGTGAGATGCTTGTGTATATTACCATAAACAGAATGCTAGTCACCTTCCCCGGTATAAAGGTACATATCAAATTGGGAGCGAATGGTGCAGGGAGGCTGGTAACGGGACAGGGAGCCTTTCGCCTCTGGGTTGCCAGTTCCAATCTGGGCCTGGGCAGCCAGTGACTAAAAATCACCATCCTCTGCTGACTGTTTGGTGGTCTGTGCCGTGTGTTGGTGGTCACAGGCCAGTTCCTAATGGACACAATCACCACCAACAGCTGACATTCACTGGCATCCTTCTTAACAGCCGGGGCACTGACTGAATGGGGTCTGGAGACTGAATTAGCCTCTCCCTTCTCGAGATGCTCCCTCCAAGTCAGAGCTGACAGACAGTGGTGGACTGGCAGTGTGGGGAAGAATGCACTGCTTGTTCCATATCTGACCTCCAGGTAAATAAAGGACTGCAGCCTCCAGAAGCTTTTGATTTGTCACCTTTCACAAACACCAAACATTCACACAGCAAGATTACAGCTGAACTCTATCCTGTTAGGTGCTGACTTAACAGGAATTGAGGGAATTCAGCACCTTGCAGGATTGGCTCTTTAGTGCAATTTGTCTTCAGCTCGATTCGGATTTTGCAGTATTTCATAGCACATCTACTGTAATCTACGTGAGGGCTCACTCTCCATGCACGTGCATATCTGCCATTGAGGCTAATGGGAATCGCATGTGTGCACAGTAGCTAGAGCATGTTCTCCATGGCAACGTATTACCAGCTTTGTTTATATCATCTAGTGCTTTGCAGCTTGCATCATCCTGATTTGTTAAGCCAGGAAACTCCACAAGATGCAGTCGGTGATAAAGCATAGTTACATAAGCAAGACCCTCAGTAAAATCATGTACACATGCACAAAAACAAAACTTAGATTTACACAGACCATATCTAGCAAGACAGAGAGAGGCAATTGCTATCACTCTTACAAATAAAAATGCCAAAGGGGTGTTCTTGCTCTCTGTCTGCCACACATTTGCATTATTTGTGATTATTTTTTGACTGACTTTCATTTGTAACTGGGATGCATAAAATATGGAAGCTAGAACTTAAACAGAGGCCTTTTAGGCCTGTAAATTCTCTAATTAAGATCTCTTTCTAAATAACAATGTCCATTACAGATGTAGTGACTACTATCAGAAAGTCCTTCTGTGGAATTCAATAAAATAAATTATTATGATCATCATCTGTATTGTGTACGGTAGCACCTAGGGGCCCTAGTCATGTATCAGGGCCTCATTGTGTGTAATACTTTGCACTTCTATAGCACTTTTCATCCATGGATTTCCAGTTGGTTTACAAATAGTAATTAAGTACAATCTCTACTCCTGGGGGAATTCTGTGCCAAAAAATTAAAAATTCCTGGCACAACATTTTAAAATTCTGCTTATTGTTTTGGTCAAAATAACACAATATTATACACCAATTTCAATTTATTTCAAAATGCCTGTCAAGTATGTCTATAACAACAAAGATAACAAAAAAGATTCAGAAATTCAATTTTTTTGACAAATAGTTTTCTTACTAGGCATATTAATACAAAACTTTGAGTAATAATTCGTTTAAACTACAATAAGGAAACATATTTCCCTCCCTCCTCAGAAGCAGTACAAAGGGTTTGGGAAACTCAGGGGTAATGGAGGAGCTGAGGGAGAGGGAAGTAATTGCTGGGAAGGAGCCTGGAGTGAACCTGAAGGGTTGTTGGATGTGAGTGGGAGAAGTATGGAACAGGGTTTTTTTGGGGAGGGAGGAGATTGTTAGGGAGTTGGGGCGCTTCCCCCATGCAGATCCTGTCTGACCCCTAGCCTCTCCCATTCAGTCAAGCACATCTTCCCCCATCACCTTGTGTCCCTGCACCCCCCACTCAACCACCCCTTCTCCACATCTCCATGTGGCCCTGCATCCTCCTCCCCCTGTCACCATGTGTCCCTCCACCCCCACTTAGCCACGCTCTGCCCCCACACAACCCCTGCCCCCCACTCCCCGATCCCCATGCTTCCCTCCCCCATCTTTATGTGTCCCTACACCACCACTCAACCACCTACCGCCTCCATTGTCCCTGCACCCACACTCAGCCACCCCCATGCGCTCATGGCCCTGCACTCCTATTCACATTCAGCCCCTGCCCCAGTATGTCCCCCCACAGCTAGCCCTTCAGAATACCAGAACCCCAGCAGCCCCATCTGCCCTGTTCTGTCTGTTCCCACCATATCCTGCGCCTCCTCACCTGGTCCCACAGGCAGAGCACTGTGAGAAAGGCAGCTTCTTGTCCTCCCTATTGGCAGCCTCCCTGTGGCTGGTGAACTGGCTTCCCTCTGTTCTGGTGCCACGGCAACCCCTGGCAGAATGTATTTTCTGTGGAGAAAAAAACCTGTGGGGGACATGAATTCTGCGTGTGAGCAGCGTTGCAGAATTCCCCCAGAAGTAAGTCTCAGAATATCCCTCTGAGGTGAATATTAGTTCCATTTTATGGGTCGGGAAATTGAGGCAAAAGAGGTTAAGTGACTCACCTAAGGCCACACATTATGTTAGTGGCAGAGTCAGGAGTATGGAACTTAAACCTATGCTCTAATCATCAGAAGTTACTATTGCAGTGCATATATAGTATCAAATTAATGGTTTGTGACTTTTATAAAGAAGAACTTAGAAGATATTTAACTGAAATTTTAAGTTGGGGATCACTATATCCACCTTTGTTTTAAATCTTGTAATGAACATATTAATGTCCATCATACAATTTTGCTAATTGTTATTGCCCATGTAGCATCTTAGTACAGAAGGGAAAATAATGTAACCATTATGAGAAATAAACATGATCTCTCTCTCTCTCTCTTTCATAATTTAGGGGTTGGGCTTCAGTATTGTTGGAGGGAAGGACAGCATTTATGGGCCCATTGGTATCTATGTAAAGACCATCTTTCCAAGTGGAGCTGCTGCTGATGATGGAAGGTTACAAGAAGGTAGGACATTTAAAATGTAGGACAAAAGAGGATCGGATTGCTTGTGGGATTGGTGACATAAGGGTCAAAGCCAGCTCAGGTTGATTGTGAATGAAAGTTGTTTTCCCCTGAAGATTGTTTGGTGACTGCTGTGAAATGAGGTGGTAGTTTAATTTCATTGCTTGCATGGCAAATATCCACATTCTAATTGGCATGGCTCCTCTATTTACAATCTCAGAAGAGAGGCTAGTGACTCAGTTACCTTTTTGGCCACTGTAATAGAACTAAGCAGAAAACTGGAGTGGGGAAATCAAATATTTTCATTTTCAATGAAATTTCAAAGTTTTTAGCCATTCAGCTGCAGTATTGCCAACCTCAAGAGATCAAAAATCATCAGCCAGACCCCACAAAATCAGGAGGGTGGGTTTTTTAAAAAAAATCTGATCATGTTGTTTAGCGTGTCTTTTGACTTCCCTCTACTCCTCTTCCAGTGTGGATATGTGATCATTTCAAGCTGAAAAAGGCAAGCTTTAATGACCACAGAAATGCATGCCTCTCCCAAGCTGCTCAGATGGAGACACCACTTACCCAAGCCTCACCCCAAAGATAGGGGAACTGCCATCCATTTCCTCTTAGTGCCCTGACCCCAGAGCAACACATCTGTGCCTGGGACCCAGCAGCACCACTTCCCCAACTCCCCCTCCCCTAGGACACTCTCTCTGCTCTAGGGCTATACATGAAGGCAGGGCTCAGTGACAGGGCAGGTCTGTGTCCTCAGCTCCAAGGCTCTTGCATAGAACTCTACCCACGTGCCCTCTCTGAAAATTATGGGATTGGAGGAGCTCCTGGCATCATCGCAACAGCTCTTCCTACAGGCGCCAAAATCCTGCGACTCATGATCAGTTCATGAGAGTTGGCAACACTGTGACACTGCCTTCCCCTGGCTGCTTGGAGAGGACTCCCCTTAACCATCATTACCCCAAGCTAGGGAAGCTGCTATTCCATCTCTCCATCTCCCACCCCGTTACTGTCCTTTGCACCCCCACATCCCCCCGAACACCTAAATCTGCTGCCTGCTGTCACCAATGCCCTGCTTCCCCTCCCCCATCCACTTTTTACAGAGTCTTTGCTGCCCCTTGCAATCCATATGTCCTGACTAGTACCCTGAGCCATAAAGTGGTAGCCATTTTGCCTGTAGGAATGGCCTTAGTCTCATTCAAAACAGGAGGTGGCAGCCAACTTTATAAATGGCAGCCTGATTGCCACAAGCTGATAGACTCTATCTATTTTGCTGGCTTCAGGCCTATGAGTGGCACAAGGAGATGGTGGCCATTTTGACAAAGGGAAAAATTGCGAGTGGGCAGTCCAGTGGCGCAGCGGGGCTAAGGCAGGGCCCCTACCTGCCCTGGCTCCGCACTGCTCCCTGAAGTGGCCGGCACATTCCTGCGGCCCCTGGGGAGGGGGGCAGGGGTCTCTGCACACTGCCCATGCCCCGAGCACCGACTCCACAGCTCCCATTGGCCGCAGTTCCCGGCCACTTGGAGCTGCAGGGGTGGTGCCTGCAGGCGGGGCAGCTTGCAGAGCCTCCTCTCTTCCCCTCCAGGGGCTGCAGGGACATGCTTACCACTTCCTGGAGTGGCCAGTGCATGGAGCCCCCTGGCCCCACTTATCTCGGGCGGCTCCTGTCCCGGTCAGCAGTGCAGCGGGATTAAGGTAGGCTCTGCTCCCACAGGGCCCATTGGCCGCATTTCCCAGCCAATGGGAGCTGCAGAGTCGGCACTCAGGGAGCATGTGGAGACCTCTGCCCCCTGCCTCAGGGGCTGCAGGGATGTGCTGGCTGCTTCCAGGAGTGGCATGGGGCCAGGGCAGGCAGGGAGCCTGCCTTAGCCCTGCTGCACCACCGACTGGGAGCTGCCCAAGGTAAGTGCCACCCAGCCAGAGCCTGCACCCCTCACTCTCTCCCACACCCCAATCCCCTGCCCCAGCCCGGAGCCCCCTCCTGCACCCAAACTCCCTCCAAGAGCCTGCACCCCTCATCCCCTCCCACACCCCAATCCCCTGCCCTAGCCTTGAGCCCCCTCCAGCACTCAAACTCCCTCCCAGAGCTTGCACCCTGCATCCTCTCCTGCATCCCAATTCCCTGCCCCAGGCTCAGGCCAGAGCCCCCTCCACACTCCGAATCCCTTGGCCCCAGCCCAGAGCCTGCACCTCCTCCTGCACCCCAACCCCCTGCCTGAGCCCAGTGAAAATGAGCGAGGGTGGGGGAGAGCGAGCCACCCGGGGAGGGGGGGGAATAAAGTGAGCAGGGCAGGGCCTCAGAGAAGGGTTGGAGTAGGAGCGATGCCTCTGGGAAGGGGCAGGGACAAAGGTGTTTGGATTTGTGTGATTAGACAGTTGGCAACTGTATCTTTTCATGAATCAGGGAAAAAAGTCCCAATCCAAAATGTCTAGTCAGGATAAAATTGCGAGAGTTGGCAATACTGAAAATGTAAAAATCCAATCATTTCCTGTATCGGGGAGGAGTCTAACATTAACTTAATTTTCACACATTTGATTTAGAGCACAAAATATTTATAGCAGCATTTTAATCTCACCGAAGGGCTCTATCTGGTCCCACTGAAATCAGTGCTATAAGTGGTATATTTTCGTCTCCATGCATTACTGCATGATCATTCTTGGCTATTTGTCTCTCACACAATTCGGGAATAGCAATTAGTAACACAGTTTAATTATTCCTTTTTAAAACAGGTGATGAAATTCTGGAACTGAATGGAGAATCAATGTACGGATTAACACATTATGATGCTTTACAAAAATTCAAGGTTACACACTCTCCTCACAGCACAATTTCTATCTTTACCCAAAAGGTGCACGTGAGCTCAGCCCACTCATTGTTTTTATTTTCTAGCAGGCCAAAAAGGGTCTCCTCACCCTTACAGTCAGGACAAGCCTTAGCACCCCGTATTCTGCCTCTAGCTACCTATCGCCACACTTATGTCGGTCTCTGAGCTCCAGCACTCGGATAACCAAGGAAAACAGCTCTTTCAGTTCAGATGGTGCTGCCGTCTCATTAAGCACCACAAAGCCCAATGACAGGGTCATAATGGAAGTTTCCTTAAACAAAGGTAAGTGCTAAAATAAACTGAACAAGGAATATATGGAACAAGACATTGATTCACAAACTGATGGCTCATTTACTTTCTGCATGTTTGTCCTCACTCTATCCTAATTCCTCCCCTGCTTGCACAGATTATTTTTTTCAACTCACCTAATACAGACTCAGTGCCTACCGTGATATCCTGCCAAGCTATCTATCAATTGTGTCTTTCGCCTACCATATTTCCACCCACTGTTCCACTCAGGCACTAGATTGACACTTTCAGTTCTCCTCACCCCCCTTACAAGGCAAAATCCCTCTGAGACACCACTCACTGAGTGTTCAAACTCAGTTAATTAAGTACATTACACAACTCTAATTCTTAATTATACAAACTCTCTATTTCAGTGTGAAAATTCATGGCTTTGTAAAACAGCCATTTCTTTTGTCTCTTCCCCCCAACTGCTGTGTTTTTCCATACACAAAAAGAAAGCACAGACATTGAAAGAATGACTTAGTTTAGAAGACAGGATGCACCAAAACAAAGAACAAAAGTAAATAAGTGACAGGTTTCAGAGGAACAGCCGTGTTAGTCTGTATTCGCAAAAAGAAAAGGAGTACTTGTGGCACCTTAGAGACTAACCAATTTATTTGAGCATGAGCTTTCGTGAGCTACAGCTCACTTCATCAGATGTTTACCGTGGAAACTGCAGCAGACTTTATATACACACAGAGAATATGAAACAATACCTCCTCCCACCCCACTGTCCTGCTGGTAATAGCTTATCTAAAGTGATCAACAGGTGGGCCATTTCCAGCACAAATCCAGGTTTTCTCACCCTCCACCCCCCACACAAATTCACTCTCCTGCTGGTGCTAGCCCATCCAAAGTGACAACTCTTTGCATAATCAAGTCGGGCTATTTCCTGCATAGATCAAGGTTTTCTCACATCCCCCCACCCCCATACACACACAAACTCACTCTCCTGCTGGTAATAGCTCATCTAAACTGACCACTCTCCAAGTTTAAATCCAAGTTAAACCAGAACATCTGGGGGGGGGGGGGGTAGGAAAAAACAAGAAGAAACAGGCTACCTTGCATAATGACTTAGCCACTCCCAGTCTCTATTTAAGCCTAAATTAATAGTATCCAATTTGCAAATGAATTCCAATTCAGCAGTTTCTCGCTGGAGTCTGGATTTGAAGTTTTTTTGTTTTAAGATAGCGACCTTCATGTCTGTGATTGCGTGACCAGAGAGATTGAAGTGTTCTCCGACTGGTTTATGAATGTTATAATTCTTGACATCTGATTTGTGTCCATTTATTCTTTTACGTAGAGACTGTCCAGTTTGACCAATGTACATGGCAGAGGGGCATTGCTGGCACATGATTGCATATATCACATTGGTGGATGTGCAGGTGAACGAGCCTCTGATAGTGTGGCTGATGTTATTAGGCCCTGTGATGGTGTCCCCTGAATAGATATGTGGGCACAATTGGCAACGGGCTTTGTTGCAAGGATAAGTTCCTGGGTTAGTGGTTCTGTTGTGTGGTATGTGGTTGTTGGTGAGTATTTGCTTCAGGTTGCGGGGCTGTCTGTAGGCAAGGACTGGCCTGTCTCCCAAGACTTGTGAGAGTGTTGGGTCATCCTTTAGGATAGGTTGTAGATCCTTAATAATGCGTTGGAGGGGTTTTAGTTGGGGGCTGAAGGTGACCGCTAGTGGCGTTCTGTTATTTTCTTTGTTAGGCCTGTCCTGTAGTAGGTAACTTCTGGGAACTCTTCTGGCTCTATCAATCTGTTTCTTTACTTCTGCAGGTGGGTATTGTAGTTGTAAGAAAGCTTGACAGAGATCTTGTAGGTGTTTGTCTCTGTCTGAGGGGTTGGAGCAAATGCGGTTGTATCGCAGAGCTTGGCTGTAGACGATGGATCGTGTGGTGTGGTCAGGGTGAAAGCTGGAGGCATGCAGGTAGGAATAGCGGTCAGTAGGTTTCCGGTATAGGGTGGTGTTTATGTGGCCATTGTTTATTAGCACTGTAGTGTCCAGGAAGTGGATCTCTTGTGTGGACTGGACCAGGCTGAGGTTGGTGGTGGGATGGAAATTGTTGAAGTCGTGGTGGAATTCCTCAAGGGCTTCTTTTCCATGGGTCCAGATGATGAAGATGTCATCAATATAGCGCAAGTAGAGTAGGGGCTTTAGGGGACGAGAGCTGAGGAAGCGTTGTTCTAAATCAGCCATAAAAATGTTGGCATACTGTGGGGCCATGCGGGTACCCATAGCAGTGCCGCTGATCAGACAGAGACAAACACCTACAAGATCTCTGTCAAGCTTTCTTACAACTACAATACCCACCTGCAGAAGTAAAGAAACAGATTGATAGAGCCAGAAGAGTTCCCAGAAGTTACCTACTACAGGACAGGCCTAACAAAGAAAATAACAGAACGCCACTAGCGGTCACCTTCAGCCCCCAACTAAAACCCCTCCAACGCATTATTAAGGATCTACAACCTATCCTAAAGGATGACCCAACACTCTCACAAGTCTTGGGAGACAGGCCAGTCCTTGCCTACAGACAGCCCCGCAACCTGAAGCAAATACTCACCAACAACCACATACCACACAACAGAACCACTAACCCAGGAACTTATCCTTGCAACAAAGCCCGTTGCCAATTGTGCCCACATATCTATTCAGGGGACACCATCACAGGGCCTAATAACATCAGCCACACTATCAGAGGCTCGTTCACCTGCACATCCACCAATGTGATATATGCAATCATGTGCCAGCAATGCCCCTCTGCCATGTACATTGGTCAAACTGGACAGTCTCTACGTAAAAGAATAAATGGACACAAATCAGATGTCAAGAATTATAACATTCATAAACCAGTCGGAGAACACTTCAATCTCTCTGGTCACGCAATCACAGACATGAAGGTCGCTATCTTAAAACAAAAAAACTTCAAATCCAGACTCCAGCGAGAAACTGCTGAATTGGAATTCATTTGCAAATTGGATACTATTAATTTAGGCTTAAATAGAGACTGGGAGTGGCTAAGTCATTATGCAAGGTAGCCTGTTTCTTCTTTTGTTTTTCCCCCCCCCCCCCCCCCCCCCCCCAGATGTTCTGGTTTAACTTGGATTTAAACTTGGAGAGTGGTCAGTTTAGATGAGCTATTACCAGCAGGAGAGTGAGTTTGTGTGTGTATGGGGGTGGGGGGATGTGAGAAAACCTTGATCTATGCAGGAAATAGCCCGACTTGATTATGCAAAGAGTTGTCACTTTGGATGGGCTAGCACCAGCAGGAGAGTGAATTTGTGTGGGGGGTGGAGGGTGAGAAAACCTGGATTTGTGCTGGAAATGGCCCACCTGTTGATCACTTTAGATAAGCTATTACCAGCAGGACAGTGGGGTGGGAGGAGGTATTGTTTCATATTCTCTGTGTGTATATAAAGTCTGCTGCAGTTTCCACGGTAAACATCTGATGAAGTGAGCTGTAGCTCACGAAAGCTCATGCTCAAATAAATTGGTTAGTCTCTAAGGTGCCACAAGTACTCCTTTTCTTTTTAAGTAAATAAGTGTGACTCGTCTCTTGCATAGGTTGCATCAACTCTGTATCAACTCAATGGCTGCTGTCTCTGTAAAGAGGAAGAGCTCTTACAAATCTAAAGGTGTTTTGCACAGAAAACAAAAAAGAGTACAATTTCAGGCTACACACAACCACATTTCCTTCTTATTTTTTCTCCCTCTCTCTGTTATTATTTCTCATTGTAAAATGATCTGGGATCCAGTTTGCATGACAGAGCCTTTGCAAAGTAAAGCTGCATTGCACTGTATCTGTAAGATGCTAACAATGAATGTGTGAATTAAATTTTCAAATGTGGCTAGAAACATTTGTGTGCATCCTCCTTACACATACAAAAAAACCTGCATTTGCCTGTGGAGAATGCATAACTGCAAGGATATGGCTCTGTTTTCAACAAGCATGTTTTGCGGCCACCGTTTAGAAACAGTACTCCCCAATTATTTTGGTGTTCACATTTCTTATGCATCTTTTTGATGAACCCTTTCAGAAGCTGGCGTTGGCCTAGGAATTGGCTTGTGCAGTGTCCCTTACACCCAGTGCATTTCCGGGATATTTATCCATACCCTCTCACCAGGCTCCGTGGCTCATATGGATGGGAGGCTCAGGTATGTTGAATGTTTTTTTTATCAAAGAACCTTTCAGAATGAAAGTTTCACATTCCCCTGCCAGATAAGCTCTGTCATCTCAGATGGAGCTCTCATCTCTCCAAGCAGGAGTCTAAGTATTGCAATATACAGGAATGGGGATGAGCTGGCAAGAAATGGGATTATAATCCAGGAAAATAGGAACTGAGAATGAAAAGAGATACATGAGAAAACTGAGGATCAAACTCAGACTGACTTAAATATTGACAGTGTCTGTCATGGGGCCAAATGCTGCCCTTTCTCCCACACAAAGTTCAAGTAAATGGGCTTTGCAGTACATGGGCCTTTAGATGGGATGCATGGAAGGAATCATTTCTGGGACCAGTTTATTCCCCTGCTCCAGGCAGGGGTGAAAATAACTTAAAGGACTTACCGGTACGCCGGAGTCCTCAGCAGGGGGGGCGTGGCCTCAACCAGAAAGCGAGTGGCCTCAACCGGAAGAGGCGGGGCCTTTGGAGCCCCGGGCCCTGTAAATCGAGATTTAAAGGGCCCCGGGCTCTGGCTGTGGTAATGGTAGCAGTGGTGGCCGGGGGCTCCGGCGGTGATTTAAAGGGCCAGGGCCTCCCAGCCGCTGCTACCACAGTGGAGCCCTGGGCCCTTTAAATTGCCGATGGAGTCTCGGGGGTCCCGGCTGCTGCCACTACCCCAGGGCTCCAGCAGCGGGGCTTGGGCGGTGATTTAAAGGGCCCAGGGCTCCGGCCGCTGCTACCGCCCCAGGCCCTTTAAACTGCTGCCAGAACCCCGCTGCCAGAGCTGGCGGAGATTTAAAGGGCCCAGGGCGGTAGCGGCAGCTGGAACCCCAGGCCCTTTAAATCGCCGCCTGAGCCCTGCTGCCGAAGCCCTGGGGTAGCAGTGGCGGGGCTCTGGTGGGGATTTAAAGGGCCAGGGGCTCCCAGCCACCGCTACCTCAGTGGAGCCCCAGGCCCTTTAAATCGCCGCTGGAGTCCTGGGGGTCCCGGCCGCCGCCACTACCCCGGGACTCCGGAAGTGGGGCTCTGGTGGCACTTTAAAGGGTCCGGGGCTCCAGCCGCTTCTGGGAGCCCTGGGCCCTTTAAATTGCCGCCTGGGGAAGCTCTTGCCGGTACGCTGTACCAGGGTGTACCAGCTTACTTTCACCTCTGGCTCCAGGAGAAATGACTAGAGGATCTGTATAGTCACTGAGCCACTGGCCTTGCCCCTTCCTTCCCAATACTTGTGTGCACCCAGAGTGTTCCCGGGTGCAGATGGCATTGCAGAGGTCTTGCACACGTTCCCCAAATTCTATCCCCGACTGTATGATAGAAATACAGCTTTATTGCGTCTGGGACCTTCCACACCAACAGAAATTTATCCCATCAGATTTAAGAGCTTCGTCGCCAGAGGATAATGTTAGGAGGACCTGGTACACTGTGTGTTTTTAGAGTTGTGTTAAAACAAAAATCCTTTGAGTTCTGCACCTGTTCTGCACCCTGAATGTACCTGGAAACTCAGCTGAAAATGCGGCAAGTTCTGCAACATTTGGATTGAAACTTTGAAACCCTCAGCACCCATGTGCGTGTTTGGGAAAGAGGGGAGAGAGGGCATGATAGTACCCAGCTGTGCCATGCTGGAATTTCATTAGGAAAGACAGAGTTCAACAGTGGACAGAGCTTCCAATAATTAATATCTAAAAGCTGATTATTAATAAATTACTCTTCTGCATTTAACATAAAGGACAGACACTGTATTACGTGGCAGTGTTGTCGGTCCTAGGATATTAGAGAGACAAAGTGGGTGAGGTCGTATTGTTCATTGGAAGTAGGTCCAATAAAAGATATTACTTCACCCAGCTTGTCTCAAGCACTGTTACTGTCCTTTCTGCCCTTTCAGTAGAAGTTGTAGACTTGTCACAAACAAGAAGTGAAATGCTACATTATAGGTGGGAAGGAAGTTGTGGGTGCAGACAGTACACAACAGGCTAGCCTTCTGTGTCATTTTCTGTCTGTCCTGCCATTATAATACAAAACGTGCACAGTGGAAAATGCAGAGAATTCAGATTCGTGGAGAATGCACAAATGAGGAAACGTCATGTCTCAGTGCTGATTCCCTTTCCATTTTCAGGGAAGGAACCCAATGAAACACACTAATTTAATCTGGGACCATAACAAAGCTCAACCACATGAATGTATGTTTCTTGCACAGTCACGGTCATGAGGGAACAATACGCTAGAAATAACAATGTAAAGTCTGCTCCTCTTGCTGGATTTTTTTTTTTATCCCTTTGTAGGTGTGGAGATGAAATCATAGAAATTAATGAAGCACCAGTCCAAAATATGACACTTAATGAAGTTTATGCTGTTTTAAGCCACTGCAGTCCTGGTGCTGTGCAGATTATTATTAGCAGACACCCTGATCCACAGGTAGCATTCCACATTTTTCTGATTTTGAATAAAGCAAATATTGACAAACTAACACTAATACTGGAAGCAGAATTGGTATAAATCAGTTTGGCAAATAATGTGCCGATGTCCATGCAGTACCTCTGGTTTTACCTAAGATACAGGATAAGGTGCAAACCCAAGATATTTAAATTCAAAATAGTGTGTTGTCTTATGTATAGAGATATATGAGGTGCAAGGATCAGTGGAGAGGGTGTCTTACATGAAAGTTCATGTGCTTTGAATAAACAAGGTAAAGAAACAAGTTTTCAGGAACAATGCTATACAACATGTGCTTCTGAGAAAACAAGAGTTTCTGAAACTCATTCAAATGAAACTTCTCACTGAGGAGTAAGAACCGGGAAAGATGAAATAGAGACCAAGAATTGAATGTGAAACTCAATATTATTGATTTTAAGCCACTCTCCCAGAAGGTAATTAAAAGTCAGCGTTTTGGTTTGATTGAATTTTACTCAGCCAATTCTTGCTATTATATTGAGTGATATGAAAGAAATGTTTTGTTCTTATGGGAATGTCTTTTCAGAAATGTTTTCTAATAGTCTGTTAGACCTATTTACTGGGTTAATTTGTGCACCAAAAAAATACACCATCCAGATACCTTATAATGGCAAGCCCGGAATTGTGCATCTTGTACAATGGATAAGCTACCCTTTATTCTTGAAAAATGTCCCGTTTATCTAGCGTGTCAACACAGAGGTTTCAACTGTACTGAATATATATTACTAATTAAAGGCCTGCAAGCCCTTCCTCATGCACGTAATCCTGGCTCACATGCTTAGGCCTATTAAATTCATTGAGACCACTTGCCTGAGTAAGGGCTCTTTTTGTGAGAAAGGGTTTGCAGGAATGGAGCGTTGTGCGGCGAGCCAATCTTTTGGTGAGCTTGGCAAGACCCAGAATGACACGGCGTTTTATAGGTATCTGAACAGCAGCTGAAGGAAGCTGTTTCACAAGCTGTGGAAAACGACAGATTCGGAAGGGAGAGGCCACGATGGAGTACGGAAGGTAAGGGAATCCATTCAGCTGGCTGAGACATTATGACTTAGCCTGGAGAGAGATACCAGACTAGTTAAGTAACCTGGAGCTTAAGGAAAAGAAGGAGGAAAGATCATAGAGCTGTACTACTGAAGTCCATCCTGAGACATACGGCCAGAGACTGGTGTAAAAAGCTCAAGACACCTGGTTGACCTCCGACGGTATGTCTACACTGCAGCGCATGTAGACAGGCTTGCTTTATGGGGGCTTGAAGCTAGCACACTAAAACCAGCACTGTGGATGGTGCAGCTTGAGCAGAGACTGGGCTCAGTGTGGTAGTGTTGAGCACGGGTTGTTAGTCGGAGTCTCTGTCTGAGACACAATGTCCGCACTGCTATTTTTAGCATGCTAGCTTGAGCCGGGCTAAGAGTGGGAGGCTTGTTCCCAGCTGTAGTGTAGACATACTCCAAACATTCTGAGACTCAACCCCAGGGAAGCTGATGCTTTGTGGCACCCCTCGGATTCCCTCCCTCTTCTTGCCCTCTTCTTCCCTCAGTAGTTCACACCCTGCCCTTTGTTCTCTCACGACTGAAAACAGCCTTTAACGTGCTTCACAAGAATTTTCTGTTTATCTGATAAGAACAGCCAGAGCAATACTCTGCCATTTGGGAGGACTGAATTTGGGTTTGATCCCCACACTGGGACTACTGCAGAGGCAACAGCTTTGGCTCTGGGGGTGAACAGTGTCCAGCCCTATCAACCTCATGGCTGAGTAACACTCTCTGTTCAATTGATGGAGCAACACTGAGGGGCTCCTGGAAGAGCTGCATCCTTGACTTAAAGGGATAGACTCAGATGCTGGGCCCAAGGTATGGCATAGGTGACAAGGGGTAAAAGTTTCAAAAAGGTGGCATGGTTGCAAACTTTAGTGGGATTGCACTACTGAAAATTTTTCACTGTGATTTCACTTTCTGTTTCTGACTTACTTCCTGTCAGAAACAGACTAGATGATGTTCATTTCACACTTTTCTTAACCATTACATTTTCTTGTGCTTACTTCCTCTGGGGCTTGTTCAGACTTTCTAACTCCCTGTCACTGGCTGAAGCTATCTGACCCAATGTCAGCAGATAAATAATGTGGTGTTCATATAACATGCAGCCTATCTATGGATGGGACGAGCATCCCATTTCCCTTGTTGGCAAAGGAACACTAGGTTCCCCTTAGGGCTACTTGCCACATTCCAACGTGGAGTACTATTATCACAATGCTTTATAATATGAGATACGTTTTGCCTTCGTTTTCTTTCTTTCTTTCTTTGAACCAACAGCAAACTATACGGGAGAACAGTATATCTGAGGGGGTAGTACTGTTTGTGTTCAACAATTAAATGATTCCTTGATCTAAAATGCCTCCACAAATGCTTTCCCCCCTTTTCGCTATGGTACACTGATCAGATAGCTATACTCAACTGGTTTAGTTTTACCGTGGATTTGATTTACAACCCTAGAAGTAAATGCTTTGAATGTATCTGAGTGTTTTCATCAGGCTATATGCTGCATTTTATATATTTTAATCATGTTGCTGATACAGGTGTTAAAAGACTGGAAACTAGCTGGCATGGCAGATACCAGCATGAAAAACATATTGAGAAGAACACTGCTTATTGCAACCGCAGATCTCAGAAGCTAATGACCCGTTCCAGCAGTGACAGTAGTTACAACCCCAGGTCATCTTGCAGTAATGGCACCCCATACCAGCTTGCTGACATGAAGGCAAAAGTACACAGCATTGATGTACCAATTACCAGACCGCCTGGCTTGCTGGATTCATTGTCCAGAACCAGTTTGGAGAACCATTCCCCTCCCACTGGCAACGAAGCAGGCCATCCCTCTCAGAACATAAAAAAATCGATGGAGATTCTTGTTAGAAAACCTAAATCGTCAAAGCCCAAACCTCCACCAAGAAAGTATTTTAAACAAGACTGTACAGACACTGACGAGTGTAACACAGACATGAAAGAGAAGCCTATGCTACAAGACGATGGAAGCCCATCTTCTGCCAATGTTCAGGTGAGGCAAATCCTGCATAGTTCTCAGGGTTTTTAGGAAAAACAGCGGGGGTATTTTTCTTTTAGAATTTTCTTATATTTGGAAGGTAAAGTGATATGTTATCTGTTTAGTGAGGTTTGAACCTCAGTTCTAAATAGGACCCCCCAAAATGAGGGGTGTTAGGCAGAGGAGTGCTGTAATGCATTTGTCCTTCAGGTCTGGAAAACTGTGTTCAAATCCAAATGCAGATAGGAATGAGAATGAATGTGAAGTTCTCACTGGAGTCCCCTAGTGAACGTGCCGCATCAGTACAAAACAATTTAGAGCATTTGGCAGTCTTTGGTCAAACGGGACGGGAACAGCAGTGGACTGCAAGCCAGGACTGGGAAAGCTTGCACTACTTCTACTGTCAAGTCGCTATAGTTACTCCCTAACACCAAATTCAGAGCCAAGCCATTCCATAAATAGTGAGATCAGTAAACTACAAGAACAATAATATGAAACAGTCACCGCACTAGCATGCTCACTGGAGGAAATGCACTGGTATTAGTAACACTGGGAAGAGTTTGCCCAAAATTCCTAATGTAGACAAAGCCTAAATGCTTTAGATATAAGGTTAAACTAACCATGAACTCTCCTATTTGTTGATTAATTTAGCTCTTTTGAAGTCTTTTAAAATGAAGTGAATTACTCTACACAATCAGATATACATCCCTCCTACCCCCAAAAGAATTAACAGAAACAGAGAAGCAAATTTGCATAAGTGTGAACAGTTCTGTGATGTGTGTGTGGAAACTGAGTTGTGGTTTGTTTAAAAAAGGAACCCATTTACCCAGGGTTTAGTAATAGGCTAGTAGAAATTAACAGAATTTAGTGCCAGGTGAAACAAGCAAAACTGAGCAACAATTAGCTCAAGGCTTATCAATTAAAATAAACCTACACAACAGTAAAGGCCTTGGTTAAAGTATAGCATAAAGCTAACTAATAGGACATTTCTGCTTAGCATCTAAAATAAGACTTCTTTCCTATCATCTAAGATGGAGTGCAGTAGAAATACATGCATGCACATCCACAGCTACTATAAAATCAGCTTTGTTGGAGAACACAGCTAAGACAAGGAAAAACAGTTTCTCTGAGGTCCCATTTAAAGCAAGTAATTATTTGAGCCGAGAAACAATGCAATTCTTGGTTATTAAGCTGCAAGTGTGATTCTGCAGTGCTAAGGGGAACAAAAGAAATCCTGAGATCAATATGCACTAAGCAAAATTTAATGCACTCAAAGAAGGATTCCTTGGAAAGACTTTTGATGTCTCTTAGGCAGGTGGCTGCATGGAAAACAAGGTTACTACTTTTCAGAATGTATTTCAGATAATTAAGTGAAAGATTTATTAGTGCCCTTCTCTATTTTCCTTTATTCCTCAAACATGTCGTATTACTCAATTTGAGAAGTACTGGTCACAGCTGTGTGTGTGGTGTCTGCAGATTGTGAGCTTACTTTTTTCAAGCCAAAATTATTTGATTTAAAATGTTGACTTTAAACTGTGATATTTTACAGATCACAACAATTATTTGTAAAGCCCTGGCAGTGTACTTAGCACTGTGTCAATACGCAAGTAGATACAGTCCCTACCAGCCAGGAGCACACAGTCACTTGGAGCCAATCGTGTGTTTCAGAATTCCCACTTCATTTCAACTGAAGATCTGGGTGTGCAGTGTTACACAAGATCAGGCTCCTAACTGGAAGAAAGATGCAAAGCTACTAAAATTCAAAGCTAGTTGCATTGGAATGCTTAAAATGAATTTGAATCAGGATAATTTACTTTCTGTCCCTATGAAAATCATTCATTATTACTCTAACCATTTGCACTATTATGATGTGGTCTCAAGTGAGGGATAAGCTCACACTGAGATGCGAGTTTAGGTAACGCCATATTAAAAAGATAGAAGTCATTCTTGGTGACTGAACACAAGGTGCTGCCATTCAGAAGGTGATTAGAAAGTGAGCCCAGATTGAGACTACCAAGACCAGCAATGATCAGGGACTTGACAGAGGTAAACTCTTTACTGGAATAGTGAGGGGTAAGTGCAAACCATATCACTGTCAGAATGCTCAAGAGTTGCCAGGTAGTTGGATGTTTACAGGATAATCTCACTTTTGTTTCAGAATTTCTCTCTCTTGCTTGTTTACGATTCCTGTGAGTAACCCTGTAGCTCTGGCAGATGGTAACTTTGTGACATTAGTTACATAAACAACGAGGAGTCCTTGTGTCACCTTAGAGATGAACAAATTTATTTGGACATAAGCTTTTGTGTGCTAGAACCCACTTCATCAGATGCATGGAGTGGAAAATACAGAAGCAGGTACATTTATACATAGTGCATGAAAAGATGGGAGTTGCCTTACCAAGTGGGGGTCAGTCTAATGCGTTACATAGTAATCTGGTAATTCTAGAGCATCTGCTAATGGCTGCCTCGAGTAGCATGTACTGTGACCTCGAACAGAACCTCTCATTCTGCATTTCCAACCAAGAACAAAAGGGGAAAAGGTCTTGAAGTTCCAGCCACGAATTGGGCTCATTACCCCCAAACACAAAATTGTAAAGGACCCACAAAGAAAAGCACTGTGTAAAATAAAGACAGAAGCTAGACAGTTCATTTTCTGTCTTTGCTTAACTGATTTGCAAGAGATTACTGTGTGGCTGGTTTTAGAAGTCTAAAATTGTAGCAGCCAATATCTTGCTTTGTTGTGGTACACAACACACACACACAATTGATCAAAATTTGAGATGTTAACAAAAAAATTTTCCAGTGTGTTTACAGGCATACATAAAATATTTTGCTCCCTTTCCTGGAGCACAGAACAAATCAGTCTTTCTGCAGTTTAATATTTATTCTCAGATTAAAAACAAGAAAATGAAGAGCATTTTTCTACATGCTCATCTATAATGTGGTTTGTGCAATTACGTTTTGACATGGTTCTATTTCCTGTTTATTCCACAGGAAGCAGGAGACCTGCTGCTACAGGGAAATAAAACAGTTATAACCCACAGTCTCTCTGCAACTTCTATAACACCAAGAGGTACTGAACACTCAGCTGCAGTGTCAGCAGACAGAGACCAAGAGAGGAAAGCAAACCCAGGTAGGTGTTTCATTCCATTTGCTTCAAAAGCAACCTCTATGAGTGCATAAAATATTTAGCAGGGTTAATGAGTTTTGCATTCATTTTAATTCCATTTTTAAAAAACAGACTGCAGCAAAACGGTAAATTACTGGGTGAACAGACAAATTTCTACACAATTGTGTATTAACTACCTCTGACTCGAAGTGTGAATGACACCAAAAGAAGATGAATGGATTGTCTCTTATTAAAGAGAATAAATGGTAATAGGCGTACAAGAATCACTAGTTGTTTTCAGATGATACTTTGTTTATTTGTTTATATTAAAAACTGAGTGTTACTGAATTTTATTTTTAGCATGGACCACAGGACATTTTTGATTTTTTGTTTCAAAACTGAACAGCATGTAATATAGATAATTGATGTGAAGTAGATGCACTGTTGATTCTGTTAGTGAAAAGGTAGCTAGTAGTATTTAAAATGGCAACCGTTCCTGAACATTTATTCTTTTCATTGTACTGAAATAAATCATCATAAAAAACCCCCAAACCTTCACCACTGTCCTCTCTGCACCAATAGTCAGTAAGAGGTTTAATAAGCCTGTGATATATAAAACATCCTACATCAAAGAGAAAATGGTATACACTAGAAAAGTGCAAAGAACCATTTGGAGAGACATGCAGACAATCAATCAAAGAGAGGTCTCTGAGAGATAATATTTAAAGACCATGCTTTAAAATGCAGGAAGAGAAGAATAACTTTTTTTTATCTGCTGCGATACCAGCTAGTGCAATCTGCTGTAATTGGGATGACATAAATTTAGTCTTATATTTTAACATGACAGTGCTGAGCATGCAAAACGATTTCAGTGTCCCATTATGTCAGGAGAGAGCATGTCCCTTTAGGGAAGTGGCCAGCCCCAAAGAGCCTGGGTTTGCAGCTAAATCCAGTATCAGCACAAGATGGCTTTTGCCACAATGAAGCAGAACTTTAGATTAAGAGTTGTAACCTTAAATAACCTGTTGGAGGCTTGAGTGTAGAGAAGCCCACAGGCAGTGAAGCATCAGCGATGCATGGAAAGGGATATATGGAGGGAATGAAAAGAAAGCTTATGTATAATAATTGTTTCTACAACACAGGAAATCCTATCTCATCAATACAAAGGCCTGTACTTAGAAGACAACCACGGGTAGATTACAGTCTTGATACTACAGCAGAAGACCCTTGGGTTAGAATTTCTGATTGCATCAAAAGCTTGTTTAATCCTACTATGAGTGAAGAAAGCAGTCACTTAGACTTAAATCCCAAGAACAACACAAATGAAGAAAATCAAAGTCCGAGCTGTCCAGACATAGTGCTGCAGAAATCAGAAGCAGAAGCAGATGGTTCAAAAGCACACAATTCAGATGAAAGTGACACTGGGAAAAGGGGCCCTCCAGTAGCACCTAAACCAGCCTGGTTTCGTCAAAGTCTAAAAGGTCTGAAGAAAGGAAATTCAGATGTCAACACACAGGCAGATCAAAGTTCCATTGACCTCCAGAGTGTTTCTGGCAAAGAACGGGGCTCCAATATGTCCCGGGCCTCACCCAGAGGATCATCAATAAAACAGAGAATAAACTCCTTTGAAACTTTCAGTGCTCCTCAGTCACCTGAAAAAGGAAACAGAAAACCCGGCCCAAAGCCATCAGTCTGGAAAGAAAATTCTCCTAGCCCAAAGCCATCAGTCTGGAGAGAAAATTCTCCCAGCTCAAAGCCATCAGTCTGGAGAGAAAATTCTCCCAGCCCAAAGCCATCAGTCTGGAGAGAAAACTCTCCCAGTCCAAAAGAGCCAGAATCACCTGCAGTTCATTTAAACCAAGCCACTTATAATGAAGGTTCTGATAACAGCCAACTACAATCAACTCCATCTGTGGTTACAGTCGAGACTCTGAGCATACATAGGTCCTGCTCTCCCAAAGAGGCACTCGCTCCTAGTCCAAAGAGAAGCAACAGCACAAGTACTGAAATTTCCTTGGATTTACTAACTTCACAAGCCACTGAACTTCACTGTCCAGTAGCAAAAGCACAGAGCCAAAGAACACGAAGCTTCCCCCTTACTGCTAACCAGTCTTGTGAGATGATGAAGACAAATGATGAAAAATACAGCAAAATCTATTCCATCAGCAATCAAGTGTCATCTGCTTTAATGAAATCTTTGCTTTGCCTTCCTCAGTCGCCGCTCTTTTCTGGGAACAATCCATGGAGCACATTGGAAGCATCATCTCAGCCCTCCATGGAAGAGAATGGGACCCCTCCCTCATCTACAAGCGAGAGTCATCATTCAGACACTGGATTTTCCCTTAAGTAAGATACCATATTAAAGTTAATTTTTGCAAAGCAGTGCTGGTAAATAGACTAGCTCCTTCCCCTCACCACACACTGCAGAAAACAATTTGTCTGTACCTCAGGCAATTTAGATAGGAATATAGGTTGCTTAGAGTGTAGACAGAGTTAACAACTCCTCAGAGGAATGTAAAGGATCAGTCGAATGCATGCTGCCGTTAATAAAAACAGATTTTTAAGCTTTTATGCTGCCAGCTTCTTTGAGCCACAGAACAATATCCCTAGGTTCTCCATGGTTTGGAGCCAGAAGAATGGACCCAATACTGCTAATCCCAATATTGAGGCAGTTTCAAGAATAAGTCCATACAGCTGCTCCTGCCCCTTTATTTCAATGCTACCAATTTGCCAACATTTCAGGCCAAGTTCTGCTATTATATTAGCGCATTGGTGCATTGATGGTCTTTTTGGATCAGTAAAGGAGAAGGTCTGACTGCTGCTACACCAGATGAAGTAGCCAGCATGGGTTCCATGCGTTCCCCCAAAACAATGCATTGCACCAGAGATGTATTGCCTCTTATAAGGATTTGCCCTGCTCAGGTTATCAACATTAGATTTTTTTAATAACTGTTTTTTCATAATATTTTATAAATATCTAACCAGGTGAGGAATCTAGAAAAGACTAGCTAAATAAACTAGAATTAAAAAGTTGGGGAAGTTATTTTAAAAGCAGGACATGAACCTCCCAAACTTTGCCTCATGTTCTCCAAGGGTGATCCAGTATGTAATTCAAAATATATTGTACAGAAAATTTTTTAGTCTAGTCTCTGTTTTGCAGACATGCCTTCTGTGCTGCTAGTTTGATATGACAGTGTCATTAAATAAAGAGTGGGAGGCTATGTGCTTAACGGCTTTTGCAAAGATTATAGTTTGTGATGAATTAATGTCATGGGCCTTGGGGTTATGGTTTGGATAAGCATTTGCACTCTCAGGTACTTATCTGAACCTTTTGTAACTGCAAAAGTGGAAAGGGTATTTCCTAGTTCAAATTTGAAACACAGTGAAAACAACCTCTCTCACAAGAGTGTGGTACTTTTGATACCCGTTTCCAATCCCAGGTATAACTGGGAAGTTCAGAGTCACGTTAAAAAAGAAAAAAAAAGTTATCTGAACTTTTTTCCAATGCTCAGGGAAGGTTCAATTTGGTTGGGGGCAAAGATTCAAGAGGGTTCTTATTCCTTCACGTGAATGCTCACACAGGCGTGTCATCACTGAGGCATGGGGTGACCAGACAGCAAGTGTGAAAAATCGGGACAGGGAGTGGGGGATAATAGGTGCCTATATAAGACAAAGCCCCAAATATCGGGACTGTTCCTATAAAATCAGGACATCTGGTCACCCTACTGAGACAGCCCTGCCACCTCTTGGTATGTTACAGTAGGTATTACTGGGAACAAATAAATAGAGATCTGAACCACTTGGCCAATTACCAGGTAAACTCTAGTATGATCAAAAGATGAAGATTCCAGAATTGCCTGTTCTGTGCCATGGTGTGGAAGCCGCTATCACAAATTAATATTTCTTTTTTCCCTTTTCAAAATGGGAAAGCCTTTCTGAACTGAGAGACTATACTGTGAGTTTAACAGACAGTGGGAAAGAGGAAGAGAAACAGGAACACTGTTCATCTCAAGCATCTGGTGTGTCCGGGCAATCAGTCATCTCTCTGCTTTCCCCTGAAGAATTAAAGAAGCTTATAGAAGAAGTAAAATCACTAGATGAGGCTACCTTAAAGGTAAGTCCACTTTTCTGTACACACTATGCTCAAAGACAGCCTAACTGAGGAGCGGATGCTACTGTTTAATCTTTGCTATGTGAAATTTTTACAAACACACCAGTATCAATATGTAATAGTAATGCTCAGTTCTTTCAGCCATAAATCTCAAAGCACTTTACAAAGATGGCTTAGAATTATCAGCCCGATTTTACAGATGGGATAACTGAGGTACAGAGAGGGCAAAGCCAACATTTTCAAAAGTGTGCACCAATTTTAGGTACCCAATTAGAGATACCTTAAAGAGGCCTGATTTTCAGAGGCAGCGAACACCCATTTGACTCAAAAGGAGTTGTGGGAGCTCAGAAGAGCAGAAAATCAGGCCTTAATTGTCTCCAGTTTGGGCAATCAATAGCAGTGGACATTTTTGAAGACTTTGGTCTAAATGGCTTGGTCAAGATCATCATAAACAGAGGAAGAGTGGCGAATAAAATCCAGGCATTCTCACTCTTAGTTCAGTGGCCTGTCAACCAAACTATGCATCCAGCTACTGAAAAGCACATTGTTATGAGACAAGAAAAGATCAGTGAATCAGTTTCTCTTAAGAAAAAGTGTTATACTTGAATCCTTAAGAACACTGTAGTATATGCTACTAAAAAGAGATATTTTCCCTCATATTAACTGTAATCTAAAAGGGTAACAGACTGAAACAGCTCATTTCAGGCTACTGTTACAATTAAAACGTTAGCAAATGTACATTAAAAATAGCAACCAGGCTTAGAAGTAATTTTTTGAGCCACAGACCATTATTCATTGAGTAGGACGAGTTGTAGATAACAAAAGTTTTTCCTCTCAGAGTTAGAAGACCATGTACTCAGTTCTCACCACTGAGCCAATAATATTTTCTATTTCTATTTCAGTAGTGATCAGTGATCTTTAATATATTGTAATTTACAGCACATTCACTGAAGCAGCAAAACTTTTAGACACAAACTCATTCATAAGTTATGATAGCAAGGTGAAGTTAGCCCATTAAATAAAAACAAAGACAGAGTTTGCAGAATACACAGTGGATACAGGAGAAAATATACAGTTTTTCTAGTAATCTTGAATTATAGTAGGATGTATCTGAAATTATTTTATTTTTCTGTGTTTAGCAATTTGATGATATTCAGGTTACAATTTTGCATAAAGAAGAAGATGCTGGTCTTGGATTCAGCCTGGCAGGAGGAATCGATCTAGAAAACAAAGTTGTTACTGTAAGTAGCATCACTCTCATAAAATACTCCCACAATAAGCATTCAGTCCAAAAAAAGGTGGCAGAAAAAATGGAATGGGTTGAAAAGAGAACGTCAAAAATGGAAAAGGTTTGGAAGCTAAGACCTATGAGGACAGATTAAAGAAACTAGGCAAGTTCAAGGCTAGAGAAAATAAGAATATGGTGGGAATGGTAACAGTCTATACACAAGGAAACATTAGAAAATTAGAGCCAGCCAATGTAGTTTCAACTGCAAAATCTTCTCTCTCTCTCTCTCTCTCAAAAAAAAAAAAAAAAAAAAAAGGGGGGGTTTAATCAAAAATGAACACTTTCTGCAGAAAAATATTTCAAATGGAAAATTTTGAAACAAAATTTGAATTTTGAATTGGGGTTATGTCATTTCATTTTGGTTTTCAAATTTTTTTTTTCAGAGTTTTGGGTTGTCCCCTTTTTGTCACCTTATGCAAACAAACAAATAAACAATATCTAAGTTTCCCCTCATGTTTTACTTTCTGGAACTTTTTGAACTTTGAAAAAGTTACAGTGACAAAAAGAAAAATGGAATTAATTTTGCCACTCCAATTTTTCAGAACTTCTTTTTAAAAAAATGTAGCTCCTTAACAGTACCCAGCAACCCTACATAAGCAGCATAGGACAGGAAATGGAAAAGAATATGAATATCTAAATGGGAATTTATGGTTGCAGAAGATAATTAGCAAATTGGAATGGAATGTTGCCAGAAAACTGGGATTAACATGCCTATTTTAAGTGCAATGGGATATTTAATCATCAGTAGTGATCAAGGCCTTCAGGAGCACAATACCTACTGCAGCATAGATTCAGCATGGACTCAGAGGAAGATGGTCACCTACTAAATAACCAGTCCCTCTTTTCAGATTCCTGACTCTTTCTCTCTCTCTCTCTCTCTTTAAGTCAATGGTGCAGGTTCAGGACAAGATGACTGACCTGGTTAGACTCTGTGAAATCTGATGGTTGATAGCATAAGCTGGTACCAGCTACAAGCCATCCAGTATCTCCTGCATCTTAATAGGCTTCTACCACAACAATTACAATACATGATCCTTAAAAATCAGCTTTCTTTCTTGCTAAGAAATGAAAATGTGTCACATTTAAACTTTACTAACTGTGAGATTTAGTCACATCTTCTCTTTTTTTTATGGTGGTTGGGGTCTCTAATAGGTTCACAGAGTATTTCCTAATGGACTAGCATCTCAGGAAGGAACTATCCAGAAAGGAGATGAAGTCTTATCCATTAATGGAAAGTCTCTTAAAGGTGCCACTCACAACGATGCCTTGGCGATCATGCGCCAGGCTCGACTGCCAAGGCAAGCTGTCGTAGTGACTAAAAGAGCTAAAGAGGAAGAAAAAAGTCTTAATGTTTCCGTTGACTCTACTACGTATTCTACAGAAAGTGAAACCACAACAGAAGCTAGTGAGTACTTTACTCCTGCATTAAATCACATCCGCTACCTATCTAGATATTTATATACCTCCCTGTTCTCACCACTACAGAATCCTTGCCCTTTACAAAGGGTTGCATGGGATTTAGCTAGACAAATATTGGAGTTGTGATTAAAAGTTGTACAACTGTTTAAAAATCCAGGAAGTCGGCTTTAAACAACCTGTTACTCAATTGATACTGCTCTCTGCTGTCCTAAGTCCCAGTCCTGCAAAATCTATCAGCCGGATCAGGATTCTAGGTGTATATATAAATAATCATTATGAAATTACAGATTGAAATCTATGCAGTCTTCAATATAAATCAGAGTTGCAATTTTGTAACATAAAATATTGACAATTTCATGCAAAACAACATATGCTATTTTATTCTGTATAATTATGTGGTAGGTGCTGATTTGGGGCTCAGCTGTGTACGAACAAAAAATCAATTAATATTGGTGGGGGAAAGGTATGCTGGAAAAATGCAATAAATAAAGATATTATAAATCTGTTAGTTTTACTAAGAAGTTATATATACACCTTACATAATTCACTAAACTGCACCAAAAAGCAAGATTCCTCAAAATGGAGTTCTGAAAAAATTCAGATAATGTCAAGCAAGTGAACAGGACTAACTGTATGTATAATGGCTACTCATGTGAGCAGTAATGAACTTTCATTTCAAGCCCCTAAAAGTTCCTGTGTTTTGAAAAATATTTTATTTGAAAGGATACTTTCTCCAGATTACCTAAATCATACTCTGGCCTCTAACACACCAGCTGGCTATATTCAAAACATATGGAGGACATACAGTTTTGTAGAATGATCTTTGTTCTTAGGATTTCTTTTTCAGAAGTCAGAGTTTTGTAATCCTATTTACATACCCCAAATAAACATTACTGGCTGTTTAGGTAATATTTGTTTTAATATCACCATCAGGTCACTTGTACTGAACACTTAATTTTGGAATATATACAGTATATCGAAATGTTAATGTGGCCCTAGCATGTTTATGTAATTCAAGCAAATGCCGTTTATATTAAATCCAACCTTTTCATTTGGCTCAGATTTCAACACATAAAAAATACATCCCCCTCCCCTGCCATAACCTTCTGTAGGAGCAATTAACTTTACGGTGACCAAAAAGATGAAGCAAATGGTCATTTTCTGCCTTGTTTTGCTCTATCATTTACATGCCTACACAAAATTGAACAAACAAAAACTCATTCTTTGTTCAGATGTTCTCACTTTTCAGAATATTTTGTACCCCTCCTGATACCATTCTATTTCTTTCCAGCAACCGAAGAGACAATCTGCACTGTAACTCTGGAAAAGACACCTGCTGGCTTAGGATTCAGTCTGGAAGGAGGGAAAGGCTCCATCCATGGAGATAAACCCATCATCATCAACAGGATTTTTAAAGGTAGAGGTGTTTAAACACTCTCTCTCTCTTTTATATGTATATTATACACACACACACACCCACGGTCAGATCCTCAGCTGCGGTAAACTGGAGTAGTTCCATTGACTGATCTCTACCAGATGAGGATCCGGCCCATGATAATTTTTATTGAAACTGCAGCATGACATTTTGTTGTGCGGGATGAACTCCTTGCTCTGGAATTAGACCAGACGCATTTTATACCATTTATACAGAAACACACTTCTTCTTTTGCATGGAAATGGCAACATTTACAAGTTAGCAGAAAGGTTTGAAATCCATTTGAGGCCTTCCAAAGATGCAGAGTGTGCTTTTGCGATAGCTCCTGGAAATGAAAAGAGGGGGCACTTGTCCACAATGTGTTCAGTGGTTTGGAGGTCTCTGCATTTGCACTGTGGCAAATACTTGATTCTCCCATTTGTGCATCAGATGTGCACATCTTCCATGTAACATCCTAGTACAGCTATCCATAATTACAACAACAAAGATTTCCCCACACAGAAAAACTTAAGTAAATTCATTGTCTCCTCACAGGAATTGCATCAGAACAGAGCAATACTGTTCAGCCTGGTGATGAGCTACTGCAAGTGCACACAACTGTTATGCAAGGACTCACCCGTTTTGAAGCTTGGAATATCATCAAGGCATTACCTGATGGGCCCATAACTGCTACCATCAAGAGGAAAAATCCAAGTTCTGTTACCACCACATCATCTGAAACTTTGCAAGGAGAAGTATGAAACTGCTGCCAGGATTAAAACAAACACACCCATAACATTTCATTACTTAAAGCCATTTACCAACACAGCACCAATATTGTGAAAGTGCAGATGATCATATAGCAAGTTTTACAGGTCTCTTTGCAACCTCAAAGCAAGTTGTCCAGAATAAGAGAAGGTTATACAATTTCTTTTACAATATTCATAAGCAGCTGTTGCAAATTCTAGAATGCTAAAAAAAGGTCTTAATATGATGAGTGTAATAAAATGTGTGAAAATTGCAGTACTCTCTATCTTATATAAATCCATTTGATGGTGTCACAGACTAGTGTGCAAAGTTAATTTAACCACCAAATTTAAGGAAAATTAGAAACAGGCCAAAACCGTAGGGCAGATTCTCAGTCCTGCTCCAGAGACTAACCACAAACCCTAGCTGGGGACTGCGTAACAGTGGGTGCAGAATAGAAATGGTTGGCTCCTAAATCTCCCTCCCCACAGCTTCCAGCACATGGGGAAGGGAGGAAGGCAGGGAAAGCAGCCAAAGAAGGATGGGCTCTATCCAGCACAAAGGAGCCAGGGCCGCCCAGTACAGAATATCTCTTATAAAGAGGAATTCTTTGCTAGCATAAAGCTGGCTCTGCTGCCTCCTACGCCAGTTGCCCCACACCCCCATTGTAAGGGGGGAAAAAGAGGCTGTTTGGGGATATTCTGGGGTCAGAAGAGGGAGAAGAGAGGACGGGACAGGACATAGTAGAGCTCCAGTTTATCCTCCACTGGCATAACAGCCCTGACACGTAAGTTAGAGTTGCACTGAACAGCAATCATTTGCTCAGTGGCCAAGCAGCTCTGAATCCAGGAGTTGTGACTGGTTTCCTGCAGCGCTCCCACCCCTAAATCGGACAGAGTAGAGAATCAAGCTAATATAGATGCAAATCTCATTTGTCTGAGTGGGAAATTAAGCACATGCATCTGAAGAACATTGTACCGCAGCACAGTATTTACTGTGAAACAAGAATCTGAAAAGCCCTCACAATGCCCAGGCGTTGCGTTGTGAATTAAAAATATCTTAAGTACAGGGTTGAGAATTTTGAAAGGCATTCAGGGATTTCTCTGCTCAGCGCTGCAATGCCTAAATGATGCAGGGGCCTAAGTCATCAAAAGTCACTTAGCAGCCTACATTTCATTACAAGTCAATGGGTCCCTAAGTGTCGAAGTCACCTCTGAAAATGAGACTTGGGCTCCTAAGTCACTTAGGCCTTGCAACACTGAGCAAAGCAATACCTAAATGCTTTTAAAAATCTGGGCCAGAGTAACAAGGACATTTAGAACTGAACCTGGTTATATAGTTTGTGTAATTTTTAACATCACTGCATTAGTATTTAAAACGAAAATACCAATGATTGCTTATGGGATTTAAGGCTCGTTGAGCCAGTTGGTGACTGGAAATACTAAATACCTTGGGGACAGATCTGGCATTGATGGTTACACAAGGCATGCCATTGCTTCAAAGGGAGAGTGCTGTGTAAACATTGATAGCGTACTACAGCATCTTTGTCAGGGTACACCCAAGAATTGACCAGTCTTCAATACCTACTAGTACAGTGCCCTGGAAGATATTACCTCCTTGACCTCCTCTATATATTTCTAGCACTTACAATAGAATTTAAAGTAACAAAAAGTTAATGCAACCGTAACTTATTTACTTAATTTATTATTGTGCTAAAACTAAAAGACAAGAGGGGAACAAATTTTGTGATTCATGCTAGTTCATATACAGTAAATGAATGTATGACCAATACGAATGACAAAAAAAAAAAAAAAGCCCTAAGAGCATCAGAATCTATGGTTCAACAGTCCAATTATTTCCCCCCGTTTGTTTAAAGAGATGTTGCTGAAAGCAGCACCAACCACGGATTGTTCCACTGTTACCACTGCTAGTAGAATTTTAAGAGGTTTTGTTATTTTCAAAATATGCAGTGGACTTAAACACGGAGACAAGTTTTTACATATTTTTATTGGCCCCAAGTTTTCAAAATAAGTCTCTTGTGTACATGCACCTAACACTGCATTATCACTAGGATTTGTATTAGAGCACCCAGGAGCCCCAGTCATAGACCAGGGGCTTATCGGAAAGATGCTGTATAAACAGAACAAAAGGCCAGTCCTTGCTCCAAAGAGTTGTCTTATGAGAGATTAAAGTTGCTACTTAGTTTGGTCAAGACAGTGCCTCTTTGCCCTGTGGTCCTTTTGGTCTCCTCAGACCTGCCTTGTTAATATAGGGACATAACATTAAGATCGCTGATTATTACATACCACAGTGTTAATCCTAAAGGGCAAAAGCAATTGTTATTCTTTAATCAACAGCCAAAAAAAATATTGTAGTAATAGGCCATGCGAAGATAAGCAATACAAGAGTCTAGTCAAGCCATGATTTCCTTTTTTTGCACAGTACATAATTTTACAATTTCCTGTTTAGCTCCCTCTCTTTCTCTCCCCACATGTGAAATCTCATCTGGTTAGCCACTTCTAAGTAAATATCATTTCCGCAGTGTGTATACAGGAGGATCAACATTTTTAAAGCAGCTGTCTATACAGATCAGTGGTTCTCAACCAGGAATATGCGTATTCCTAGGGGAATGCAGAGGTCTTCTAGGGCAGGGGTGGGCAAACTTTTTGGCCTAATGGCCACATCGGGGTTGCAAAACAGTATGGATGGCTGGGAAGGGAAGTCTGTGCCTTCCCAAACAGACTGGCCCCCGCCCCCTGACTGCTCCCCTCAGAACCCCTGACCCATCCAACGCCCCCTGCTCCTTGTCCCCTGACCACTCCCCCGGGACCCCGCCCCAACCACACACCCCCTGCTCCCTGTCTCCTGACCCCCGCAACCTCCACCCCATCCAACCGCCCTCTGTCCCCTGACTGCCCCCCAGGACCTCCCGCCCCTTTCCAACCCCCCCGCCCTTACCATGCCGCTCAGAGCAGCAGGACAGGCTTCTTAGAAAGACTGGGAGGTGGGTGGGCGCAAGCCGCACTGCCTGTGTGGCTGTGTAGCTGCGGGGGAGGGGGGACAGCAGGGGAAGGACCTCCCCGGCCAGGAGCTCAGGGGCCGGGTAGGACAGTCCCGCGGGCCGGATGTGGCCTGTGGGCTGTAGTTTGCCCACCTCTGTTCTAGGGGCTACATCAACTTATCTAGATATTTGCCTAATTTTACAACAGGCTACATAAAAAGCACTAGCAAAGTCAGTACAAACTAAAATTTCATACAATGACTTGTTTATACTGCTCTAGATACTATACACTGAAATGTAAGTACAATATTTATATTCCAATTGATTTATTTTACAATTATATGGTAAAAATGAAAAAGCCGTTTTTCAGTAATCGTGAGCTGTGACACTTTTGTATTTTTATGTTCGTTTTGTAAACAAGTAGTTTTTAAGTGAGGTAAAACTCAGGGGTACGTAAGACAAATCAGACTCCTGTACAGGAGTCTGGAAAGGTTGAGAGCCACTGACACAGGTAACATGAAAAATCTGAATCAGTGGTCACTTTAGCGGCTGTACAGCGAAGCAGGCCCTGAGCTCTTCAGTTCTGTTCTGGCTCAAGTCTGCAAAAGCCAGGTCAAACTCTTTTTGTGGGTTTTCACAGCCTTGCTCAGAAAGCCTGAGAGATTGTATTAGATAACAGACCTTGTACAGGGCAGAAAGAAAGATTGTATTAGATAATAGCCCTTGTATAGGGCGGCCTGCGCTGGCATCAGCTTTAGTCATTAACAAAAAAATCATCCAAAACTTGAACCAAGCTTTACAAAGGTTGTAATAATTTCAGATCACCCGTGTGCTCCTCCCTCTCCTGGCTACCAGTCTTTTAGGTTTCTGAACCTCTGCATTTCCCGGTTCTGGCAGAGACCAAAAGCAGGAATGCCAATGTCCCATGTAAAACAGAAGTGTCTCCCAATATTCCAGTTTCCCCCAAAAGCAGGAAGTCCCAGCAATCTTACAAGACAGCCAGTACTTACAAATTTCCAGCCTACTTTGGCAGAGTAGAGGGCTCACAGAGCAGTCCTGTGATGGGCTGAACACCCTCAGATTCTATTGAACCAAGTGTGCTCAGCACCTCACAGAACCGATCCTTTAAATTATTCAGATTCTGGTTCTGCCCTTCTGAGTAATATTTACTCATGGGTAATGCCATTGACCTCAAAAGGACTACAGGCATGAGTGAAGGTGGTTGGATCAGGCCTAAGGTTTAGATAAACCCTTGATCTTTTGGGTACTTAAAAAACACAAGGCCCTCATCCTGCAAAGACTACACACATGCTTAACTTCATGCACAGTGAGTGGTCAGTAGGACAACTCACGGTGTGTTAAGCATGAACATAAGCCTTTGCAGGACAGGGGCCCAAACCTCTCCCTCACAGAAGCACTTGTCATTCTTCATAGTTGCACTATGCAGCAGTCTAAGTTAAAAACAAAAAAAAAACCAGGACTAGACAACAGCTGAAGGGCTCAATCCTGCAAGATGCTGAGTACCCACCCCCATCACTAAAATATCTACCTCATCCTGCAGCCATCTCCAGAGTGTCTGAGCAGCTAAGGGCATTTCCAACCTCACAGGATTGGCCTAAAGCCCCAAGATAGCACAGAGCGATCTTGAAAGGTGCAGAGCTCCTTTAAGTCTCATTGGCAATGGGAGTTGAGGGGACACTATGACAGAGTTAAAGGATAATTCAGAAGAACAAAAATGTGAAACAGAAAATAGTTTATTTAATTTGCTACTCCCACTGGCAAGTTTTAAAAGCCTCAGTCACAAAAGAAACTAAATTTAACCCCCCTTCCCTAAAATTCTATTACATACATTAAAAACTACAGTGGAAATATTTGTACATAAATGTCCCACAAACCACAACACATGAACAGAAATTTAAATGTATTAACATAATTAAATACATAATAAAGTAAAAGCACTACAATTGCAACCTGATTAACATGTTTCCAACTCAATCACAAATGATCATTTTTTCTTTTGTAAAAGGATAAATGAATAGTATGCTGTTTATAATAACTTCTGACATTACCTAAGTAACCAGATATATAAATACCTTTGAAGACTGCACACATCACTGTATTTTACATAAATAGCTGATTTCCTAAGATATACCCTGAGGTGTGTCCGTCTTGGAGACGGAAACAAGAATGTCTTACTTTTATGAACAAGTCAGTCAAGATTAGTCCACAATACTTTACAGAAAGGACGATTCACAAGTTCACAACACTGTCAACAACATATTGGAAAATTGTTCAAATGCATGATCATTTCTAATGCAGTTAGAAAAATGACAAGTAAAGTACTTTAATACATCTCTTTATTTATTGCCATCATGTCAGTGCAGTTTGATTTATGACATTTTGTAAATCAGAATTTTTTGGTAGAAAGGGGATGATGGGAGAGGACAAGGCCCAGGGATCTGTGAATTGGTTGAGGATATTAGGCCCTGATTCAGCAAAACACTTAAGTATATGCTTAACATTAGCACTGAACTCAGTCGAACTTCAGTGCATGCTGAATCAGGCCCTTATAGTCTAGAATGAGTGGGTCCATAGGTTCTCACCTACCCAATTCATTGTGGTCTATCCCATTTTTGGGGTTGGTCCCAATCTAATATCTCAAACTATATTGATGTCAGCAGCAAAGGAGCTAGCTTCCCCCTTCAGAAAGGAACATTGTTTCATATGGGTCATTAGGTAGAATCTGAGATATAACAGGGCTCCCTCGGATCTCACTTATACTGATGGAACTATATTGACTTCAGCAGAGCTGCTCCTGGTTTCACTCCTGGGAGAATTCTGCACCACTGCGCACAATTCATGTCCCCCGCAGATTTCTTTGCTTCCCCGCAGAAAAATGATTTTCTGACAGGGAAGCAAAGGGAAGCTGCAAGAGTGGTCACGCACCCTTCCCTAGCAGTGCAGGCACATCATTTCAGGCACCTGGAGCAGTTCATGGAGAGGTAAATCACTATAGTGGCTCTTACCCTGACCTGGGATCAGCTGCTAGACCCACCCCCAGAAACCTTCCCTGGCTGTAGGAAGCTCAGCATCCTCTCCTGCTTCCTGCCAGCATCGCTCCTCAGCCACAGGGGAGGGTCGCTGTACGGGGAGCTGCTCCCCTGTCCGCCCAACCCCCTGTATTGAACCCCCCATACTCAGACCCCCCCAAGCCTCACCCCGTACACCCAGATGCCCCAGAGCCCTCCATACCTGAACCTCACCCCGCTGAATCTAAACCCCTGCACCCAGACCCCCACCTCTGCACCCAGACCACCCCCTGCAACTGCATCCCCTGACGAGCCCCCCCACAGACCTCCACCCCACTGAACCCCAGCTAGCTGTACCTGGATCCCCAAGCCCCACTCCTCCAGCACCCAGACTCCCCCCCCCCACTGAGTCCCCCACACCCAGACCCGCTGCTGAGCCCCAACCACCTGCACCTGGAACCGCCCCTCCAAAGAGCCTCTGTGCATCCAGATTGTTCAATACAGAACCCTCTCACCCCACACCGAGCCCCTCCACACTTGGATCCTGCCTGGTTGAGCCTGCTTGCCCCACACCTGGTACATCTGGCATGGAGGATCAGGGCCCTGGGGTGTTTCTGAGGCCGGCCCTGCCCTGGTGCTGTGTCAGGATTGGGTGCAACCTCACCACGAGTCAGTGTCCTGGGAGTGGGGAGGGAGGCTGGACAGCAAGTGACCTGTGCTCCCCACTGCCATGCTGGAGCCTCCACATTTGTCTGACAAATAAAACTTGCAGAATTTTAAAATATTGTGTGCAGAAATTTTTTAGCGCAGAATTTTAAATTTTTGGGGCAGAATTCCCTCAGGAGTAACCTGGTTTACACAGATGAAGTATGATCATAAACAGGCCTGAAGTGTGGCTTCTCCTCCAGGAGGGGGCAGCAGAATTTCCTCTGGAATACTGCTGGAATAATGTCACTTATTTTAATAGTTACAAAAATACAGTATCACAAGGTAGTGCATTTTTAAACAGAAAAGCAGGTACAAAAATTATAAATCCTATATTAAAAATGGACTTTGAGACAAGGAACTGTTCCCACTTCAACTTTCCTACCTATCTCTATTGTTAGAAAGGCATTGTAGGTCGGTTTCTGATCCCATCGTTTCTTCCATTTTTATCTTAATCTAATCTGTAATGCCACCAATCATAGCTTTTCGAACCCTCCCTTCTAAGTTTCAGCAACGAGACTCGTATTTCCTTTGAGAAAATGCCGGTCGAGTTTTCACTGTCTTTACCGCTTTGGACAGATTGCTGTAAAATCCAGCCATGCTGCTCGGAAAGAATGAGTCCACTACAGTCTGGGGAAGATAGCCACCAAGATCAGTCTGAAAGAAAGTGAGGACTTGGGTCTTGTCTGGTACCCTGGAAAAACAACACATCAGTGCAACTCATCTTACAAACAGAAGTGTAAAACTTTATAAGATTTCTTATATTTCAGTTACGTGTTATCTGTGGACAAATATTTCTATGCCTGTTCCATAGAATGGGCACAAAGCAAACGTCCCAATTACTCTCCCATCAATTTGCCTTTACCTACCCCTACAAGGAAAGGATAGTAAATTTCCCAGTTAATTTAGGCTGATTCAGCAGAGCACTTAAGTATGTGCTGAACTTTAAGTCAGTGAAATTGCCTCATTGAAGTCAGTGGGACTACCCATATACCTAAAGTTAAGCACATGTTTATTTGCTCTACTGGGTCAGATTCTTAATCCTTGGCTTCTCAGCTGAGAATGCCAATGAGGATACCCACTGTGATGATAGTTTCTGTAATGTTAACAGATGTCCGCTAGGAAATGGAAAAAAGAGACTAACTCATTTCATGTAGGGCACTGAACATCACTAAGTTTAAATGACAATGTCTACCCAGCCACAACCAGATATAAACCAGTAACTGGCAGAGGGTTCTCTGTTGAATGGTGCACATTAACACACACACGATAGCTATGGATAGGACTTTCAAGTACAGCATATGTAATATTCAAATAGACTTCTTACCCTGGAACAGGTATACAGAAACAGCCACAGGGATAATTAAACCCTCTAACGTATGTGGGTTGGGGAGGACTGAGTGGATGTTCCACATTGGTTGCTATAAGAAAAAAAATCACTAACAGTAAAAGTTTTCTACCACAGTAAACACCGCCAGCTGACAAGCATTTACGATGAAAGCTAATCAAAGATTCTTGAGGTTGAGGTTCTTTGGCCTGTGTTATGCATGGTGATCATAATATTCCTTTCTGGTCATCAAATCTATAAATCAAAGTACTGCATGCATTATAGGAATGATTTCTGCTGGTATGGACTGTACATCAAGGCACTTCAAGACATTTACTGGGCTTGTACAGTATTATGGCACCACAGTGTTTTAATAGTAACTTGAGTTGCTTGCACTCTAATCTAAAAGTAAAGATAAACGCATTTCACAAAGATGATCCTCTCTTGGTCTTTTGAGAAGGCCTAGGCTCACTGCCCTATCTATCTATAGAGAGCGCGCGCGCGAGAGAGTCCTGCCTGGTGATCCAAAGAGGCACTGTGGGGCACTGAGACTCTTGACTTACGACTTAATGAAAGATGTAAATGAATGTGAGGAAAGAAAGAGGAATATATGCACATAGTACCAGCAGCTTGAAATAGTTGCTCTCTGCAGGAAAACTAATCACTAGTGGGGTACTCTATGGGCACATCTCTTCACTGGCTTTAGTTAAGCAAAATTTAACAGCTTTCAGTACATCTTATGAAGTGATCAGAGGCAATGCCTCCAAAGGAACTTTCTTAGGCACTTCTACAAGCTCTAAAAAATGTACACAGCTGAATACTAACTGAAATATCTGTTCCTTCCCAGAAGAACGCTATGAAAAAGAACAATAAGCAAACGGTATAATCACTGACTGAAGAGTGTAAATATTGCTGATATTCTATATGGCGATAATGATGTAATTAAGCACTAATATAAGCTAATAACTACTGACTAAGCATCTTCTGACCAAGATTTTTATTGTATATCTAACAAACATATATATTTTGAAAAACAAAAAGAATATATCCTGGAAGATTTTCAGTTATATTCACTAACTTACTGTTAATATAAAATATAATACAATACAATATAATATAAATGGATTGGAAATTTAACTATTTTACCAGCAGATGCTATAGTCCCGTCTTCATACTGCTTAATTAGCACCACATCTACAAAATCTCTTGGAGAAATAATCTTCATGAAGGCTGATGGGGTAATAGTTCTGCATATAGAGATAGTCTACAAAATACAAACAGCATTAAATCACACTGTATATGTACATATAAATGCAGTGATGTGCTTCTAACATAATAAGTGAGAGATTGTGATATCTGTTATCATGCTTACTTGACAAGCAGTGCCATTTATTTCAATTACACAAATTTGTAGAATAACTTACTATTCAGCGTGAATAAATGTATCCACTAAGTCTTGACTCAAGGGCATTTTTATGGGACAATGCAGTGATGCGAGGTGGATCCAATGCCATAAGAACAAGCAACACAATGCTCTTTAAGCAGAGAGTCACCCACAGATATACTCATAGATGTAGTAATTTACAAACTCCAATTTCAGGGAGATAATAACTTTGTTGCATCAAACTTGGTGTATAGACCTATTATCCCACAGGAAATTTAACACAGTTCCCTTGTATCTAAACATCTGGTCCACCACAATGGTGAATGTTATATAAGCTGGACAAGTCTGTACATACAGAATGGAAGACTCTCTCATAAGTAGTTTACAAATGTATCTTTTTGTATTTAATTCTAAGTAACGTGAAGATTCTCACAAGCTGATAAAAATGAAAGGCTCTGAAATTCAATTGAATGTTCCCTGCACTCATGTTGGTGTGCTTAGGTACTGAAGAAAGGCAGGATGAGTTCAATGCAGTATGTGTTGTGGTGGCAAAATGCCTTAAACTCCAAGCTCAGAGTTAAATATATAAATGACTTTGCATTTGTTGGGTGGTGAGAAACCTCTTCATTAGTTAAACACAGATGTGTATATTTTATTTTTTTAAGTTTACCTTATTTTACCAATAACTATTGTTTAAAATATTATGAATGAACACTTATGAGAGTAAGCATGATAAAACAATATAACTCTGGAGTTATGTGATGTGATGGGAATTTAACCACAATGCTCCGTAACATTTTCATGGAACTTACATCACTAATAGTTTCAATCAGCTCAAAGTCCTTCACATTTTGGTCCCATTTTGTTCTAAGTCCACCAGCTTCTGGTTTTAAGCACTCCCAGACAGCCTCAGGACTTGCAGAGACTATTCCATCTCCTTTGTATCTGTAAGAAAACATACATGAAACTAAAATTAACTTTGCATTTTTCTCCTGCTCCTTTACCCCAACAGGCAAGAGTTATTCACTCACACACAGACAGACACCGCCCTCACCCCTGTAATTTTTGAATACCTTACTTACATGTTGCCAGAAAACTCAGTTGATGGTCTCCAATAAATTGAAACTTCATTCTATCAAAAGTGAAATAAGTGAAGACAGCCTTCAGACTTCATGTAGCAATTAACAGGCTAATCTCTTTGCCACAGCTAGCTAGTCGACATGCCAAACCCATGGAAAAAAAAAAACAGAAATTGGGCTTATTTTTGGTTTAATTGTCTTGTGAGTTGTTTGTTGGCTAGTTTTTGGCTTATAGATTGTTTTGCTTGTAGCTTGTTGCAACTTGTTCCTTTTTTTTTTTTTGATTGGCTCCTGGCAGCAGGGGCAGGGTGAGGGGGTGGGGAAGCAGGGGTGCACAGCGGGCCCACCACACTCCCAAACTGCATGCTGGGGGGAATCTAGTCACATAGAGTGTTGGGGTTCTTAGGGATTTGCTTGTTTTGAAATGGGATTAGCTTGATTTTTGGCATATTGTGAAAGTCGGGGTGCTTATTTATCGTGTGAAAGTTGGCAACTGTGCTAGCTAGTTTTCTTTGTCAGTGATTACTGACCCATCTAAAGGGCTGGCAAATAAAATAACTTCCTAGGATTTTAATTACAAATCCTACCTCAGAGCTAACCGTTAGCAGAATTGTATAAAGGTCTGAACTGTCACAACAAAGTCCTGATCATTGTTAGCTGCCAATACTTTGCCAGGAGAGTCACAAATCTGGGAAATAACTTCCGGCCTTAGTCTGCAGGGGGCTGAGCGCCTCCTACTAAGTCCCCCGGCCACCGACCCTTGTTTGTCATTGGCGCCCAGACACGAGGGTGATGGGCATCCAGGAAGACCAGAGAGAGAGCAGCAGCGGGACCCAGAACCCCGCAGGGCCGGCCACGGTTTGAATGCTCCCCCAGGGGATCCAACACCCTCCTGCGGCAGCGCCCAGATGAACCAGTGACCGGTTTTGCCCTGCCCCGAGGGAGGAACGGGAACCGGAGGCAGAAATGGAAGCGGGGCGGCAGAGCTGCCATGTCCCCAGTGGACTCGCTCCGGAGCCCGGGCCCTGCCTGCTCACCGTGCGCTTACAGCTCTGCCAGCCACTCGGGTCCTTCCGGTAGAGCTGCACGGTGTCCGCCAGCGAGCGGACCCGCTCCTGGTAAGCCATGGCGAGCGCCGGGCCCGGGTGCGGCGATGCGCCGGGCCGGCCGGAGGAGCCCCTGCCCACAGGGGGCCGGGCTCTCGCCGATAGGCGCTGCCAGCCTGGGCCGAGCCCAGCGCCTCCCACTCACCTGATGGCGCTGCCCGTGCCTTTGTGGGAGGGGCGCCGGGGCTCCTGGGCGGGCCTCCCCAGGCGGCCAGCGCCAGCCTCTGCTCCCGGCGGCGGGGGGTTAGCAGCGCCCCAGCGCGGCGGGCGCGACGCGGCTCGGTCCCTGGGGGCTGCTCCACCCGCTCGGCCCGCCCCCAGCAGCGCGCCCTACCCCCTCTTCCCGAGCTGGCCGGGGCTGAGAGGGAGGGGCGGGCGCATGTGAGAGGAAGGGGCGGGGTGTGGGAGGGAGGGAGAGAGAGGAAAAGAGGGTGGGTGTGAGGGAGGGAGAGGAAGAGAGGGGGTGTGTGAGAAAGGGGGGGGGTGTGTGAGGGAGGGAGGGAGGGAGGAGAGGGGTGTGTGTGAGGGAGGGGAGAGAGGGGGTGTGAGAGAGAGGGGTGTGTGGGAGGGAGGGAGGGAGGGAAGAGAGGGGGTGTGAGAGTGTGTGTGTGTGTGTGAGAGAGGGAGAGAGAGGGAGGGAGAGGAAAAGAGGGTGTGTATGTGGGGGGGAAGGAGGGAAGGTGTGAGAGGAATGGAGGGGTGTGTGTGTGTGGAAGAGGGAGAGAGGGGTGTGTGGAAGAGGGAGAGAAGAGTGAGGAATGGAGGGGTGTGAGAGAGAGGGAGAGAGGTTGTGTGTGTGACAGAGAGGGTGTGTGAGAGGGAGGTGTGTGAGGAATGGAGGGGTGTGAGAGAGAGGGGGAGAGGTTGTGTGTGTGACAGAGAGAGGAAGAGAGGGTGTGTGAGAGGGAGGGATGGGTGTGTGTGTGTGTGTGTGTGTGTGTGTGAGAGAGAGAGAGAGAGCGCGCATAAAGCAAGCGATGGAACCTCACCCAGTAACCTCTGAATCAAGCCCATACCTTCTGTTCCAGCTACAACATAGCTTTCTGCTAGACTGACACACAACTATAAAATGTACTGTAAGCAAGAAGCCTTTATTTTCAGAGAGATGGACTGGATATCCTTTTCCTAGGATAACACAGACCTCTTCAAACTATGGCATTTTCAGTTGGGACTGGGAAAATTATGCACATATTTGAGAGCTTGAAGAAGGTAAAATAAACCTCCCTGACATACTTTTGCATGGGTTTAATTATTCCTGGAGCCCCATGTACATATTTTATTTTTACTGTATAGTAATGAGCAATAATGCAGAAATACTTCTCTCTCCAGATTTTTGTAATGCATCTGTGATGCGTACTGTACTTGGGTACAATTAAAATTAAACAGAAAGCTAAATACTGCTTTCTCCACATCAAGCAGTTGCATATACTGTTGTTCAGAAGACTATATTTCAACGGTTCTCTGTGGTTCAAATGGCAGCCAAAAGGTCTCCACAAATACATATGTTCATAACACAAAACAAAGGGAGCATTTTCCTAGACATTTGAACATATCAGTTCATTAGATTCAGACATGTTTAGGTCAATGCTGGTCTTTGATTTCTTTCTGGTAAGCTTTGCCCCAGATTTCAGGTATTTCTCCTTATTATGAATGACTTGGATGTATTGGTCGTTGCTGCTGGTTTGCTGATCACTGCTGGATCCAATGGAAATGGAATCCGACTCTGTTAGAGATTGTTCAAGTTTATGCTTGGATTTAGGTTTCACTTGATGCTCTGGATAGTGCTGATCGACATCCACATGTTTCATGTGTGACTTTTTGTGGGAATGTGGGTGCCTCTCTCGTTCTAGCTCAAAGCCATCGTCCCAGGATTTGTAGTGCAGTTTAGCTAGATTCTTGCCAGTAAGGATTTGACTGTCCACACGTTCACCAATGTAAAATCGGGGAGCTGGGCGAAGATCTGAGAGTGAGCGTGGACGGTAGGATCTGCTTATCAAGTCTCTCCTTAATTCCTCCTCCTCCTCCTCTTCCTCTTCACTGAAGTGAGGGAAGTATGTCCTGTGTGGTGTTCGAACCACATATCTTCTGACGTTCCTTGGATATAATTCAACTATGTCTCCTGACTCCTCCATTCTGAAATGCCTTGGGAGCCGGGAAGTGGAACGGAGAAGCTTTTTGCGGGATTCATGTTCATTAACAATAAAATACCGTGTGGTGGGCACTTTGCGTCCCTCAAAAGCTGGAGCTTCTGCCCCAAGAGTGTCTGGATTTACTTGTTGGATACCTTTCCTAAAAAGAGGCTCAGAATGAACATCTTCAACACGCTTTTTGAAAGTCACAGGAGTGTAGGGCTTTGTTTTACAGAGCTCACTTGCACTTCCATGTACAACACTTGAGTACCTTTAAAAAAAGGAAGTAACATATTTATCCCCAAAATAGTCTTGCAGTGAAGGTAAATAATCAATTTTTTAAATAGCTGCGGAAACTAAGGCACAGAGGTTTGGGGACAGATTGTGAATCCCTTACTTACACAAGTCCTACTGGAGTCAAATAGGCTACTCATGTGAGCAAGTGATCTACACTGTGAGTTTCATTCATAATCTGGCCTTAAGTGACTTGCCCAAGGTCACAGAAGAAAATTGTGGCAGAGCAAGAAATCCAGCTCAGACATCCTAAGCAACAAGCAAATGCCTTAATCACAAAGCCATCCAAAATATGTAACAATTAATTTTCATTAAGGCTTAGAGAATCCTCTGACATATTGCTTTACCTTTACTATATTTGTCAATTTCATGAAAAGAATATGCTATTTGAATTGCTTTTTAATGTAGTGTAATTTGGAGGGTTTTATCTTTACTTTAAACAAGTTTAGGAACTTTATAAACTATATCCGCACAAAAGTACTATAATCCACTCTAACAATCAAAGGTGATTGCTCCCATTCCATAGTAGCCAAGTGCCTGTGAGCAAAGCTGTTTTTAAAAACTATTCTGCCAATGTTTTGTTCGTGACAGAGTTAATTTGGTTACACAGATTTTGTAAATAAAAACAAGTATTTCATGGACATATTGAAATACATTTCATTTCAGAACTAGGAGACAGCCTCACCTGTTTGCAACCTGCTCAATTCTACGCCTCTGTATGCTAGGAACAGTGGGAGTTGGTATTAAGGGGGTTGGAGTTATATTCACTGGCCTAGAAATATCAGCTTGCGGTATAGATTGTGAGATTGTTTGTATTCTGTTGCCTTTGGTCATTGGAGATTCAAAATTCAAGACGCTGCCATTCTTTCGGGGTGTTGATGACCGAGCTGAGGACTCCTGACTGGTGAGGTCATTCTCCTGCTCTGGTCTTTTGTCATTTCCCTCTAAATTCTGGATTCTGGCTAGAAAAAGCAAAGAGTGATTGTAACTTGAGCTGTCAGACCTTTAAGAAGGAAAACAAATTGGTTCAACTTCAGCCTGCAGTAAATGGATGGCGTTCCCATAGAATCCTCTGGGCAAATTCAGTGGAGACAAGCACTGAGCACCGAGATGGTGTGGTGATCGGAGTCAGTATAAGAACCCAGCTGGATAGATGATGCCCAATGCATGTCAGGTGCTTGTTGATCAGAAAATTGTTGCAAGTGGCAAAAGTATTGTAAATTGCACTGATTTGGCATTTAGTACGTATGCAAAATTAGTGTAATTTACACACCAAATCCATGAAATGAGGATTATAGGAAAAGAAACCAACTGGAGGATATAAAGATAAGGCCTTCTCTTCCCAAGAGCATCAGTTGAGCTTATGTTCCACCATTACTAACAGCAGCTGGGCCAAATTAAACTCTAATGTAAGTGGGCGAAGCTTCCATCGACTTCAGTGGCATTTGCACCCACCAATGCCAAGAGCTGAATTTGAGCCCCCCCAAACCATACTGGTCTAATTTACTGTATACTACCAATTGTAAAATATTACTGTATACTATATTCTCTATTACAAATAGTATACTATTGCTGCATACTACATTCCTACTTCTTGACCCAACAAATAACATATACCACCATTTAATGTGTCTGTTGGATTTGGCCCAGTAAGAAACGTTTATTTTTGAATGAGGGGTTTCATGAATGTATAAGTTTGAACGCTACCAGCATTGTTACACAGTAATTAGTAGATAAAGGTGAAACTGAACATTCCATCTAGATTTAAATTCTTTTGCTAGTCTATTGCTAATAATTCAAACTAGTTTACACTATATAGGCCAGATTCTGCTCTCATTACATCAATGTCAATCCACAGAAATTCCGTTTAAGCCAATGAGTTACTACAGCTTGACACTAGTATGAATGAGAGCAGAATCTGGCCCCATGCTTTTAATTTGATTAGGCAACCTAAAGCCTTTAGAAGGTCTTTAGAGAGATCCACATTTCACTTATTATCAGTTGTAAAATGTATAATAATTTCCTCATCGCATAATCACCTCATAGGATAAAAACAATTACAGTGAATGCTAGGCTTATGCTAAAACTGACACTAGAAGTATCAGGTTTATACTGCACCCAATATATTTTTTATTTGTACTTACTGTGCATACAAGAGATAAAAATGGCCAAATGCTTTATTTACAGATGTATTTATAAAAGCTCCCAACTTACCTACTGCTATGTGAACCACCTTTTTCTTGTCTTCGGTTCTTTCCTAAAAAAATATAAATATATGGATGATTAACTAATAGTTTGGATGTTAGAAGGCAAACAAGTTAGCAAATAAGAGGTATGAATACAGGATTAGTTTTATGATACAAAACACTTAAATCAACTTTAGAATTTTAGTTAAGATTAGTGCTTTGTGAAAAGCCACCAAGAAGCGTGTAATAAATGTTTTCAATCAGTACTTACACTTTGGATCTGCATCCTCAGTTGCCTGTTGGTGAATTTTAATGACCTTGCAATACTCTGCAGGTAATAAATTAGCATGCTAGAAGAGAGGAACACAGGGCTATCTGTGAATCACATCTGAAACATTCCTAGCAATGTTCTTTCAGAAAGGCTCACATGGCACAGAAATGGAATATGATTTCTGTTCCTCTCCAGCTTTGTCCGTTGCATTGGGACAGGGATGCAAAAGACAAACAAGCTTTTTGAAGGTCTGGCAGTTAACTCTTTGGAGTTTCACAGCTTAACAGATAGGTGACATTAAAAACTAAATTTTCAACAGACATTCCCAATTGTGCATGCATTATTTTCACGTGCAAAAATCCCACCTTCTTGTTTAACATATTTAGGACCAGATGGATCTGCTCTGATTCACACTAGCTGAGAATCTAGACCTTCATTCTGAGTACTGCACACAGAAACAAAATAATACATATTGTGGCATTCACTCCCTCCCCCTGCTCTTTTAGCTTTCAAAACTAAGTTCTTTTTGTGGAGATGGGCAGAATATAGGAGCAGCTTTGAGGACACCATACAAAATATAGTAGGTTTGCATATTCAATACACAATGCAACTTAGTATAATATAATGCTTCTGCACATTGTGAAGTGTTTGCTATGCAATGGCTATTTCTCTTAACATCTTTCTCATCCTCTGTGGAGAATGTGTGCATGAGGTTTTTTTTTATGAATATCATATACACCTCGGTTTACCTGCTTGTTGTTATCCTGCCTGACTGCATAGAGTTAAATCAAACGAGGATGTTAGGTGGAAACTAATAGGAAACAAAACAATAACAGAGATAAGGTACAAAAGATCTTTAAGGGAACAGTGGAGGAGTTATTAATTAGGAAATGCCCATCTGCCTGGCTCAAATGAAGTGACCAGGTTAATTTTTTCCAGGCCTGATCATAGGAAATTAACATATCCAATGAATATGAAGGAGAAAATATGGGCTGAATGATATTTTGTGAAAGTGATGTATCTTTCAAACAGCTCAAAATAAATATCAACTCCCAGATGTGATTATTTAAGGAGTGGGGTGGAAAGGACTGGAGAGACTGCAGAAAGCTATATTAAATTAACATTTGAGAGCAGGCCTTGATAATTAATTTATCCTGTCAGTAATCAGGATGACTGAGTAGCTTCTATAGATGACAGATTAAGCCCTGTGTGCAGTCATATACTGAACTACTGACCAATAATAAACAGAAGATTGGTTTCTGAGACACTCCTGAAAGAGAAACAGAGGTCTGGAAAGCTCATAGAACTACTATTAGGCCAAGCCTTGACAGCAAGTAACCTTACTGAACACTGGGAGAGCAAACCCAGTATTCCACGTCGTTGGCAATGGTTGTTAACTGTGTCTCAACACTTTACCACTACTGGCCTTTGCTGGACCCATAAAGGGCTGTTGTGCTAGGTTTTGTTGTTTAAATTAAAGACTAACATAGATTGGCTCATATGAATCTGAAAATCAAATGGCCATATCATGCCATCAAATATTTAAGAGCACTCACTCCAGTGAAACTAATTGAAGGAGGAAGTGTTTATCTTAAACATTTGATGTTATGCTTTAAGCATGTTCCCACTCCCGACTGATCCCTAATCCATAAATTCAACAAGACTTTTCCAATTGGTTTTATAAAATTACTGTCACGCAATATTTTCCCCCAACTATTAAGATTTAACTATTTACAGATAGATACAGTACTGATACAGAGTAATATCACTATGAAATGTAAAATACTTACAATAGAAGTAATAATGCAGGGAGGACAACTACAGGGCTGCTGATATAATTAATCACTGTGTTGAACCATACAGGAAAATCTGCTTTAATTGTTTCAGACACAATATCATATATTTTCTCTTGTCCACTAAGGGGGAAAAAGTTGAATTGAACTCTAAGAAAATTGTCAGCATTTATCATTTGAAAGTAATATTGCATTGAATAAAACATATTTTTATGCAAGACCATTATGACTAATCCAGCTCCCATTGAAATCAATGGAAAAATTGAATGGAATCAATCTATTTTTAAAATATGGCCAGAATTTCCATGTGTTCACCAATTTTGGGTGCCTCAGTTTGAGGGTGTCTGACATGAGATACTTTGTTCTAGCCCACGAAAGCTTATGCCCAAATAAATTTGTTAGTCTCTAAGGTGCCCCTAAGGTGCTCGTTGTTTTTGTTCTTGATGTTCAGAGATGATATGACTTGTAGTAAATTCCATTACATCATGCAAACATATTACAACTGAACTATGCAGATAATGGCAAAATGTCTGCAGCTGATAAAATAGATTAAAAGACTTGGGTCAGATACCATTGTATATATTCAGGTAGTTTAACACCATTTTATGTCTGAACTAGACATTTTTGGCATAAGTAGGACACCATATATTAATTATAAGTAGGACATCAAATTAACTTTTATTTATCAGTAATCCAGCAATATTTCCATTGAAAACTGTTTAATTTATTGAGATAAGGGAACTAACAACTCACTACAGTTATTATTTCAGTACAACTTACCTAAATGGACCGCAGCTTAAAGATGGTTTATATCGGGCAATAGCAAAAATAGTTGGTAACATGCACAAGAATAACATAAAGAGCAACATAGCCAAGTAGAAGTTATTAGATCTGCAAGAAAACATAACATTTTTCATGTTGTATTAACGATACAGACAACCAGAGCCAATGTGCAGGATACAAATCTACATCAACCTGACAAGTGCAAGAGCTGCACTTCTGAAACTTCAATATTGTTTTCCGTTGTGGTCAGGAAATAAATCTGGGCAGTCCGTACACACTGGCCTTGCGCAGATTCTTAATGATCAAAATTCTATTTGCTGTGTTCTCTAGATATCACTTATACATCCAGATAACTATTTATAGTATCCACACTGCAAAAACTCAGGTTGCTTCAAAGTTCTGTTTAAAAAATATTTATGAAGGTTTGGGTATTCATTTATTTTTAGATCTTAAGAACATGTTATTTTTGATATGTTTTAAAGTCTTGAAAAAAAGTCCTTAATTATTTACCTTTTGGCAAGAAATTGAGGTATTGAGGAAAAAAATGTAACAAAGGTAACACTGTTGTGTAACGTAAGGTACAGTAGTTGATACTTCATAGTACATATATAGGGCCCTAACAAATTCATGGCCATGAAAAATGTACTGTGAAATCTGGCCTTTTGTGCGCTTTTACCCTATACGATACAGATTTCACAGGGGAAACCAGCATTTCTCAAATGGTGGGTCCTGACCCAAAAGGCAATTGGAGTGGGGGTCGCAAAGTCATTTTAGGGGTGTCACAGGATTGCCACCCTTACTTCTGCACTGCCTTCAGAGCTGGGTGACTGGAGAGTGGTGGCTGTTGGCCGGACGCCCAGCTCTAAGGGCAGAGCCCTGTCAGCTGCAGCGCAGAAGGAAGGGTGGCAGTACCAGACCAGGCCATCCTTACTTCTGTGCTGCTGCTGGTGGCAGCTCTGCCTTCAGAGCTGGGCTCCCGGCCAGCAGCCGCCGCTGCTCTGCAGCTGCCCAACTCTGAAGGCAACACCGCTGCCAGCAGCAACACAGAAGTAAGGGTAGCAGTACCACAACACCCCCTACAATAACGCCGTGGCCCCCCACCCCACAACTCCTTTTTGGATCAGGTCCCTACAATTACAACCCGGTGACATTTCAGATTTAAATGGCTGAAATCATGAAATTTACGATTTTTTAAAATCCTATAACCATGAAATTGATCAAAATGGACCGTGAATTTGGTAGGGCCCTATACATAAAGAAACACTAGGCACCGATCTTGCAAACACTTACTTAAATGGTTGAATTCAATGACAGTTTGGAGTATGATTTTTTTTTGCAATGTTTCTATGCCCACAAAAGCTCTAGTTGTAGATACAGTTATATTGATGTAAAAAATGCTTTTGCTTGTGTAGCTTATTTTACTGTGGAAACCAGTATAAGCTATACAGCAAAAACATTTTTTTGATAGTATAAGCTGCATCTACTGTACTCTATAAATTGGATACTCCATATGATTTACTCTTAAAGGGCCAGATTCAAACCCCAACAGGCATCCAGTAATAACTTACAGTCACTACTGACTTTGACCCTGTGACGTAGGTCAAAAGGTTCTGTGAAAGGTTCTGTGTATAATCACAAATACCAAGCTACACAGGTCCCTTTATGCCCTTGTGATGCACTTTCATTTGATAATTCTCTCCAATACAATGCTGCTTTCTACCTCCCTCTCTTCACTTACTATATTTTCCTTTACAGATTTTTGCTGAAGGCCTCAAAGTTAATATATTAAATCTAATTTTACTTTTTATTTCCAGCATTCAAGACTACTCATTTCATTTAGTCAGATAATACATTTCTTCTCCTTACATTGAATATTGTCTTTATTTTAACTAACCTTGAAGCTCTGAAAACCTGCTGATGTGGTACGTTACATGTTAACACAGCCCAGCTCCTCAGGTACATAAGCCCAATCAACTTCAGAACATTGAATGCTGGGAGGCAGGGTGAAAAGAAGGCTCCCATCCTAGAAAGAAATATATAATTTCAAAGTAATCAACATGCCTCCAGTCAATTTTAGTTATGTTACAGTAAGGTATATGAGTAGTTCTAAATAACCTCTCATGTTGTATCAGTGTGAAAATGTTAATAATCATGCAATGCTCCCTTACTAAACTCCTATTTGGATATATCGTGAGTTTGAGGTTTAGGTAATAAATTATCTTGGTAACCAATCAAGGACAGGAAAAATGCTTATATATATTACATACCAAATCATTCCTTGGTTGTAGACCAAATGTAGCACATTCTCTGCAATTTTGAATTCTCCATATTCCGGCTACAAGAAATACAATGAATGGTGAATAACTTGTTTCAATATTTTTAATATCTACTATCTAAAATATGAGCCTATATAAATTCATGGAATAGATTGCAGTCTGAAATCTCCAGTGTAAGTATCGCTTCTTCGACATGCAGCAGGCATGTAGTCAAACCTGCACTTGGGGGGTTGGGACACTCAAGCTAATTGCACTCCACTCCACTTTTTAAATTAGCTACTAAAGACAAGACTGTATATCAGGATTTCATGGCAACAGCTGCTCCCTAGCCAAGCATTACTTCCTGTGATCTTTATTTTTCAGGACTGTGTGCTTATAATTATTGTGTCTTGCATCACTTGATATCTCATGGGGCATTGTCATAGCTGGAGAGGAAGTTAGAAGCCACCCACTCTCTCCATTTTCAAAAGGTCCATCTATTAGTCATCTTTGACTGTGGGACTGATCCATGATCTCATTATGAGAATGATGTGGGAGTCAGTGCGTTGGCCACAGCTGGCAGCGAGCTTGAAGTAATCTCACTGTTTGCTCTGTGCCCTCCAGTTTAAATTCAGCCTACCTATGCCCTTAGGACAAGTCTACACTTCGAGCTCAGGGTGTGATTCCTAGCTCAAGAAGACATGCTCGAGCTAGCTCAGGGTGTAGCCATGACAGTGTGAGTGGCTAGCCCCCCTGAGTACCTAACCTAGCATGCTCTGACAGGCACACGCTCGGAGTGGCTAGCCCCTGCCGCTGCTTGTTCTATTTTTAGTGCACTAGCTTGAGCAGTGACTAGTGCAAGTATCACACCCCCAGCTTGAAGTGTACATATATCCTTAGGCTTGCTGTGCCCATATGGATAACCTAATTGTTGCCAGAGAAACTACTGATGAACTCCAGGGCCTTAAGGGACAGACCTAGCCTGTCCAATTTTCATCATATTTCAGAATGATTTTACTAAAATAAAAGTCTGTACTTACAAACTTGCTTTCCAGATCCCAGCACCAGCAATCACTTAAGTATCGGACAAATAGTCCACGGAAAAAGTCTATTAGCAGGATGCTTGCCACTGTGAAAATCATGTCAATAATTGACAGCTTCAGCATTTCCTGAAACACAGTTTGTACCAAGCTACTGAGTCATGTTCAAAGCAAAGGATTTGCATAAAGCTCTAGACATATTTGCACTTGACTCATGCTTACAATCCTGATGTAACATACCCTGAATCTATAATGTACCCTTCAATTAGTTTTTCCTGCTTTAATGTTTCTTTACATGTTTCTGTTCCAGGAAGGGCAAACATCTGGTGCCAGCGTTCATCATGCTGTTTATTGCTTGCATCAGATAAAGTACTGGTTATAGTGGATTAGAATGTTCTTTTTAATGACTCAATCTGTCTGTTTTGAAAAGTTATCTTTGTTAACTAACAAAGTTTTTCACTTCTGCTATAGCAGTCATGCTTCTGGATTTATTGTACATGGTTGTTTTAAACGCATTTTTGATTAGTGCTAAGAAGTACTGCCTCTTAACACCAAGAGCATAACCAGTTAAAGATGAGATCACAGTGCTCTGAAAGAGACACACTGGATCTGTTTATTATTACAACTTGTATCTGTGCGTGGCTATCCAAGGTTAAAAAATACACAATTCAAACACATAATTAAACAAGAAAACTCCAGCCCCAAACAATTTTGGCCCATACTTTTTTTAAAAAGTCAACCAATTATAAATAACTACCTCATTCCTCTAAGAACTCCAATCATCCAAATCTTTCAACTGCCCCAAACACAAGACAATAAATAGAACCTACAGGATGTAGTTACACTAAACTAGCTGAGTGACCACTATGATATCAATATTCTCTTCACCCTACAAGTGTGCAGTTCCTAATGATTTCACTGGGAGCTGCATACATATAGGGCAAGGAGAATATCAGAATAGAGATCTGCGAGACAAATCCGGAAGGAGAATTTTGCCCCAGATGATCAAACCAGACTAAAGAACCCAATATTTTTGTTATTTTTTAAATAAAGAGTTCTTGCTTGATGAACATGATTTGTTGGGGAAAAGTCAACATGGCTTTTGTAAAGGGAAATCATGCCTCACCGATATATTAGAATCCTTTGAGGGGGTCAACAAGCACATGGACAAGAGTGATCCAGTGGATATAGTGTACTTGGACTTTCAGAAAGCTTTTGACAAGGTCCCTCACCAAAGGCCCTTATGCAAACAAAGCAGTCATGGGATAAGAGGGAAGGTCCTCTCATGGATCAGTAACTGGTTAAAGGCTAGGAAACAAAAGGGAGGAATAAATGGTCAGTTTTCAGAATGGAGAGAGGTAAATAGCTGCGTCCCCCAGGGAAATTGTACTGGGACTACTGCTATTCAACATATTCATAAATGATCTGGAGAAAGGGTTGAACAGTGAGGTGGCAAAGATTGCAAATTTACTCAAGATATTTAAGTCCAAAGTAAAGAGTGAAGAGTTACAAAGGGACCTCACAAAACTGGGTGTCTGGACAAGAAAATGGCAGATGAAATTCAATGTTGTTAAATGCAAAGTAATGCACATTGGAAAACATAATCCCAACTATACATACAAAATGATGGGGTCTAATTAGCTGTTACCACTCAAAAAAGATATCTTGGAATCATTGTGGATAATTCTCTGAAAACGTCTGCTCAATGTGCAGCAGCAGTCAAAAAAACGAACAGAATGTTAGGAACCATTAGGAAAGCAAGAGATAAGGAGACAGAAAATATCATAATGTTGCTATATAAATCCATGGTATGCCCGCACTTGGAATACTGTATGCAGTTCTGGTCCCCATCTCAAAAAAAGATATAATAGAATAGGAAAAAGTACAGAGAAGGGCAACAAAAATGATTAGGGTATGGAACAGCGTTCATCTGAGGAGAAATTTAAAAGACCTGGCCTGTTCAGCTTAGAAAAAAGAAGACAAAGAGGGAAATGATAGAGGTCTATAAAATCATGACTGGTGTGGAGAAAGTGAATAGGGAAATGTTATTTACCCCCTCAGATAACACAAGAACCAGGTGTCACCCAATGAAATTAATAGCAGCAGGTTTAAAACAAACATAAGGAAATACTTCTTCACACAACGCACAGTCAACCCATGGAACTCGTTGCCAGGGGTTGTTGTGAAGGACAAAACTGTAACTGGGTTCAAAAAATAATTCTATAAATTAATGGAGGATAAATTATTAGCTAAGATGTTCAGGGATGCAACCTGGTGCTCTGGGTGTCCCTAAGCCTCTAACTGCCAGAAGTTGGGACTGGATGACAGGGCATGGATCACTTGATAATTGCCCTGTTCTGTTCATTCCCTTTGGAGCATCTGGCACCAGCCTCTGTCGGAAGACAGAATACTGGGCTACATGGACCATTGCTCTGACCCAGTATGGCCATTCTTATGTTGTTTTTGAACAAGGGACTAAACAATGCAGAGGCCCATTAATCCAATGAGGTTCAGGCCACCAGACTGGAAGTGTGGCACTGATAAATGAAGCCCTTTGAGACCAAAACACATTGAGATATAATGGAGTTAAATTACCTTTTGGGGGGTGGGTGGAGTAGAGTTAGTTCAAATGTCCCCGTAGTATTTTTGTTCTATCATCAGCAATCCAAAATAAGGGCTACAAACAAATCCCAACCTCTCATAGGGGCAATCTACCAACAACCATTATCCCAGGACAGATAGTTTTCTGCAATAACAAGCACATCTGCACACTGTACATCTCTTTCTCCCCCACATGCATCCATACTGATGAACTGGCAGGGTTTTGAAAACAAGTTTCCTATTGTGTAAAGTACTGGGAGAACATCTAATTCCCTTCTGGCTTAAAGAACAGAATGAATAGATCATGCAGAGACATGGGACAATGTGCATGTGCACAATCACCTGATTGGTTTAGGTTTCAATCCTGCATTCAGATCTGTCCGGGTGGATCTCTGAGTCTGTGCACAGTTGCAGAGGTCTTCCAGTGCAGATGTGAATGCAAGATCAGGGCTTTAGAGTATAAGCTCTGAAAGAAAAGGACATTTCACAACACAGAAACACTGTCAAAGCATAATGAATAATAACGTCCACATCCATCCCTGCAAAGTGGACAGAGAAAGTGATGGAGAGCTCAGATCCTCCCCTTGGTCCATCCCCTAACCAACCTGGGCCCCGGGACAGACTTTCACAGCACTGCCACTGATATGTGGAACTCCCCCCCGCCACACCCTTCCAAATTTGAAAATATGCAACTTTTGCCCATTGGGCAATTCATTGCAAAATTTTCACACAGTTCTAGTTGCAATGTGCTCTCAGTATCCTGAGTATGTGCTGGTTGGTTGCTCAGTCTAAGGCCTTGTCTACACTACAGGGGAAATTCGATCCAAGCTATGCAATTTGAGTTATGTTAATAGCATAACTCAAATTGATGTAGCTTAGATCTACTTACCGCGGGGTCCACACTACACAATGTCGATGGCAGATGCTCTCCCGTCGACTCCCCCTACTCTTCTCGATTCAGTGGAGTACAGGAGTCGATGGGAGAGCAATCTGCGGTCGATTTAGCGGGTCGGACTTCACTAGACCCGCCAAATTGACCGCCGATGCATTGATCGTCGATCCCTTGGTAAGTGTAGACAAGCCCTAAGAGACAAGATATGAACAGTAGTACACCCCTATGGGCTTGATGCACCAGGTCTAGCTGAGCTGTGTTCAATGCAGGATCTATAACTGGAGCAGGAAGAAGGACTCCAAGCCATCTTTCCACTGATTTGACCCTCAGTCTGACTAGAGGCTACCCCCTGTCAAATGTAGAATCTCCTAATGTCTGAAACAAATATCTAAGTTACATCATCTACAGAGGTTCCCTAGGGACTGTTCTTCCGGCAGGCCATCACCAGATCAGTGTGCTGTGCTGTGCTCTGCCTCTTTCCAGTCCTGGACTGTCCAAAAGTGCCCTCTATGCCACCCAGGAATTCCTTTTACCCCCCGGGAAATGCCAGTTGCCCGAGTAGGGTAGGGATACGAGGCCTGAACAAGGACTGGTGGGGTCTGGCACTCATCTTACTTTTTAAATTTAAAATCTTGAAAGTAAGTGGCAATAGTTACCTGGGGTTTTCTATGAGATTTCCTTATTCATTCCAGCTCCCACTTATGTATCTCTGTCAGGCACCCAGCAGGACTGCAAATACCAGAGGGGAATTCCCTGCAGGGACTCCACCCAGCCACCCTGGGACTGCTGTGGTGATGACTCTGAGTGCAGGGGGATTCATGCTCCTCTGCGTTCTTAGAGATGCCCTGCTTGGATGAGAGAGCCCCCATTCTGTGCCCCCACAATTGCTGGCTAAATCAAGTCTGATTCAACAGCTGGATTTTCTGTCTTTGAATCTGGCATATAAATAGTAAATCTGGTGGGTTGTCATTGTATAAGGGCAGAAGTTCTACCAGGTGAATTGAATGGGAGGGTTGGTCAGAGAGAGACAACAGGTACTACTTATTTTAGATCCATGTCACTCTGTATATTCTTAGGTCTGGCCTTGATAAGGTCTCTGGAAAGAAATATAACACCTCCATGTGATTTTTTAATTTGTTAGTAAAGCAAAGCAATGTATTTAGTCTATTTTTCTTAATAGGGAAAAAAGGGACTTACCTGACCAACGTATGTTTCCCAGCACTGATCCTTCTGACTTTGCATGTTGTAGGGATGGGAAGTTGTCTGGTTAACCAGCACGAGAGGTATTGTGTAGTTCTGAGTATGACTCTTTTCCAGAGTCAATGTACTGTTTCTCCTAATTCTTATATCAGGGATAGTTGTAGATAAGTTGTCTTCTTCGGGAAGGGTTCTGGTTGCTAAGAAGGTGGTAGAATCTATCCAGTTACTTACACTGCTGTTAGCTTCAGCTTCCTGAAAGAATGGAACAGAAGTTTAATCTAAGTGTCTAAGTGCTACATTTTCAGCTGTGGTCTCCATTTGTCTGAAAAACTGTGCAGATGTCCATGTGTCCAAAATTGCAAAGGCACCCATTTATGTGCTCAGCCATGTAATATCATGGACTAGTTAGGTGGCTAGGCACCTAATTTCCTGATTTGTATGTGCAAATGATCTACTAGTTTTGTAGGCACAAAACAGGAAGTTGATTTTAGACCAGGTTGAAATATTTGGTCTAAAATGGTGACCTAGTTTACCAAAGTAGTTAAACGATGCACAGAATGGCTATCTGTGTTATTTATCAGCATCCCTATGGATCTGAATTTCTAGATGACTGAAAAGATTTATAAATGAATACCACAACTGATCTTCTAATCAGAGTTCCACTATATTTCAATAGATATATTTGGGTTTCAAACAAATTTATTTTGGACTTTAAATATGCTACAATAATAGTTCTATGTGTAAAGTTAGCTAGTTTTAAGACTTACAATAATAGCAGCTATACTTACAGCGATACTCATGCTGTCCACTTTATCCAACAGAGCAATAATTAAACTGTAGAGGTTTCCCAGATATAAAACGAGAACCCTGAAAACAACAAGCATAGTATATGGGGGAGAGTCATCCAGCAGGGTTATTCTGAAGACTTCTATTCATGTTCTACGCTGGCTGAAGTAAAATGTGTCATCAGTACATTTCTTCCCTCCCACCAAACAAACCAAAAATTGCTTTGATACTGAATATGCCTATTACCTGGCAAGCTGAAAGCGAAGAGTGGTTCTAGGGTGGTACATCTCTAGCGCTGCTACAAGTTCAAATGCAGAGGGTGCAATCATAGTAATTAGTGAAACAACAACACTCACCTACAGAATAGAAAGACAGTCTTTATGATGCTTTTTCATAGCCTTCTTTGGTACGTTAAGAATTCTTTGCTTGCTGATTGAAATCTTGACGATGCAGTAGAAATACTTAGTGGTGATTGCGATAACTCAGCAAATTCTACTTTTAAATGTGTCATTGACAAGAGTAAGGACATTTGTGACCCAGAATTTTTGATCTGGAATATTGCTAAGAAGCCTCTCACCTTAGTAATTAATTATAGTTTATGTTATTATAGTTTATGTTATTATAGAAGTATTACCTTTATATTAACAATAAGAAATCTGAAGAGTGTTCTTCTCTGATCTGACTCATCAGTTGCTATCCTCAAGCTAATACGTTTGAAATAGTTGTTATTGCCCATGGACCAGCATCTGCTTGGCTCTTAACGTGGATGCACAGAGAGCTTCCTCCTTCTGCGGCCCATGTAAGGGCCAAGTAGAATTGCAGGCCCTGTGTCCTGAGGAACTGCTGCATCCCCATTCCCACTGTGGCCACTAAGAACCCCTCGCTGTGCAGTGGAGGTGGTAATTGTGCAGGGGATCCATATAGCAGAAGCTCCACCCCCATGTCTCCCCTGACCTATTCTCGCAGCCCTAAAACGCCAGTGCAATCGACCCTTGGAGAATTGTGCTCCATGACGCATAGGAAGTGTACACTTCCTTCATAGGTTTAAGGCCCTGACTCTGAAAACAATTACGCATGTGTTTAACTTTACTACCTGGAGTAATCCCATGGCTCATCTATACCCATTGAGGGGCTGCTGGGCAGAGTTTTTCCCCATACTATGGACAGATATCAGCAAAATCAACAGTAATTTGTAACCAGCCAAGAGGCTTGTGAAGACTTTGCAGAACACAGAACTCTAACCAGAATGCACAGTTACAGACTAACAAAGAGATCAAATACCTCTGACATACTGTACCTCATTTTTCTCCCAAAGCGTCAGTTCCTTTTTGGTGCGCTCTAATTTTTGGGATCGATCCACAACAAAGTAAATGATGTAAATACTTCCAGCAAGCGAGAGAAGCACAAGGATGTTTGCAATAATCCTTAAGCATATTGTCACAGCCCTGGAAAAGAGTCACACAACAAATGCTACAGATAGGCCACCTTGCACAAGTAGGTGTTTCCTGCATTTTTTTTTTTAGGTCATAAAACAAATAGGTCAACATTATGTTATATCTGCATTTAAACAGTGGTTTTGAAAATAGCCTCAGCCATGTATACATACAGGTTTTTGCTTTTCTTCTTTTCCTGCTCTTCCAATATAGCTTCCTTGAAAGAAACACAGAATTACCATTTTAGCAGCATTCAGTAAAATCAATAAACATTTCCTCTACCCATTACAAACCATAGAAGTTAAAATGGCCAGATCCTGCACTGCATTAGGGAACAGCTGACATACGGCTCTGTGCTTCTTTACTTAATAAGAGTACTGCATGCTGTGGGTTTAAGCAGTAAAGGAGATTTTGGGGGAACAAAGACATTAAGAACTTTATCACCCTCTCTTTCCTGGTGTATGCTATATTCACTCCTTTCTAATATGTTCACTGTTTAGATCCCAGTCCTGTTCTAGGATTCACTAATGTGGATCTGTGGGTTGTGTTGTCTCATTTGCTTCAATAGGACTGCACCTGAGGTCCCCACTAGCAGTTATTAATGTAGGATGGGACCCTTAGATTATGAGTTGTTCAGAGAAAGGACACATCACCCGTGTGAGACAAGGTGGCTGAGGTAATATCTTTTATTGGACCAACTTCTGTTGGTGAGAGTGACAAACTTTTGAGCTTGCATTTCAGAACAGCTCGGTGTAGTTCAAAAGCCTGTCTCTCACAGCAACAGAAATTGGCCCATTAAAAGATATTACCTTACCCACCCTGGTCTCTCTAATATCCCGGGACCAACACAGCTACAACAACACTGCATACATCACTTGCATGTTTCCCATGAGGCACGTTACACCCACATGTAGATGTTACAAAATAATATCAGCATAAATCATCCCAGTGTTTGAGATACAAATCAAAGTGTTTATTGGTTTGTCCTAGACAATTTGGAGTCATTTGGACAAAGGGCTTTTAGTGATGATGTGCCAAGGTTATGGAATCAATTACTTCTGGATATTAGGAAAGCTGTGTCTGTTTTTAAAAATCTAAATGGAAAAGGTTCATGTTTAATGCAGCTTTTAATGTTGATCTAGTTATAAAATGCCCCTGAACTGTTTTGGCGAAAGTACAATATAAATGCATATTATCGGGATATTAAAAGGATCCTGATTCAAAGATTCATGAGAGTTGTAGCAAGGAAGAATTTGTCTCAAGGTTTTAACTCTAAAGAACACATGTAATAATGGGGATTAAGATGTTGCTGTCGGAACATCACACAATAAATGAAACTGAATGACACTGTTGACAAAAATGTCACATGACAAAGTGACCCGAAGCTCTAATTTACATATCATGCCTGTTGACCATAACTCATGTCATCAGTGAAAGTTGGGCGCACAGATCAAGTGCATGAAGCAGCAATAAGATATTTGATACTAGCCCTCTGCTAGGTAATCAGAGTCAGAAATAAACAATGCACAACAGGAAAGAAATAGTATGGAATGGAACGGATGAAAAACCACTCTGCTATTTACAAAGCAATAGACCTAAACTATGCTTTTGTTCAGAGTCTAATTGCTTACCCTGATACTATTAACTATTGCAGCAGCTTTGCTTTCTGCAGCCTCTGGATTTCCTATTAAATAGTCCCAAGCACAGAACACTCTCCAGCAGAAAGTATAATTTTCATCAGAGGCACTTGCTAGACTCATTCTTGAGTTCTTTGCCATTCTGGAAAATAATAATAATAATAATAAATGTTAATTGTTGTAAATGTGTGACAGTTTATGTGATGTGAATTGGTTCACAGGTGTCTATACCACAAAAATGACCAAAATTGGAATTAACTGGTATCTTTGTTGGCAATCTCAATAGAGAACCTAAGAACAGAGAAAGATACAGAGACTGAACTATTCCTTGTCCCCAAGAATGCATACTTCAATTCAGAGTTGAAGCACATTGGTTGGATTGTATGGGAAAATGTGCACTGCTGCCTGTGTCTGACAGAAGACTTCAGTCTCAAGGGCTGTCCATCTTACACCTTTCACCAGACTAAATTCACTTTTAAAACCCCTGTGTAGGATCTGACTGGAGGAAAGATGTCATAGCAATGTCAGAGCATTATCACTATGATCAAGAGATAGCCTGGCAAAAATGTGATAATCTTACACAGGATCGATGGTTATCCTGTATTATGAATGCAGATAACAATAGTGATGGCACAGTAAAAAGACAACAGATAGATGAAAAAACTAGTGATACTTTACTCAGCTATTGTTTTAAAAAATAGCCCACCCTTCTTGAGTAGACCTTCTTAAGGATGTAATAAATCAATTTAAGGTCTTTAAAGAAGTTAGGTGATCATTACAAAAAAACTACCCCAACAATATGAAAATAAATTATATTGTTTTAATCAAAGATATTTGTGCTCTGTTTTCTTCAGAATATTAAATATGAGTTTGTGCTGTAGAATACATTAAATGAGACCATGTTTCTCTCTAAGTATCATAGAAAATAATTAAATAGGTAGAATTTTACTGTACAGCAAATAGTTGGTTCAACTGTCTTCATTGGATCAGCGTAGCAGTCAGAAATTCAGTCACCTCCTCCTTTTCTCTGGACATTTGGCCCATCTGGGTACATAATAGCCATATGGGCCTACCAGCGTATGCCATTGCCATATGACTATGTATTATTCCGCAGATGTTTCACATAACAGAATACAATGTGCATCTGGTGTGGCTTACCAGAGGCTAATAAGAACTGTTTCACCTCAGATAGGAAATGGTAGAAGGGTCACAACAGATGGGCAAACAAAGAGTCAATGACCTAAGGCAGCACCCTTTGCAGGTAGAGAAAAGCAAACTTCATCCAAAACCTGAATGTGTAATCACTGTGTGAACCAGTGTCCAAAACACTGACCATCCTGACCTAAAATAACACATCTAATGAAAAAAAGAGTGATAATTTTTGTGTCTGACACAGCTATTACAGCTCATATTAAAAATCCTCCTGGGCTGCAACTTATCAGACAATTAGTTACCCTGAGAGGAAGGGAAAGTGAATGGAGAGAGGATAAAGTGACCTTGCCCCACTAAGTACTGCACATTTCTAGATTTATGGTCAGCACTGGCAGGCTCTCTTGCCTGTGTTATTTCCAGTCCTTCTACCTAAATAACAAAGGAAATAAATAGGCCCACATTTGAGTACTGTGCAGTGTTCCCAGTGCAAGCAATACCAAGAGTTTTATGACAGCATTCTTATATTTGTATTTAACTGGATGGGAATCATAGTACAGAAAATGTACAGGTAGCAGTTTAAGTTTCTTGTCATAATACTTGCCACATAAAGCCCTCAGTGAAAATCAGGCCCCACATCTTCAGTGCACTGTACAGACATTAACTACATAACGCCCACAACACCCTGAGCGTCTGCTAAACATTGCCCTCATTTTGTAGACAGGGAAGCTGAAGGAGAGAGGGTAAGTGACAGCAAAGGAACATGCTACAGTTAGAGCTCAGGAGTTCCTGGATCCCGGTCCTGTCCTTAATCTACCAGTAAAGATGCCTCTCTGATATTAGCAGGCTTGAATACGATACAGGAATTACAGAATTAAATACAGGAGGAACTCTTTGAGGGAAGGGGAAAGAATATATCATTCATACAGCCTGAATATATATCTCTGGGCAAACATCAATAAAAGGGAAACATTACTTTTTTAAGAGGATGATGAAGCTATAAGCAAACACTGCCATTCCAACAAGGAAGTAAGCCAGGGGCAGCCGATACCCAGCTTTCCCAATCTTCCGATCTCGGCCATAGTAGCCGTAAAATAAAACAGAGTACTGGAGATAACCCTGTAAAGACAACATACAGTCTACATCAGCACCCACACCTGACTAAATTAACACATGAAGAATTCATGCAACAAAGCAATGAAGTGTGCTTTTAAGCCTTGCCCCCAGTGACCAGATGGTGTCCAGGTCCTGTGCTGATGCAAACTGCTCCTTTGGGATGGTCTTGCTGATAGTGCTTCCAAATGGCGCTCCTGCCAGGAGCTGATAAGAGAGGAAAGGTCTTAAAAACTGTGTAAAGCAGACAGTTCTATCACATGGTCTGTCACGCACAGCCTGAAACAAGCTGCAACAAACTGCCTACCTGAGGGGAAGTATCAGAAATACTATTACTGTCATTCACTCTCCTAAACTAGAAGCATAGTGACAAATTCTGCATTCAACTCCTGCTGAGGTCAATGGGTGTTGGCCATGTATATCCGATGGCAGAATTTAGCCCCTGAAGTCTAATTTTTAGGTAAGTTATTACTGTATAGACATTAAGAGCTATTAAAGCACAGTCTCAATGTATGGGGAAGATCAATTTTTAAATAATTTATACTGATGTACATTAACACCTGGTTCCTATTATATTAGATTGGTGTGCTAGACTTTTTCTCTTTATAAATAAGAAAATATAGACTCTAAAGGCCTGGTTTGCACAGACAATCACACAGAGACAATCACAGACAATCACACAGAGCTCCAGCTGAAGTGTCAGAGTTGTGGATGCTCAGAACATCTGAAAATCAGGCTCTAAGGGCCAAAAACGGAGAGATGCTGAGCTCCGATTTGTCCAGATGAAGTGAAGAGAAGCTTTGGGTGTTTAACACATGCTCTGCACCTTGCAGGATTGGGTCCTTTATATCAGCAATCAGAAACATCTACATTACATTGCTCAGTTGGTATAATGTCATGTCATCTGAGACATTAATGGCAAGTTTCTCTTCTCCTCCGGCAGAAATAACGCTCAACAGAGGAAGGTATTTTAAATAATTTAAATTGTACACTCAAAAAAAATCATTTATGCCTTTGAGCAGAACATTTATTTAATTTAGGAAGGGAAATGCTACACTCAGTGTTTTTCCTGTAGATATTGGAGTTATGTCCTAACCTCTGGTAAGACCACAAATGCTCCTGTCATTATGGTAAGCACAATATTGATTCCAAATAGCCATCTCAAAAAGATGAAATAAGAGGCAACTCCGGATCCAAAATGACCTGAAACCACAGGAAACACTTATATCAGCTGGGAAGTCTGTCAGAAGCTGTATCACTTATTAATGAAGTATTAGTTGATCATTAAAAAAAACTTTTCCTTCTCTGCAATGCACAGATCAAGACGGAGAAAATGCTATAACATCAATATACAGCACTGTAATATAAACTGCTATTCATAGGTTTAAAAATCACAACAAATATTTACAGTGAAGTAGTTATGATCACAGGAATCTTCTTGGTTCAGGCTATACATATCTTCTTATTTGCTGTTTATACAGAAACTTGTGTCAAAATGCATGTGTAGCTATTAGTAGTAGTTAATCTCACCTGTTTAGTTCAGCATCTGAGAATTCTCATCTTAAGTTTATGCAAACCATTTTGGTCTGTAAACCAGGCTGGAAATTTAATAAGATCAGTCTTTTTTTAAAATGTGATATTTCCAGTATCTCCTGATTTTGTCTGGACTGAAAATAGTGGTTCCAATTCTGATTTTCACAGTGCATCTTCACTGGCTACAGCAGAACTATTCATAAGTCATAACACCATTAAGGAGTAGAGAATCAGGCCCTCTTTGTTTACAATTTTATTACACAAAAATTCTGATTTCCACCACTGTCCACATGATCACAATTGGTCCTAAGTATTGCACGCTTTGTGCAAAGCAAGTCACATGGGGCCTCAGACTGACATCCACAATCTCCATTATATAGGTGGGAGTAGGGACCCCAGCACACGACTGGTTGGGTCAACAATGTTGGTTATTAAGGTGATGCAGAAGCGGATAAATGGGCAGTCCGGGTGCTTGTAATTTCAAGAAGGTCAGAAGGGTTTTAACAACGAGGTGTGTGGGGTGGGGGCAGATTGTATTAGGCCCTCACTGCATTTTGGGAGGGAATACTCCACCATGTAGACAGGGAGAATGTTTGCCTGTCACCTGGAAGGAGCAGGAAGAGCCCACTGGTACGTACACTGCTGGCTCCCTTAGTTGCTACAAACAGGGAGCAGTGTAAAGAGTCTGAATGGTCTGATCTGAACATTCATTTTACAACTAAATAAATACAGTAGTTGCCAATAAATTGTCATAATTGTGGAGCAGTTTTTATCCACGTGAAAATATCTGCAATACAGAAAAATCCCTTCCACTTAGAACAAGATTAGAGCTAGATGTGAACATTGTCAGGAAAATACATTTTCCATTTTTTACCACCTTTAATATAGTTATTACAGGTGGTCAATCACAATACTTAGCTCTTATATGATGCTTTTCATCCATAGATCTCAAAGCACTTTACACTGCAGGGAAAGTTTAATTTTTAAATATAGACTATATGTGAGGTCTTGACTCCCAGCTCCATTCCCTTTGCTTCTGACAGGGCAAGTGGAGATTCTCTGATTTAGGGAATTTCCCTTACAAAGCTGGCTCTGTGACATCTGCTCCCAGCTTGCTGATGTAAGAGGCAGGTCAGGGATGGACAAGAGTCAAAAGCAAATGTGGCCTGAACTGCCACTGTCTAAATTATACCAGAGGCCAAATGGCTGGATAGATGGCTTTGATCCAGTTTTTCCACTCCATGTCCTGTGCTGAGCACATCTTGGGCCAGACCCAGTACAGACATCTGGCCCTATGTCTGTATTGCAAAAATACTTCAGCAGTTTATAGCACTACAGGGCCTTTTAAACTGTAGTCGCCACACTGTAGTAACATCATACTAGTATTGCTAAAGACTATGACTGACAAACGAATGTGGTATCTAACACACCAAGAGTAATAATTGTGTTGACTTTTAATGACAACCACATGACTTTGATGAAACTTTGAATGTGTTTATAATATGGTTGTATTTTTCACTAATTCAGTGAGTTCAAACATAACCCTTAAGCCTAGTATTTCAGCTTGGTTTGCATTGCACAATCCCACTAAATCTCCATACTTACTTTCTATTTTCTTTATTCTCATTTCCCAAGGAATGAAGATTACCACAAAGTTATATGCAAGCCGAACAAACTTCTTCCAGAGCTAAGAAAAGGGCACAGAAAGAAGAGATTTGTAACTTTTGCACATAAAGCAATAATTGTCAAAAAGGTGTCAGAGTATTTTGTCCAGTTGTAGCATCTTTCATCTAGCATCAGAAAGCATGTTATAAAAACCAACTAAAAAGTTTCACAGCTCTCCTGTGAGGTACGTAAGATGCATAAACTGAGTCATGGTGGGGGGACGGACAGTTCAGAAACTTTCCAGAAGTCAGAGAGCCAGGTACAGAACCCAGGAGTTCAACTTCCAAGTGCATGCTCTAACCACTAAACCACACATGCATATATAAGAGAGACGTTTTAAAGATCTTAAGAGAATACATACAAAGAGTATTTTCCTCCACTCTTGTTATATCTGGAACCACCAATAAGGGTACCCACACAAAAATACAATATATTTTAAATTTAGACCCATTTGAAATATACCTGAGATATATTTTCATATATCAGCACATTATTTGTCTGAAGCGGTATATATTAACAGCGGCAAAGGAACCTTCAATGCTTTGCATAAGAGTTACATTCTAAGTTGAAAGGAATTCCTCAAGTAACATACCTCTAAAGTCTATGTCCACACTGAGGATAACACCCTACCTCTGCTTTCAGCTAATGCAGTTACTCCTTTAACTCAAATGGTAGAGGCCTGGGCTTCAGTGCTCAAGATTCCAAGTTCACTGCGGGTGAGAATTGTTACACTTACATATCCTACATGGTAAGCGCTTTGCTGTGGAACATGTAGGTCAACAGAACAAGAAGATTTATTTTGCTTTGATGTAGGGGATCATGCCTTATTTGCCCCCTCTGCCTACTCTGTAGAGACTCTTCTTCTGGAGAGATGCAAACATTGCTCTTTCTCAAGCTCAAATTCCATCTACAGAACATCATCAGGGATAAACTCAAGGAGAGTTGCACAAAAGTGACTGAGGGCACCCTGTGGCCCTTAGACAAGAAATAAGAAAGATAAGAATAAACTAAACCTGTGACAAGGAAAATGAACATTTAAGTGAAGTAAAATATGCATCAGAAAGAGAATGCAAGAATAGATTAATTTATGAGCACAAAGAATTTTAAACAGATTCAGAAATTACCACCAGACTAAGGCAGCATCACAGTGTTTATGTAATCTATTAAGGAATCCTACTGAATAAGAAACCAGATTTCTTATTGGATGAATGAATACAACACCTAATTTTAAATGTATAAGAGCAAGTAACTCTGAGCTAAGTCCTAATTCTTCTTAGAGACAGCGATCATTAATATTGAACTGCGGCATAATCACACGGTCTCAACTCTATGTATGAGGATTTACTTTGAACCCATTGGACACATTTTCAAAGGGATCTCAATTCAGCCTCTAATTTGTGTGTGGCTAATTATTTTCATAGACAATAGGTAGATTTCTCACACACACTGGCATTTGCATGTGCAAATGAGACTGCACAAGTCACTGTGTGAGCAACTGAGGACAAATTTTGAAAGTCCTTGAAATAAAAATATAACCTTAAATATGCACTCAGATTATTTCATGCCAGTAACCTCTACTCACAAAACATTATAATAACTTTTCTTATTTAATTCAGAAATGAATGATAACTTTACTATCTATTGTAAATTGACTATATGCAAGTGCAGTATTTTATCAGGTAATTCAAGATAATTTCGTAGACATTTTCTTATGCTATCTGCTTCTGTTTAGTCAAAAGTAGAGAAATATTGTATATTCTGTTCATTACTGAATTTCAGGATGGCAACAACATTTATGTACATTAGTCATTTTTAACCACAAATTTACAGTAGATCTTGTTATTTTGAATGAATATATATATATATTATTATATATATATATATTATATATATATATATAAGCAAATGGCAATGTCAACATATTACAAATAGTCTAATCTGCTAAAGCCAAAGCAGAAGCAAACTTTTAATTAACAAATGCATCACATGGTCAAAGTTAATTAATTTTTATGATGCTATTAAGGTGTTATTGCAAGAATTAATAGATGCTATGAACTGCACCAAAGTTGCTACTTTAATTGGAAGGCAGTGTTCATAAGGCTGAGAAAGGGATCAAGCAACTTGTACAGGTTTAAATATAATTTAAATTATATATATCTGGATGTCAATGTGAAAAAACCTCAAGCAGCAGTGATTAAAAAAAAATGACTTCTAGTCCTGCATACTGATCACCTGAATAAAAAAATAATAATTTTCACCTTCATAGTCATGTTTCTGTATAATTTTTAGATGAACAAACATTGATCTATTAGTTTTAATCATAAGGAACAATACTTTAGAAGTGATTTTATCTAATTGCTAGAAAATACTACTACATACATTTGCCAGCTCTTTTTTAAAAAATACGGCTACAGTGATGGGTGCAAAACCTATGGAAGGGTTGGTAAACTCTTACAAGTTGCTAATTAAGTATCCTTCTCTCAGGATATTCAACCAGTGAATGCTTAGTTTGGTGGTGTAACGCTCCTATTGTGTATTTCATGGTTTGCCAAATGGGCCATCGGTCAATATTCTTCTGGAAAAAAAAACTGTCTAAACCTGTCTCCCTAGTTTAAGGAACAATTCAGCTCTCTTGCTTCTGCTGTTGAATTTAACCCTTTTTTAAAAAAAAAGTCTTTCTAGTTTCCCTAATTCATAGCCGGCAAAGCCAAACACAATAATTACTGGTAACTAACTTCTGAAATATATAGATGTATTCAGAACAGAAACAAGTAAAAACACACAACATGGATAATTAGATGAGATACCCACAGACTTTGAGGGCATTGTGAAGTATAAAGTGAAAGCCAAAAATTTGTTACAATATAGCAAGTATTAACTAATGATGAGTCCAACCTGTGCATTTTAGCAGTTGTCTGCATGCTCAGAGTCCTTAGGCACTCAAATCTTTCAAACCGAATGAAATTTTGGCCCCAGTGAAGTCAATGGCAAAACTTCACTCATAATGCCTAATGTGTGTGTGCGTGCACACATGTGCCCGACCCCACAGACAGATAAATAAAACACAATCTCCACTATCCAGGAAGGTTGTATTTTTTATCAACTGTTTCTGATGACATAAGAGCAAAGCTAAAGTACTGTTGTGTCGATAGAAAAAAAGATAAATATTTAGCTTTAGAAATTTTAGTTGGCTGCACTGCATTTTATATTCTATTTCACGCACACTCCGCCCCAAAGTACAAGCACATTATTAACTTTGTAAATGCAAGCCCTCAGAAGTTAGGAAGTACCAGAACAGAGGTTGCTTAATCAGTCTCCTTGTGCGTATGCATTATGATACAGTCTTTAATTACACAATCACATTAGGGTTGCCTGCCACCTGTCTGGTTTTCACCCGGACAGTCCAGGTTTCTGCTTGTGTCCCTGGATGCCATTTGACAAGGCCTGATGTCTGTTTTTTTTTTGATCTGTGGAAAAGGCGGCAATCCTAAGTGGAAGGAAGGAGGCAATGCAGCATCAGTTGCTCATGCAGCTGGTGGTGGTGCGTGGCCCTGTGCAGCCCATAGGTGGCAGACAAAGCAGCCTCGGCCGTGTTGGTGAAGACCCTGTGAGTGACAGGTGCAGGACCTCGGGGGAAGAGGCGGAGCAGGGGTGGGGCCTGGGGGAAGAGACAGGGCAAAGGCTGGGCCTCGAGGGTTGGGTTACCAGTCGTTAGAAAGGTGGCAACCCTAGATCGCATACTATCTTTCCACAGGATCTCTACCATAAGCGTTCATAACATTACCTTGAAAACAAAAAGGCAGAAACACTCTTCATACTAAACGACTGTACTCAGTCTCCTACTTCAGCACAACAACTCTTTATAGAATACAAATTGTTTGGCTCCTGTTCCCATCACCAACCTTCTGGCAGACCCTCATTATTTGCTGGAGTATTTGAAAAGAAAAAATACTCATGTTACTGGAACGAGGCCCATCCCTCATACATTAAATTAATTTGCAAAAATGTAATTACTAAATTCTTAATAGAAAAAAGAAGCGTATAACTGGATTTTTCTTCCACACAATTCTTGAACTGGGGAGCAGTGTTTCACAGAAAATAGGTACTTCTGTAAATGAGAATTCCAGATAATTGTTATAGGAAAGAGCTGTAGTTTTAATGAAAAGCAGACATACCTCTGCACCAGCTGCCTGGTAACCTCTTGTTCTAGTGAGCCTGCCTTCATATTTCAACACAATCTCCTTAGCTTGTCTGCAGAGGAAGACAGAATCTTCATTTCATGTAACCAAAAATCTTATTACACTTTGAACATGGGCCATACCACACATAAATGAAAGTTGCCAAGTAATGGGAAATATTGTCACAACAGACTACCTGCCCAATCCTGAAGTCCTTACTCAGGCAAAACTTCATTTCCTTAAAATAAGAGTATTGCTAGCCATTTAAAATCAATGGGAATTTTGTCTGAGAAAGAACCACAGGATCAGATCCCAATAGTTTGCAAAACAAATGTAAGATTTTCACTTTAGGGAGAGCTTCAGTAAAATTTTTTCCTGTGCCCTGCTCCCTGGTTTCTAGAATTTTTCTGTAATAATGTAACCAAAATCATCTCAAAGTAAAAGCATTATAATACCTCATTCAGTTCAGTTTATGTGGATACCAACACTTCTTCTGAAAGTATAGTCTAAAGCCTGGGGTTTATCAATATAGCAATTGATTAATATTAAACTACTGGTTACATTTTAATCAGAGGTATTGGACAAGATATGCATACAGGCCTAATCCTACTTCCACTGAAGTTAATGGGAATTTTTTACTTTTGTGGGAGCTGAATAGGGACCATAGATAATCAGACAGGACAGGAACAGAGCATTTGCTCATCCATGAAGGCAGCTCGGGTTTAGCTGCAAATTACGGACTCTCACTCCAGGGATATGAGAAAATTCTCCCTTTGCTTCCTAAGACAAGGCAAAGGTGGGCAGAAAAATGAACCTACCTTGTTAGTAAAGTGCCATTCCAGCACACAGTGAGGAGACAAGGGAGAGATTTCATAGAAGGGGAAACAAAAGTCAAATGGAATGCACAGTGAAAGAACTGATGCAGTTTAGATAAGATATTGGAGAAAGTTATGAACTTTTATACTGTGTTTCAAATTTGGAACCATTAACACTTATGGCTTTAAACTCTGTTGTCATGATGATACTACATTGCATGCTGTCAACAGTCTACATGTACCTCATTAATCTGCAAACATGGGTACTAGTCTCTGGTATTTGAAACATAATTTAAAATCGGAAGTGCCAAATTCTGTCCCCTCATCCACCAACGCCTCATTACTTTCAAACACAGCCTTCCTGAATAGTGGGAAGTTGTGCTGTTTTTGACAGTGTTTCACAGAGCACGAGGACAAAATTTGGCTGATAACATATTGCTGAGTATCTTTGACAGAATGTACAATACATATGGTGACATCTCAGTGATCCTTCCTGAGCATTCTAATGCAGAATCATTGAACAGTTTTAATATTCCAAATGGCTCAGGAAAATCTCTCATCACCACTAACCAGCAATACAAAGATTATGAATTTGGAGCCAGAAACAAGGCTGAAATGGTAAAGAATGAAGAGCTGTGTGATACCTACGGCACCCTGTAGATGCTGGGCAAAGATAAAGACAAAGCTCTTCTGGCCTGATCCAAAGTTCAATGAACACATACAAAAATGAGCTGTAATCAACTTTTAGAAGCTTTTTAATTTTCAAAATCCTATGATTCCCAACCTTGGGATGATGATGATACTCTATGATGGAGTAGTAGAAAGATAGCTGCTGCATGATTTTCTGGCAATTCTAAACCATTCCCATGCTCACACCTAATTTAGGTTAACAAATTTGTGAGAACTAGAAAAGCAGCAATAAATGGTGGGATTGAAAGTGTCCATGAAAACTCCATTACCTGAGTGCCCTCAGCTTGTGTCTCATAGGCCATGGTCTGCAACGGATGTTTGCCATGATCTCTTTTTGAAATTGTATATTCTGGAAGATCTGCTCCGGGTCATTGCTGTCAGTATTTAAATCACCATTATCATCAGCTGAGTTACTGAAGAGACCCAGACCCATGGGAGACAAACACAAAACAAGTTATTGCCATTCAGAACTATTGCAAAGAATAGACACATATACAATCCAGTCTATAACAACAGCATAACAACAGGAGCCCACCAGACTGGAGGGAGGATTGGGCTGACTTCTCTGCTGTAGATGGAGTCACCGCTTTCCTTGGCTACTCTTAGACTATCAACGCCAGAGATGACATTTATCCCTGTAGCTCAGAAAAATACTTCTGAAGAGCAATTTTTTTGCCTTTGGAATGCACCAGCTTGCACTCAGTATCAAGCATTTTGGGGTACCCCTGTATCCCTCAACAGGAATTCAAACCTTCTAGCTCCCCACATTTCAAACCATACAGCTGAAACACCATGCTGTCCTGTCCTCAGTATATTTTTCAGGAACTAAGTGCTATGTAAACATTTCCAGCAAATGCACTTAATACAAATGTATTTGCCAGAAGCAGCACTACCTTCTACTTTGATTGTGATTAGGATACAGTGTCTCTTTGTTAAAATGGGGACAACAAATGCCTAGAGTGCTTTAGCTCTTCAATCCTCCACACTGCGAGTACTGGGGATTAACTGTGGGACCCCCTGTTACAGGGGTACTGTAAGAGTAGCACATCCCTGAAAATGAAACATGTACCCATACACTGGCTTCTGCAGATAATTATCTTTTTCTGATGTTGTTAGTGTATATGTTGAGCTAAACAGTGCTTAATTTGTTCTAGGGCTTGCCAAGACTGAGCCCCGGCACCTCTAGGCTTGGCTGTTCGTAGCCCTGGCACCTCTGGGCTTGCTGCATCTGTTATGAATGTTAAAAAAAAATTACTTGAACCCTGACACCTCTTTCATTACAAATTAAACAGTGGAGCTAAGGCTCTCAGTCCCTGTCTGTAACGCATACTGTGTACTGTAAGTGAAGAACAAACAATGTTCATGCTTACAGGGGAGCTCCGGCAATTAAGATTTTCCTTTATATAAACAAAATTGCAATGCTACATGAAACAAAACCAAAAATTTCGTATCAGCTTCCTACATTTGTTGGGAATGACACCCACTAAAACTTCCCTGCAGCTTTGCTGAAAAATATGATACCTTTGGAATCACTCAAATAAATCCTCACTGGAAATCATCTCACTGGAGATGATTTTGGTCCTATAAGGAACACGATTTAAAAAAAAAAAAAAAAAGGATTTAAGGAAAAATATAATGAAAGGTTTCCTCTCTCTCTTCATGTTCTTACTCATCATTTGGATAGATTATAGCAGAAAAAAACATTAGAGGGGTGATGCCTCTTTTCACTCAGATCAATAATAATTTTATCCAATTTGCATTACAAGTGGAACAGAAGAAAATCTCTCACCTGTGGGGTGGCTCCTTGTATGCGTACATGCTGGCATGCTGCCTCACACTTTTTTGCCTTTTGCAGGACTTTGTAGTTTTCACTGTAGCAGACCCACGTACTGTTGTCATTCTGGCAATACCTGAAGCTATGTTAGCCCCAGTTGCAGCAGATGGAATTCTGGAAGGCTAGAAGGAAGACTTAGGCTCACAGGTGAGTACCTTAAACAGCAAACCTTATTATCTGGAACTAGAGAGCAAAAAATGACTCCCGAGCTCTGCAGAAGCAGAACGCTACTCGCCTGCATCTGGTGCTCCTAAGAGTGGGAAAGACCTGAAACCTGGCAACGCATAGATAGTCTTAAAGTGGCAGTACACAAGATGCTCAGTCTGGTATCCTTGAGGCATTCTGCCTAGTTTCCCAGAGTGTGTCTGGGCATCCTGCAGTCCAAAATCCAGAGCACAGATGCCATTGACACGTATGATAGTGACTAATCTCTAGGATATGTCTGCACTGCAGTGTAAGCCCAGGGTTCAAACTCAGGTTGAAGTCTAACCACTTCCACCCCATTTGTTTACACACAAATTGTGGTAACCCTAGGCTCAGACCCCAGGGTTCCAGGAGCCCCCAGTGGTAGAGGGTCCGAGCTTGAGTCAAGCTGGGACCCAGTGTTCAAGCCCTGTTGCTTTGCAGTGTAGATGCAGCCCCACTGGATTCATGCTCTGGGGGTCCACTAAAAGTATTCTACAATCCCACAGGCCGACTTTCTATGTCCTCTGGACAGTCCAGTTTGGTGGACAGTCAAGTTTTTCCACTCTGGATCATGAACAAAGGGCTCCTTTTGGGAAGGTGCAAGGAAGTCTGGCATACGGGTAGTTGGATGCAGGCCTGCATAATGCAGTGAAGATGCTGAACCCTCAGGTTGGGACCCAGGGTTCAACAATTCCTAACCTGGGGTTACAACTGAGTGTAGACTCACAAGTCCAAGGTTAACAAATCCAGGGTCTGCTAAGGGTGAGGGTGCTCCAGTGGCTCAATTGGCTACCCCCTAGTACTTATAGAGCAGTGCTGAGTAGAGACATGCTGAAGTTGTGACTTCAAACCTCACCTGGAGCCCTGGTTTTCATTAACCAAATGGCTTCTACTAACCCTGGGCTTACATTGCAGTGCAGACATACCCTTAAAGGGCCAGAACCCACACCACTGCACTGAGGTGAAAGCACAAGTTCATATTAACATCTGAGTAAGACAATCAAATGCACTGGCCAGGCTGCCAGAGTCTCTGCCTCACCACCTTGCAAGAGGGCCTCGGGCAAAGTAGAGCTGTCAACATTTTTTCTTTGTCTTTACTAACAGCTGAAAATATGATCTCCTTTTCCCACATAACTTATGGATCTTGAACTTTCCCCATTGGGGAAGACTCAGGCAAAATGGAAATAGACTCTGATTTACTGAAGAATCCTCCCTCTCTTCTGGACTTCAGGCTGCAAAAACCTATCATGTTCACACAGCCATTGGGTGTAGGAGTTAGAACTGCCAAAGCACGAAAGTCGGTAGGGCATTTGATAGAAACAGCTGAGAGAGGAGTACCTAGTTCACCAGCCTGACAAGCCTTAGGTAATGACTAAACTGACTCCTAAAGCAGGTAATTCCAGCAGATCAAGGCACCTATAAACAGCAGGCACTCTTCCTGCCCCCTTACGATTTCAGAAAAGGTTTGGGAGAAAACTACCAAACATGGCCCAGGGCTAATGTCATCACAGTAGCAGTGGTTGTGGGATGGACCTAGACAGTTATGTGGCTCCATTGGCCAAAATCCCTGCACCTGGGATGTGCATTGGGCGTGGCTGTTACAGCAGGCTGTGTGCTGTAGCAGTGGCTGCAGAAGAATGCCCTGAAGTTCCCAACTAGGGAAGGAGGGAGGATTCTGTCCCACCCTACCCTTACGGAATCATGACTAGGGCTTTACTCAAAAATCTAGGATCACACCTTTTATTTAGCCTATTTGTTAAAAAGTAAACTCTGATATTTATCATCCGGAATCACATCAATCATGGACCCCATGGATTCAATTCCATATCAGCGCAGACCTGGGATACAGTAGCAAGCCTAACAAAATACATACATTAATATAAGCACCTTGTGCAAAACATATATGTAAATATATCATACAAACATGACATGGCATTTGTGATGCTTCCTAGGGGTAGCCACAGTTATGAGGCACCTCGCTACTATCTGACCTTACCATGTGAAAGCCCTGTCTGTGCGTGCTGCATGTCAGTCCTCCAACACCATCAGGCTGTGGCAACATCAAGCCCTGCCTCCCAGGTCTCGCTTTTGCTTTACAAGTTAATGATAGGAACACATCAACCCCAAGTCCTCCAACCATCCCTCTATAGTGCCCAGCCCCAATCCACTGGACACACACGGACTTCCTAGATCCCCTGTTTCCAAAAAGGACCAGCACACCACAAAACACAGCTCTGCTTAACACACAGCATTTAGATTTGTTTGTAGAGGAAGCAAGTATAAATTTATTTAACAAAAAATAGAAATTCAAATGGTAGTAAGCAGAAATACTGGCAAAAAAGGGTGACAAATAAAACAAAATCATAGGATGCATTCTAGACTCTAAACTTAACTAATAAGACATTGTCATGTCACAGGGAGCAAAAGCTCACCCTAAATTCTGCCAGTGTATTACAACCAGGTTTGGCTGTGGTCTTCTGTTCATGAAACAAGCACGCTGCCCTCTTGCCTCCTCAGTTCTGCTCTGTCCCTCCTGTTATAGTCCAAAAATCCATTGTCTGCATTTGCAACCAGGATCCCCATCCTCATTTGTGTTTTTCTGTCAAGAATCAACCCTGGAGACTGTGCAATTACTTGTTAGCATTTTGCTCAGACTGTAAATGGGTACCCATTGTGAACCATACAATACTCAATTTATATGTTGACAGATACATAAACATCTCTTGTCTGAAAGAAACCCGTTTCTCACCTTTTGGTCACAGACCTTAAGAACATAATTTTCAGTACACACACATAACTTATTCCTACATATATTTTACCCTGAGTATGAAGACCAGTGTGACTCAGGCTTTCATTAGACACCTTTCATGATACTCTTTGGTGAACTTCTCTGTGGATACCAGACCCAGGAGAATCCCTGATGCACTCTGGTGCCCTTTACCATGTGGCACCAAGAGATCCCTGGGTTACAGCATTAACAGCCACAGGACACAATTCTCTAGAAAAGTGCCTGAGTTTACAGGGGTATAGTCCTCCAGTACCATCCGTGAAAGCCATCTACACGTATCTGGAGAGAATTCAGTGCTTGAAGATTGTACTGAAGATAAATCTCAGCTCCTCTTTACCTTAATTCCTTTGGGTCAAGGCACCATGAAGAACGTAAATATAGAGGGGCTGTCTACAGTGTCTTTGCTTTGCCAACTTAGAAATCATTTTTCTCTCAGCACAAATCAAGAGTGTGAAGAGGAGCACTTAAAGAGATGGAAGGCATCGCAAGTGATGCATTGCAACAAATGTAGCACAGTCAAACTGATTTCTTATAACTGTGATAAACTGAAAATATGGGGCTAGATTTTCAGCCTCTGATCCAGCTGCTTTGCAGTGCCACAGCGTAGCACTGTTCCAGAACTTCAGCTGACCTAGACATCTCTATGACCTCTAAGTCTTTTTCAGAGTAACTGTTGAACAGGATACAGCTCCCCATCCTGTAAAGGTGACCTACATTCTTTGTTCCTAGATGTATGACTTTGCAGCTGGATGTATTAAAGCACATGTTATTTGAATGAGCACAGTTTACCAAGTAATTCAGTTTGTTCTGTGTAACTGAGCTGTCGTCATTTACAGCTTCACCAATCTCATCATAGAATCACAGGACTGGAAGTTATCTCGAGAGGTCATCGAGTCCAGTCCCCTGCACTTGTGGCAGGACTAAGTATTATCTAGACCATCCTTGACAGGTGTTTGTCTAACCTGCTCTTAAAAATCTCCAATGATGGAGATTCCACAATTTCCCTAGGCAATTCATTCCAGTTCTTAACCACCCTGACAGACAGGAAGTTTTTCCTAATGTCCAACCTAAACCTCCCTTGCTGCAATTTAAGCCCACTGCTTCTTGTCCTATCTCACAGGTTAACAACATTTTTTTCTCCCTCCTCCTTGTAACTACCTTTTATGTACTTGAAAACTGTTATGTCCCCTGTCAGCCTTCTCTTTTCCAGACTAAATAAACCCAGTTTTTTCAATCTTTCCTCATAGGTCATGTTTTCTAGACCTTTAATTATTTTTGTTGCTCTTCTTTGGACTTTCCCCAATTTGTCCACATCTTTCCTGAAATGTGGCACCCAGAACTGGACACAATACTCCAATTGAGGCCTACTCAGCACAGAGTAGAGAGGAAGAATTTCTTCTTGTGTCTTACTTACAACACTCCTGCAATGCAGCCCAGAATTATGTTCATTTTTTTGCAAAAGTGTCACACTGTTGACCCATATTTAGCTTGTGGTCCACTATGACCCCCAGATCCCTTTCCTCAATATTCTTTCCTAGGCAGTCATTTCCCATTTTCTATGTGTGCAACTGATTGTTCCTTCCTAAACGGAGTACTTTGCATTTGTCCTTATTGAATTTCATCCTATTTACTTCAGACCGTTTCTCCAGTTTGTCCAGATCTTTTTGAAATTTAATACTATCCTCCAAAGCACTTGCCACCCCTCGCAGCTTGGTATCATCCGCAAACTTTATAAGTGCACTCTCTATGCATTATCTAAATCATTGATGAAGATATTGAATAGAACCAGATCCAGAACTGATCCCTGTGGGACCCCACTTGTTATGCCCTTCCAGCATGACTGTGAACCACTGATAACTACTCTCTGGGAACGATTTTCCAACCAGTTTTGCACCCACCTTATAGTAGCTCTATCGAGGTTGCATTTCCCTAGTTTGTTTATGGGAAGGTCATGCGAGACAGTATCAAAAGTTGTACTAAAGTCAAGATATATCAATCTTTGTGTCATCTTCAGACTTTACAAGCAACATCTTCCAAATCATTACTAAAGATATTGATTATCACAGGGCTGAGAAGGTCCCACAACAGAAAAAACTGCCATTTGATGAAGATTCTCCATTCACAATTACTTGTTGAGATCTATCAGTG